AATAAAGTTAATAAAAATTAAGTATCAAACAAATTTTATAAACTTAATTTTTAAATATATTTATATAATTAAAATCATATAAATAATTATACGTGGATTAAATCTTCGTTCAACTTTTAATTCAATAAATTAAAAATATTATTTTGTATATAAAATAAATTTTATTATTTAGGATAAAAATATATGCTCTATATTATATATATTTTTAACAATGATCATAATATTAAATTTTTTAAATGTGAATTTGAGTAAAAATTAAAGTATATTACAATAATATTATCTATTAATATATTAAAAAATATGACTATATTTCCTAAAAAACACATGAAAATTTACGATAATTTTACAATAATTATATTCTTATGAACCTATAAATAATACATGATGAATAAAAAATATAAAATTATAACAAACATATATTTTTAAATGTTTTCGTTCAAATTATAAAGAAAATATTTATGTTTAATATTGTCTAATTTGTATATAATATAAATTATTTCATTAAAATTCCAATTATCATCATTAAAAAATATTTAATTTTATATTTCATAAATCGTTGATATATATATATATATATATATATATATTAATGTATACCATTTTAATTAAAGAAAAAATTAATTTTATAAAAAAATTATGATTAATTATAAATATGTATAATGTGTCTAATTTGTATATAATATAAATTATTTCATTAAAATTCCAATTATCATCATTAAAAAATATTTAATTTTATATTTCATAAATCATTGATATATATATATATATATATATATATATATATATATATATATATAAATTAATGTATACCATTTTAATTAAAGAAAAAATTAATTTTATACAAAAATTATGATTAATTATAAATATGTATAATTAGAGTGGTTATTTTAGAAAAGTTTTCTCTCATGTAAATAAATTTTAGTTGATATTTAAACCTACGCATGATTATAATCATTATATAACATAAAATTAATATTTTTTCTAATAATAATTACAATTTAACAAAAAATTAATAATATATAAAATTAATTATATTAAACACAATATTTTAATAAAATAGATGACATTTTTGTTAGAATTTTATTTTCCTTTAACTCCTCTTTAAATATTATTTTAATTATAATAAGAAGTAACAACTTAGAATATTTATAATATTCTTACAAGATGTAAGAGGATTAAGCAAAAGCGGTTTGGTTTACTCTTAAAGAAAAATAATTGTTTATAATTAAATTTATTGTAATAAATCCTTTAAATTTTGTAAAAAATAAAAAACATTTATCTAATTAAATTTTATTTTTCTAGTTTTTAAAAATAGTTACACAAATTAATTTTAAAAAATAGTTTTAAAAATAAATTAAAAAATTGATAATTAAAAAAACTATTTTCAACGAAAAATAATATGGACAACAAAAAATCACAATAAACAATAACAATGCCAATAGGTTTATGATTGGAAAAATTAGTGACTGTAAAAATAAAAAAATACATTTTATTATTTTTTTAAAATATATTGTTATTGAATTTTTAAATTTTTAAAAATTATTATCTATTTTAAATAATTAATAAAAATGTATTTAATCTTTATTAATAGTTCACATATTAATCAATATAGACTAATAAATATATATAATTTTTATTTTAATGATTAGTTATGACAATTCAGTCTTGAAAGCTGCTTTTATTTGAATTATGATAACAAAAATTTATATCATTTAACATTTTTTTATATGCAGTAAAATCAATGCAGGATATATTTATAGAGGATGCTTATATTTTTTTAACCTAATTTTTAAAAGCATCAAACAATTTAATATAATCATATAATAATATATATTATTATTATTATATTGAATTATTTAATGATTATTTTTAAAAATAGGATTGTCAAAATCTATCATTTTTCATTTATAAATTGGGGAACATAAAATTAAATATTTGATTATTATTTATTGTTGCGTATTTCTTATAAAACTTAATCCAAATAATCATTGTAATAATAATTATAATTAAATGATTAGATAAATAAAGTTTATTCTCTATAAATAAATAATATTAATTATTTATAAGGTTAAAAGAATATAATTTAATAAGATGTATCTTCTAAATAATATATTTTAATAAAAAATGATTGAAATAAAACTTGTATCAATTTATGTACTTAAATAAATAAAAAAAATATATATATATATATATATATATATTTATAATTTTATTTTTCTCTCTCCTCGTACACTCCATGTTTTATCTTACCTCTTCCCTCTTTGTTTCTCTACTCTCACGTCTATTCTTCTGAATAAACTATTCCACTAAAATTTAATAAAAATATGTTAAAATAAATATTTTAAAATCAATAATAAATTTAAAAAAGTATTGATTAATTATTTCAATTATCATAATAATAAATATTTTTATTTATTTTAACAGTAAAAAATTAATTTAAAATTATTTTAGTATAATAAATAATTATTCTTCTAATATTAGGTAATTTTTAAAAATAATATTAAAAAATTAATTTTAAATATATATTTTAATAATTATAATATAATCTTATTTTTATTATTTTAAATTTATTATATAATATAATATTTTTTAAATATAATATACTAAATTATAATATATTTAGATCATTTAAATATTTTTTTTCAATAATAATAATAATAAAATCATTTTATCATATTTTAATTTACTGTTTTATTGAAAAAATAAGTTATGAAAGAATATGATAAGATCAAAGAAAGAGGAAAGTGAAAAAAAAATACTAAATTAATAATAATAATAATAATAATAATAATAATAATAATAATAATAATAACAGTATTTCATACAAATTCATTTTTTCAATTGAATTTTTCTATAAATAATAACCTGATATAATATCATAAATAAATTTATAAAAATTCGTAAATTTTCTTTTAAATATATTATAACTAGAATTTTTGAAAAACATCAAACAAAATTTATCATTTATAAAATGGAGAAAACTAAAATTAACTATTTGATTATTATTTATTGCTGCGTATTTCTTATAAAATTTAATCCAAATAAAGTTTATTCTCCATAAAAAAAAATATTAATGATTTATGAAATTAAAAGGATATAATTTAATACCTATGCACGTATTTACCCTTGTTAAAGTATCACAAAAACTGAGGCAGTAGAGAAGTTGCTAGTATCCGGTGGGCAAGCCGCGGCGAGTGCAGCTTTTTTGTTTTTATCTTTCAATAAAAAATAATTATTTGGCAGTCATGGTAGAAGTTTGATGGAAGCTACCGTTGATCTTTCTCTTGCTCTGACTTCTATGCCTATAAAACAAATCCCCACACTCTTTTTCTCCCATCAATTCATTCCTCCTTCATTCATTCACATTTCACACAGTTCTTCTTTCAGAGCCTCTATTTCTTCCACCCTTCTTTCACACACTGATCCTTCCCTTCCCCAGTTCTCTTATCTGTAAGTATTCATACACCCTTCTCTCTCTCATTCTCATGGGGTTGGTGCAATTGGGTTGTATTCTTATTTGCTTGTTTTCTTAGCCTCTTGCTTTCATCTGGGTTTTGAAATCTGCAATAAAAAATATATCTTTTTCAGAATTACTTGATCCGCTGCTGTCGGGTTCTTCATAGTTTCCAAGGCATGGTTTTGTTTGAGGGGCATCATCTAAATGAACTTTCTTTGCAGAGCTTTCTGTTGAAAGCTTAAACCTAATAATCGGTTTTCTGACCCTTCATATTCCAAATCATGGATTTTGGAATCTTCTTCCTTTTGCCTTAAATGCTTCTGTCATTTTTCAGCTGTTTAATTATTTTTGTTCATAGGTTATGTTTTTGGCTTGTCACGACGTTTACCTCCCCTCTCTTGATATTAATTTTTCTCCACTCAATGAGTTGGTTTTCACCTTGGTCTATGTATTTCCGTATAGAGTCCACTGTTGCTTGAAGATTCCGTGAGAATTGTTGGATAGATTTAATCACCATTTGTATTATAAATTGTTTTCCTCCCTTTCTATAATTATTCAGTGAAACACCGAGATTTTTCATATTCTGCTGCTAAGAGGGTTTGTTGGTTCTTAATTGGAAGAACCTTTTTTTCTTCCCCTCATTTTTTTCTCCCATACGGACCGGTTGCTTAATTTAACTCTTGGGGTGTTATTATGACTACTGCATTGACTTTGCTACTACTTTGTTCATTGAATAACTGTTTTGAGCGAATTTTTGGGAAACAATACATTTTCGTATTTTTTTTTTCTTCTGAATGTCCTTCTTGAAGGGGTGCAACAGTAATTCTAACACAGTTAAGCTTCCTCCTTGTGAATATTATGATTATTTCTTTAACCAGTTAGGTGGGTAATGGGTCTGCAAAATCCTTTTTTCGTTTTGGTGTTTTTTTTTTTCCTTGTAATTAATGATAATCAGCGACTGCGGACACCTAAGAGAATATTTGTGTTTGTTTGTTTCTTTAAAATGGATATCAAAATGCGGGGTTATTTCTAATTCTAAATGCTCTGAAGAAAATTAAACATTTTTGTCTAGTAGTCCTCTCCTTCAGAGCTGACGAAAATGGTAATTGACTTACCAAATTGAAACACATGATCTTTGTGTTGAAACAACTGAAATATTGGTAGTTGAGCTGATGTTAACCTATTGCTAACCTAACAAAACTTGTTGTGCCCTCTTAATCACTTTGAGAAAATTGCCGGAGAAGTTCTAATTGGAGACGCCAAATCAAAATTTGACTTGATTGCCTACTGGTTTTGTATAGAGCTTCTCAATAAAGCATGGATGTCTTGTACTTGATGCAGTTGTTGTTTTTACTTAAAACTTATAATTTAAAGTCGTTTTTTCCATATTAATTTGTATACCTATTTTTAGATCCGATTGTATTGATGAAACTTGATTTATGGATTATGGATTATCTATTAGCAGACACTCACTGTTCTTACGCTTTGTTTTTCAGATTCAGGCACACTTCACACAGTACACTTTGTGCAAGACAAAAGAGAAATGGCCTCAGACCAGTATTTTGAGGAGGTTGTACCCCAGTTGGGTTCCTTTGAAGATAAATCATCTCTCGAAACATGGAAATGTGGTGGTGACGACATTGCGGATTCAGATAAAAATGCCTCCAGTGGCTTTGATTGCAACATCTGTCTGGATTGTGTGCAAGATCCAGTGGTCACTCTTTGTGGTCATCTCTACTGCTGGCCCTGCATTTACAAATGGCTTAACATCCATAGTGCCTCTTCTGAAAGTGAAGAGAAGCAACGATGTCCAGTATGCAAATCAGAAATCTCACAGTCATCACTGGTTCCACTGTATGGGCGTGGCCAAACCACGCTACCTTCCAAAGGCAAAGGTCACCAAGTAGGGATTGTGATACCAAGAAGACCCCTTGGTCCTTCATGGATTACCAGTTCACCAAGATCACATGATTCTGAAACTGTTCAACATACTTCTCATGTTTATCACCGCCATTATCCGAACCATCCTCAACAATTCAACTCAATTCCTGGCAGTTACCCTTCAACAATGTTCAACACTGGTGGTTCACTAGCTAATGCATTTGATACAACATATGGAGTCTTTGGAGAGATGATATATGCAAGGGTCTTTGGAAACCAGATGACTAACGTGTACACATACGCGAATTCATATGATCTTTCAGGGAGCAGTAATCCAAGGGTCAGAAGGCACTTAATGCAAGTTGATAGGTCACTGAATAGGATAACTTTTTTCCTCCTTTGTTGCATAGTTTTGTGTCTTCTCTTATTCTGATTTCTATTCTATTTTTATTTTTTTGCAACACATCCCTGTATAGAATACAACCAGTATGCGACTTCTGCCAGAAGCATACTATATTTTAGAGTTGTTTGATGTTGAGATATTTGTAACTAGGCCCATTTGAGGACATAGTTTAATTATGCACTTACTGAAGAAATGCTTATCATATAGCATTTGTGTATAAATGGTTTCTATAATGGTAGAAAAAGTTTAACTATTGTCATATTGTAAGTTGTTTACATAATTTACCCCAAGAGTTTATTGAAATATGTGGAAAACAATTTATGGACAGATCAAACCTTATTTTTAGAAGTCCTGAAATAGATGTTTGCGTATGCCAAACTAACTTACATTTTCAGATTCTTTATTGTGGGGATACATTGTTCAAAAAATGTAAGTTATATAATTTGGCTTGCATGCTTTACTTGATTCCTTCCGTGTGGGGTGGCTTTGCTTCCGAGCCAAGGTAGGAATTGGATAATTAATTCAAGTGTCTAACTACTATTTAGAATGAGACCTAAGCTTAGTTAGTTATCTAGTCACGACTTTTTCAAATGAGTAAATGACTATTTTCTTTTGAAAACAAAAGCTCTAGATGATATTCATGTTGCCTTTGGATAAACAATTTAATTATGTTTATTCGTGAAGTTTTCTAAAGAAAAAGAAGCTCATTAGTCCAAATAAGCCTTTTTCAAATACTTTACTTTGCTTGTTTCAAAAGAGAATCACTTTTCTTCTATTCTTTAGAAAGGAGAGAGCGAAAAGAAGAACAAGGGATGGGGAAAATTTTATAGTATTTGAAGTCAAATCGACTCACAACCTTTTAGCAACATAGTTATTTTTATACTCTGCGTGAGTCCTTACATTTTTTTTTTTATTGAAATTTGGGTTCGGCTTCTAACGTACTATCATTATCCAATTTTTTTACTTTGTAAACTATTTTTACTTTGAGTTTTTTTTTTGGTCGTATGATAATGACAAAGGAAAGATGCAATTTTGTCAAAGAAAATGTAATGAACAAGAATAAACACATATAAGAAACGCCAAAATATTTGAATCGGCATCAGAAATATTTTTGGAGTGAAGGTGAGAATAGGATGTTCCCAAGCCCAAACGCAAAGACATAGCCTTATCAAATTTGGTGCTTGAAATCACATTATGACAGAGACCGTTTTGTATTTGTTGAATGAAGGTGACTCAAGGCTAATTATTGAAGCGCCTTTTTATTTATTAAAGTGGTTGAAGAATAAGTTCTAAGTATAAAAAAAAAAAAGACCCATCATAAAAGCAGTCTCCTTCATTCAATTTAGAAACTAGAGATTGAAATTGGAGTGTGCAGAGTGCATAAAGATTTATCACGCAACTGCTTCTAGAATTGGTGAGTTTTGTTAAAAGGGTAGTTACGTGTAACTTGAACATCCATTCAAACTTTTATTTGCACCGAGTATCATTGATGGCGATTAATTACCCACCATCACCATCTGGGAAGCCACATGTCATATATTTGCTGTATGTTGTAAACCAGTCCCTGATTCATACATCTTTTTACTGCCCCAACCCCATTTCTAAAAGTTTTTATTACTGGATTGGAATAAAATTTATCTATTTTCTTTTCAATATTATCATATTAACTTTATTTTTTTATTATGCGTGAATTTATTAGATTTTTCAAATACAATTGAATATAAACAATTCATAATAAACTATTTATCATATTTTTTTATGTTTGATTTTTATTGAATAAAAAAAACTCACATTTTTATCCTATTTCTCTTTTTTTTAAATATATTTGTAACATAATACTTTTCTTAACAAATTCATGTGATTCTTCGCATTTAATATACTAATAACTAATAAAAAAGTTATATAATTAATTACTTGGTTGGTGGGTAGCAAATCAATATTGATAGAAATATATATATATATATATATATATATATATATATATATATATATATATATATATATATATATAACTTTAGTTTGTCCTTATAGAAACTTGGTACATAGACTACATTTAATAAGTTAAAATATTTTTTATTTATTTTATAGATCTACAATTAATTATAGAGTAAGAAAATATAATATATTTTATTAAATTTAAACAATTATATATCAATTGATCATGCACTAAACAAAAAGATATGTAAGACGATAAATTGTTCGGTTTGTTTTGAATTGAAAGAGATAATGGAAAAAGAAGTTGTAAATGAAATTAGTTGAATTGGATAGAAAGAAAAAAGAAAGAAAATAATATAAAGATTTTAAAAGATAAAATTTATTTAATTTATTAAAATATTATTTTATTAATTTTAAATAAATTTTATAATTTTTATATTTTAAAAATAATTTTTATTATTGTAATAATTAAAATACAATAAAATACAATATAATCGAATACATGAAAAAAAATCAATTAGGTTTCAATTACTATTCAATCTCTTCTAATGTATTTGAAGAAAAATAAAAATATTATTTTACTTATATTTTTAATATATTTTTTACTAATATTATGTATATTTACTATTCTATTATAAGTACTCATAAAAATATAAATGTGTAAGATTAGACAAGATAGTTTATACGAATATTTATTTGTAAAATTTAATAAATATGAAGGTAGATACATATATTATAATATTTTACTCTTTTATATATATATATATATATATATATATATATATATATATATATATTCTTAGAATAAAAAAATTATCTTGATATTAATATGTTTAAAATTTGTTATTATATTTAAGATATTATAATTTATTATTTTAAAAAAATATGAAATAAATTAATAATTTTAATTTATTAATTAATTTTGATTCACCTTATTTAACCTGTTAAGCCGATAAAGAAAAAGGGACAAGTTATTCGTTGATCCGTTTTTAAAAAATTATATATAATAACAAAATAATAATTAAATATATTATATTTTTTATTTTATTATTAAAATATATAAATATATTATAATATCATAATTTGAATTTTAAATATTAACTAATTAAATTTAAATTATTTATTATAATTAGACATTTTACTACATAAAAATTATAAATTTGTTAAATTTATCTAATAAAAATATTACTTATAAATAAAAACTAAAAAATATTTGTTTATTTATATGTATACGAACAAAATTATATATAAAAAATATTGAAGAATTAATCTACTAGTTTTTTTTAAATGAATTAAAATATATAATTCGTCCTAATTATTAAAGATACGTTTACTTCATGTTGTTTTTTCGCGGACATATCAAAATATAACATGATCCATTTTGTCATGTTTATTTGTTTAAAAATTTTAATCTATCATAATTTTATTATTAAAAAATATATTAATGAATTAAGAGAAGGAAATATATATAAATTATTTTTTATTATAGTATAATATATTTTAATATGCTCATAAATCTAATTAGGGATTAAAAGTTTATATTCATCTCTTTTAATTTATTGAAAGAAGATAAACTGACTTTTTTACTAAAATAATATTATTATATTATATATACACGTAATAGAACATCTGATGAAATTATTTATTTAACTCAATCTCTCCTAAAATTATTTACTAAACTGAACATCTTTTACTATGAATTTGAAATTCTCCTAAAATTATTTACTAAACTGAACATCTTTTACTATGAATTTGAAATTAAGTTGAACCTCTTTTATTGTTGTACTTGGAATTAGGTTTCCAGTAAACTGAATTCCAACTTTAAACTTACCACTTTTTTTTAAAATAAAAAATTTAAATAAAATATATAATTAAAAATAATAAAATTAATATTAAAAATAAAATTTAAATTTTAAATTTTAAATAATATTATAAAAAATAATAAAAATAATATATTATTTAAATATATATTAAATTATTTAAATATATTTAAATAATTATTAAAAATATTAAATAATAATTTTTTATTATATTTTTTATATATATTTTTTATTTTTGAATAGGAAATTTAAAATTTATATATTTTTTATTATATGAATTATTTAAGTTATAATTTTAGAAAAAATAGAATAAATAAAAATTTAATTTAGGTAATATATTAAAAAATTAAATATTATATTATAAAAATTTATGTAATAGTTTTTATTTGATAAATTATACATATTATATTAAAAAATTCATGCTAAAATTATTTTTTTAAAATAATAAAGTAAAAATATTATTTAATTAGTTAAAAATTATTATTATTAATATAAAATAAACTTAAAAATAAAAAATAATAAAAATTGATAGAATTTAATGTATAATATTAAAAATAACATAATAATTGATAATAAAAATTGAAAAATAAAATTATTGACAATAATGTTAAGAAAAATTTAATCTCATAAGTGGTGTCCGAGTTCCACAACGAGGATGACGTCTATTACGTTTTGGATTTCGTGGGTGTGGTTGTTCTTGTATTTCAGAAGAAATTTATGGAGGGTTTTCTTCTTCATAAACCTCTGTTATTTTCACTCTATAAAAATTTTTCTACCTTTATTATTTTTCTTTACTATCATGTTCTATAATTTTTATTTTGCTACTAATAACTTATTTTTAATTTTACTTTTAATATTTTATATATTAATTTTATCAATTTTTTTCTAAAATTATAACTTAAATAATTCATATAATAATAAAATATATAAATTTTAAATTTCCTATTCAAAAATAAAAAAATATATAAAAAATATAATAAAAATTATTATTTAATATTTTTAATAATTATTTAAATATATTTAAATAATTTAATATATATATTTAAATAATATATAATTTTTATTATTTTTATATAAATATTATTTAAATTTAAAAATTAAAATTTATTATTTTTAATTATATATTTTATTTAATTTTTTATTTAAAAAAAGTGGTAAGTTTAAAATTGGAATTCAGTTTACGAGAAACCAAATTCCAATTACAACAGTAAAAGAAATTCAGTTAAGTAAATAATTTCATGAGAAATTCAGTTAAGTAAATAATTTCATCAGAGGTTCTATTACGTGTATATATATATATATATAATATAATATAATATAATATAATAATATTATTTTAGTAAAAAAGTCATATAAGACTTATAATGAATCAAAATTTTAAAATAAATAATAAGTAATAATATTAAGAATATATTATATTCTTATTTTTATATTTTAATAATATTGTTAACAATTTAAATAAAAGTTTCATTTATTGTATTATTTAGTTTTTAAGTTAAAAGTGAATACAAAATTGTGATTACATAACTAAGATAATTGTATTTTTTTTTTGCGCTCAATATAATATCTACTTTTATATGTGAATATACAATATAAATATATATTTTTAATTTTTTGTTATTGCACGGTTTCCCAATTTTTATAACTTAAATGTGTTTTTATTGATATTTTAATTTAAAAAATGGATTTACTTATTATATAAGGTGGGTGTGTTATATCCTAAATAATTGGATGAAAAAAAAGATTCTTTTAAATTAAAAATTTTCTAAAAGGTTTATTAAAAAAATATAAACAAAAGTATTACAATTTTGAAATTAAATTGAAGTCCATGACATCATATACATAATTTTAATTCCAAATTAGCAATTTCAACGCTTAAAAATCTTTTAAAATACGAAGACTTTGTTTATCATGGCACCCAGTAGTAATTTGTCAAAAATATTATTATTACATAATTTAAATTTAAAAACATGTATGTTTACAGTACTGTTTAGTTATAATTTATTTTTGTGTGATTTAAGATTGTGCGTGATTGTTTTCAATTTTATATTTAAATGTTTTTTTGTGTGTTATGTTTGAATACTTTTAATACTATTTTACATTGTTTAAAAGTGAAGTATGCATATTTTAATAATTACTTTTTTATATAACTAATGATATTACATAAACATAAAATCAATTATATTTTCACATATTAAGTATGGGTATCAATATATTAGTACAAAGATGTAGAACGGATGTTAGAGTAGGGTTACTCATCATCATCATCCATATATGTTATATTTATTGTTTCATTTACATAGATTTTTTTTTTTTTATAAAAAATACAGTTTAAAAATATATTAGCACATTATTGAATTTACATGAAGAGAAGGAAAAAAATCCTAAGCAATATAATTTCTATGTCAGGATTATAAACTATTTTTGTATATTGGGAAGATCCATCCAACAAAAAATGTGAACTTTTTAATTTGTTTTTTAATCTTTCTTGAACTCCTTCTAAACAAACATGAACCACGGTTACTGATATGATATGGGCCATACATAGTCTTGGTAATTTTGGGCCACTGGGGATAGTGCAGGGGCAGCAAATCCTACACATGCCAATGGGCATAAACATGGTGGCAACTCTTCTTTCGACAAATCCTTCTGTCCCGTTCAGGTTCTGGAACAAAACCCGCCTCCTACTAACACGCCATTACCGTCGTCACTCACAACGCTCTCACACAAACATGGCCCGAGAAGAAGGGATTGTCTCGTTGCAGGAATGGCAGGGTTGGGGCACCACCTCCCCTCTACCCGCCATGGTGGCCCAGATAGTCGACGATTTGAAAGGTCTTGAACAAGACTTGGATGCCCACATGAGCTTTGGCGGCAATGGTGGAAAGCTACAGGTTAGGGGACCCGTCATCGTGTTTACGTGCTCTCAAGTTCCGGTTTTTATTAATTGGGTTTCGGATGTTTAGGGGAATTTCAGATTACAAGAAGATAAGAAACACCGTGCGACGTATCAGGCTTTAGGTGATTCGGAGAAGAAGCTTCAATTTTATTCGGCCCGACAGATAGCTTGTCGCGTTCTAGGTAGCCGGGGTTACCTTTGTCAGAAGGTTTGTTCATTCTTAATTTGGAATATAGAAAAATATCTAACAAATCTGTAAAATTGAAATATGTTTTTCACATTCCCTGTCATTTGTTCCATATGGATGCACTATAATGATAATAAGTTATAAAATTTAAGGATTAAGAATGATACTAAGCTATACATATCTGAGATAAAAATGACAATTATTTTAAATTCAGGGTTTATTTGACTCTTTTTCTAATTTCAAGAACTACCATAATAGTGTCTCAGAAAATTTAGTGATTAAAATGGAGATTTATCCTTCTTAAAGTGACTTGAGCTTCAGGCAGATCTATTTGCTGGATGATGGTGAATGTGTTTTGGTTTTTAATCTTTGGTTTTCAAAATTTTGTAGTGCTGGCTTCCCATGGAGGATTGTATGTGTTCAAAACTCACATCCTGCTCACTCTACCCGGGAATAAGGTTTTGGCTGTATATGCATCCCAAGGTTTAGGTGTAACTTGTGATTACTTGGAAGTTCTCCTTTTTGGGGTTTTCCCTGTTTCTCATAATGCATATACTTTTTGGCCATCAAATGTAGGATTTCTTGAGACAGAACAACACTGGAAAGATTTTGTGGCAGGTCTTTGGGGTTGATGCAGCATCTCTGTGCCTTTTTGGTATTCCTGAACACGAGGAAATCATGTGGAATTCCTTTAAAACGGCAGGTCTCTCAATTTATGTAAATTGGCAGTGATTGTAGTTGTTGTTTATTGATATAGTCAGATTTCGGTTCGTACTCTAGGATCTATGTTTCTACAATTTATACTGTATTTTATCTTGGAGTTTAAAATCGCTGACTCTCTCCGCTTAAAACATAATAAAGAAAATATAATATTCTATACTGAATTTGGTCGGAGAAAAATGGTTGTATTTCTTCATTTCAAATAGCATCTTCTTATGGTAGTAATTTTAATTGGTTGCCTGGTATCAAGTTAGATACTGGTTCATGATTTAAGTTAATACTGTTGTTATGTTGGTTCTGTATGCTCCGTGTCTTATAGTATTTGAACCTGCCGCTCATTTTGTTCTCAATTTCCTTGGCTGTTGATCGTCCTTATTTCAGGAAAAGGTAACGTGTGGTGCCTTTATCCCAACAAGAGTGAAGTTCCGAAGTCAGTTCAAAATGTATTTGATCAGGAACCAGTTACAAGTGATGAAGTTGCACCAACGGAGGTTTTATTTAAGCATTATAATGATTGCTATATCTTCTTGATTAACAAATATGCACATTTTGATTGTGTTCCATTACTTTCCTTCTGTTGTGTGTTAATTTGCAAGAATGGCTTACAATTGAAGTTTTCTGGAATTTGAGAACCTGGCCTCTGCCACCCAAAGCTTGTACCGATCATCTAACTGCTTCTATTTCTAACAACCTAACTAATTAACACTTACGAGGTCTACTCTAACGATTATGCTGTAAACCTTTCTAATTGGTGGTTGGGTGTTACATTAATTTGCTGGCACAGATTGGGGTTTGACCTTTGCTATATGATATTAAACTCATGCAAATGAGAAGAACCGAACTGCAGCTGCTGGTATCGCAGTTGCATCTTGTGTTTTTCTTGTAGCAGTTTGTATTACTATGTTTAACTTCTTATGAGAAGTTACAAATTTTAAACTTGTTTTGAATATATAACTTGATCATTGACTAGAAAAACTTAACACAGAATCTACAGCCAATTCATGATTTAAGGCTTTAAGCTCTGAATTATATGTCTAGGAGGTGTGGGGAAAGTTACAAAATTAAATGGATTAGTGGCACTGAAATGACAACTTGTCCTTTCTCTCTAAAGAGAGTATATTTTTTATTTTATTCTATCAATGCCACATGTAAAATAAATATCATTTAATATTGCTTATAACCTTTTTATATAGATTTCCCTGTTTTCTATTTAGTGCAATCAGGTAATAATTTTCTGTTGATTGTAAAGCAGGTGAAAGTAGAAACAACCCTGCATTTTATTTTGATTGATGGGACATGGAGCAACTCAGCAGCAATGTTTAAGCGCCTTCAGGTTACTTCTGGGTGGCTTTCTTCCTTTTTTTAAATAGTAGATTTTCAAAATTTGATTCTAGTAGAAATGCACAGAATTAATCTGCTCCATAGGGTGCCAAGGCAGGCTAAAATATTGTTATATGGAACACTCTATTTTTCTAGAGTTCTAGTCCTCTTACACATGTTAGAGCACGTGGTATCCTCTCTGTCCAATTGGTGCTAGGCACATGTGATGTGTGCCAAGGAGAAAGTAAAAATATTAAGTTTTTAATATGCTCCTCTGTTAAAAGTTAAAGTTGTTGAATCAGAAGGTGGAAGAAAATAGAAAAATTCAACTTAATCAAACAGGGCTGACACAAACTACTACTGTTTATGATCAGACACTTGTCCTTTTTTTATGCCAGGAAAAGATCAACGCTTGAGCAACAATATATTGTTGTCCTTTTTTTTATATGTCATTAGGACAGAGATGTAGATAATATTATGTAATATTTTGTTTTATTACGCCTCTTCGCCTTAGGGTGAGAATGTCCATGTGACAAACTGTACAGCAATTAGTCATAATATGGAAAATTACTAAAGGCACAGTTTTTATTATAGTTTCAATATACTGATGTTGCCTGTTATAGATTTTTATCTGAGATGTAAAAACATTAATGAGGTGCTAATGCATCAGAATTAATATTTTTTTCTCTGGGTAGACAACAAGGTGGAACAACCACCCAAGAAGAATAGGCTTTCATATTTTATAATGACTCAATTGGATCATCACAAATGAGTTTTTAAAGTCAATAGAATGAAATAAATTTGTGTTGAAACACCATCTACAATTTTTCTATGCTAGTTTGTAAGTTTGTTTGAAATTTTGTTTCCAACAGGATAAAGCAAAGTTAGTTTGGGGGGATGAGGACCTACCTTGTATATCCTTAAACCCTGGTGCTTCTGCTATGCATAAACTTAGGTGAGTAAGAAAATGAAATTAAGATTAACTGACAGCTATGTTGCAAAGTATATTCTTGCTATCTTTTTTATGGACCCTCCCCTGTGTTTAATTACCTTGTGTTTCAAGGGCAGACCACAACCATCGTGGGATCGGACATGCACAGCGGCAGCTGCCGCAGGCCTGCTCTCAGAGCTCCAACTTCTTCCACAGTTTAGTTCCATTGAATTGGACAAACAGGCAGAAGCAGTGGAACATGCTTTAACGGTCTTATTAGATGCCCTCACAAAGAGGCGTGTTCGCATGGGAAGATCCATAACAAGAAAGGTGAGGCAAACCAACATACGATAGAGTCATCTAACCAAGATTGTTCTGACAACATATACAGTAAGCCTGTTGCAATTTTTTTGGAAATGAGAAAATTCTCAACCCTGTACATATTTGCAATTTCCAAATTCTTCAAACTAACGCTTGAGAAAGGTTTTTCAAGTCTTAAAATTCAGTCTGAAGTATGAGTTACAATTTCCATTTACAAAATTTTGGATGAAAGTACCTTTTTTCTTGGGGGAACAGATAGAAATGTAATTGTAATTTAATTGTCCATAGTTTGAATCTATCGTTGGCTGAAGACCATGGTTGGATTGGTGGAAGAGGAGGATGGAGGGGAATGGATCATAATGGTGTTATGTTCATTGTTTGGATTGGTGAAATGAGGATGAAATATATTGGAATTTATTCCTTTCTATTTTATTGTTTACCTTCATTTTTCTTTCTTCCCAATGTGGAATAAATGAGTTGGAATAGGATTTTTGTTCTATTTAATGCTACCATATTCAATCAATGGAACAAATGTTTTGATTTGTTCCATTTCATTTTTCCATCAATACAAACATAGTCTAAGGAGGTTCACACCAAGAGAGAATTCTTTTTACGATATTTTGACTTTCTTTACGGATAATAAAATATTGTTTCTGTATTTCTCTGGAATAATCACTCCTCAATGCATTGATCTATATATGTCGTCTGATTCAAATTTAATAAAATGTTTATTGATCTTATCTATATAAATATAAACATCTTCATTCCAAGACCACTTACCTTACGACTATCGGGTTGTAACGTGTGAAAACCATGGCGAAATATTTCTTCATCAAGGTTAAACGGTACAAATCATTTGTTTTTTATTTTTCATCACTAGTTGAGACAGTTAGGTTCTTTCAACATTTTGAGGACTTTTTTGAAGAGATCAAAGGTACTCTCTATGCATCGAAAGAAAGGATTTGTTTTTGGTAATACAGAAATTCTATTGTTTTCTCTTCCACCCAATTGTATAGTTTTAAAAAAAGCTTAATCATCACCCTCTCATTTGTAAAACATGCCTGGAATCTAACTGATTCTTAAGAAAAGTTATGTGGCCGTGTCAATTATGCAAACTAGTTCTGTCAAGAGGCCTAAAGAATCAGGTTCTTCTTAAATTGTCAATGAAGAAAAGAGTCAAAGGATTGAAACAGGAATCAAGATATACTTTGGAATGAAGTTGAACAGCTTAGGAGCAACGCATGCCTATATTATTAAAAGGGGTATCCAAGAAGAAGTGTTGAATGGGGGAATGAGAATAACAACATCTATGCCATAGACCCACTCAAGGTTTGGTTTGCTGTGAGGCTTTCAAGCAATTTGCTTGCCCTTCGGCCACTGAGATTAGCCACATAAGGCAACTTCTGGTTTTCTTTATTTTATGTTTTAACATCACCTTTTAAAAATGTTTGACTAGAGCATAAAAGTGTATTAAAAAACATGTTTTATGCAATGGGAAGTAGAAGTACCATACTTTAAACAAAAACAATGCACCAGGAATTTAGATGCAATTATTGAATTAACAAATTGAATAGTGTCAGATTAACACCAACTCCTTTAAGTTAATGATGATGATGAGAAGTGGGGTTGATTCAAAAGCTGGTGATGTACATACAGCACTCCCAGTGTGCAAATTGAAGGGTGGGTTTGCACTAAGAAATTTGATTTGTGTAAGATATTCAATCTGAGTTTCATGTTTATCCTCTTCCACTTAGCTTGACGACCAAAGCACTATATTAACTTTCTCCCATACGATAGGGATGAACAAAAATGTGGCAGGTGCAGATCATTCAATCATTGACTAAGCTCATAAAATAAATAAAAGATTGACCAAAGAAGATGAAATAGTTGTAAAAAATAACAAGAAACAAATCATGGAGTAGTTCGTGTTGATCACTGTTAAAATGGGCTTGCCACGTTCAAACTTTTTGGTTCTTACGGTCAGAGATTGTGTACTATAAACAAAATTTACTAAATATAAGAAGTGCATTTGCAAAATTTACTTGTACGTTTAAACATAATTCTAAACTATGGAGTGTATCAATATCATCAAAATAATTATCTTATTATTATTAAAATATAAATTTCTAATAACTTATTTTATTTTGAACTTTTTATTCTATCTCATTATTATTTTTATATTAATTTAGTATATTTTTTAAAATAAAAGATAATATATTTTTCTTTATTAAATTAACAGAATATAAAATATTCTTATTAAATTGGAGGAGGTTGCCGGAGAGCGTGTGAGATTGAATTAAAATGATCGTTATATCAAATTTTGAATTAGTATTTTAAAATAGTTAAAAATAACTTATTTTAAAAAAAGAAAATAATATAATTGAAAATTAATGATAATATGAGATGTTAAATTTCCAAAATTCAAAAGATAATAAATAATAATAAGTCAAAATATAATAACTCAAAATAAAAAGATAATAAGTAATATATAATATTATAATAAATAAAATATAATAAGATAACGAGATAATATAATTAAGGTGATTTTACTGTATTTGATCGATTAGGTAAAATATTTATTAAGATAAAATATTAATAATTTGTATTACATATGGATGCGGTATATATATTAATATCTCAGTAACGTAATCATAACTAATAAAACAAATTCATATTATAAACAATAGACTATATTAAAAATCAATTTGATAAATTGTTTGACCAAATACAAATATGATCATTGATTTCTAAATTTCCTAAACTAATGATCCTTTCCCAGACGGCATATATTTTCTTTAATATTAATATAAATAGAAAGAGAGAGAGAAAAAAAAACGTTTCTCTCGTTTTTTAAATAAAAACTAGAACAAAGAGAATAGATAAAAAAAAAAAAAAGATATGAGCCTGTATTTCATAAAATACAGACACGTGTCATTGAATAATGGTAGCTGAACGACATATTTTATATCATTATTTATAATTTTTTTAAAATATTATGTTGTCATAAAAGTCAAAGAAAGTGTTCATCTTCTCAATCTCAGCCTTAGTTTTAGTGCATCTAGTTAGTAAATAAGAAAATATAAGGTAAATGAGAAAATAGTATAATTAAGATACTTTTCAAAGTGAAAATTATTTATAAAATAGAAAAGTGTGAGTGCATATTTGAGAATATAATGGAACTGATTCTGATAAAATTAATTTTGGAGCATTTCGTACCATATAAAAATATGACCATCATTTATAACTGAATAATTTGTATTGCTCCATCATCATGATCATTATTATTCATACATGCTTCAATGGTTATTTAGTTATTATTTTCTCCAACTTTTAACCACTTGCTTGTTTTATTATGTGTGGAAGCCTCACAAGCCATGCTAATGCTGTTAGTTGTTAACCGTTTCAAGCAGTTACAGTTATGAATTTGAATCATCATTTCAATTTTTAAACCAATCGCAAACTTCTTACTACACAAACTAATTAAACTTAAAAAATAATAATAAATAGATTTTTTTGCTTGGTGGATATTATATAAATTAGTCTATTTAGGTGCTAAAAATAGAATTGGTGGAGTAATCTATTATAATCAATGAGATAAGATATCTTGATTTATGATTAGTTGGTGATTCAAATTATTTTGACAATAAACTTTTTTATATATTTAAAAAATACATATAATATTTTTTAATTCTTTATTTATTAATAAATTAATGAAATTTATATTTATATTATATATATATATTACAATATTTAATTATAGTTATTAATTAAAACTTAATTTGTTAATATTTATAATTTAAATTATAATATCATATTATATTTATATATTAAAAAAGATAATATAAAAATATAATACTTTAATTTTTTTTTAATTTTAATACGTAAATATATTTAAAAAAAAATCAACCTATCGTACATGTTTTTTATTCATCAGATTAGACCGACTAAAACTATACAATTCACAGTGTCTAACCCATTTACCTGACCCAAATTTGATGTACTAATAAATGTTCCTACGTATACATTATTTCTTATAAAATCTCTCCACTTTACAGAAGAAAAAAATATTTAAGGGTAGATGTTCCTAAATAAATTGTAGAAATCTTATAACTGGATGAATAAAAACTTCTTTTCCGCATAAATCTAAATGTGAACTTTATTAAGTTATTATAAGTCTGTTTACTGCAAAATTTTATGGGATCTTATGATATTTTAGAGTTTAACTTTAATTTTTATATCTTAATTATCAAAAAAAATTTATATATTAGGAATGACACTACACAACTTTTAGTATTGAGATGGAATAAAAAATGTTTATATATTATATCTAAAACTTAATAATATTTTGATATAGATGGACACTACACAACCCCCTAACCTCAAGGCAAATATGCTAAAGTTTAAATTCTTATAAAAAATTGTCAAAAGATTGATGATTATTTTTATAAGGTCAAAACACTAGGACTAGGAAAAGAACGAGATCAATAATTAGCCACTAAATAATTTTTTAACCTTTAGACAAATTGTAAGTCCTTAAATATTAGTTTTTTCATTCAACAATATCCTAACTATGTCTGGATGCATTAACAGATCTTTTTATATATGCTTTTATCATTTTGTCCCTCCAAATCTATTGATCATTAAATATACTTTGTATATCTATAACTTTGGTATCTTATATTTTTATCTTCTTTTAATTTGTCATATTCATTTATTATTTATTAATAATATATTATTTGACCTCCAAAATTGTCAATATATATCATTGCCTAGATGTCACATATCTCCTGTACTCATGCCTAGCTGTCACATATCTCCTATATTCAATGTCAGATCTTCTTGTGAATTTAGGGGGTCATGCTCCATAAACTTAATAATCATTTAATATATTTACAAATGGTCATAACATTAATAACTTTCATCGGATCCAATGTTAATGACGAGGGTAATTAGAAATGACATTATGGACATCATAAGGTCTTGAGTTGATGGACCTCATAGGATCTCAAACGTGGTAAGTATCGACCATGTTTCGAGACGTCAAAAGTCTCGTGGGATCTCTTGTCGTTGTAGGTCATACCCCATATTTCAATTAAGAATCTCTTGTGATTCGTTAAGAATTTTGTGGGGTCTCTTATTGTTATGAATCTCTTGTGATATACGACTGTGATTCGAATCTCAATAAAAATTATGTTTATGACACATTGAGGACCTCGTGGGGTCTCTTATTGATTATGATGAGGGTCATGTTTGAATCTTGATCAAAATATCTTTATGGTATAATTGTGCATTGATTTTCAATTATGGATTTTTTTTGTGGCATACCATAGACCTCATGGGACCTCTGTCGATTTTGATACGAGTCATGACTCGGATTTCAAATCAAATATCTCTTTATTGCACGTCACGGTTCTCACAAGGTTTTTGGGGACTTTCTTCTTATCTTCTTTATTTTGCTTTGTTCAACATTGTTAAACTTATTATTATTCTTTTATTTATTGTTGTTTTTAGAGGAAAATAAAGAAAAATATTAAAAAAATGTAATTATTTAATTAAATAATAAAAATTCAATCATTTTGCAACTGTGAAAAGATGATTGAAGAGAGAAGAGTTTTTATTTTAAACTTTTGCTTTAATATAAATTTTCACACCTAATTTTTTTTATTTTTAAAATACGATATATCAAATTTATTATTTTATTATCATATTTTAATTATAATAAAATATAAAATTTATTTTAATATTAAATATTTAATAATTTAAAATATAATTTAAATCATCTTTTTTTCTTGAGATTATTTTTTCTAATAGATGCGGATAAGTTTTTACTTAATAATGTTTTTCTTTTTCAATTCACATCAATTAACTGTGATTTATAATTAATTTGTTAAAAACTTGACATTGAAAATAATAATAATAAATCTTAATTAAATTTTTGGTATTAATTTTTAAAATATATTATTATTATTATTATTATTATTATTTCTTAATTAACTATATGACTCCCAAATTTCGGTTACGTAACACCTAATTTTATTTTTTTTGTTTTACGTGTAATAAAACACTTTACTGTTTCTTACTGGCGCCAAATATTCTAACAAAAAAAATTATAAAAATCTTAACTAAATTTAGGTGAGAAAAATCTTGTTTTGACATAACTTTAAAGATCTCTTTTATTATGTTAATACAAGTTGAGTTTAACCGCAATATGACTTTGACCCTTATATCTTGTCATTATATATAAGATTTGGAGGTTGATGATTTTGACGAAATTCTAAATATTAATTTAAATTATTTGATCTTAATTATATAAAAGAAAAAGTGGATGCTTGATATTAGATATTATAACGCGAGAATATTCCAAGTATCATGAATAATATATAAAACTATATGGAAATTAAATGTGCTTTGAAAATTTGATTGAATTAAGAATGTGATGGAATGAATGATTATTAAAGGTGAAGAAGAAAGTTGGAGGGCGCCGAAAGGAATGAAAAGTAGAGTTGGAGATGAAAAATCCCCTGGAAAGTTTGAAGCGATCAAAAGTTGGAAACATTCATTTTCTGGGTGGCTTCACGAATCGTATGCCTATGTTTCTGCATTTCAAAGGGTCAAAGTTGTGCAAGAATTCAAAGCATGTTTTTCGGTACTGCACAAAATTCGCATTTTCAAAGTTGCATTAAGAAAGTGCTTCCTTGACCACAACTTCTCGGTTCCTCAATTTGTCAACATTCCGTTTACCAAAGCACTTCATGTAGAAAAATCTATAACATTGATCTTTAAATTCAAATTATTATTTTTAATTATGGAAATGTGATTATGGCTAATTTTTCTTTTAATTACTGATATACACAAAAAGTGAGAGATGATAATTTTATTTTAATTTTCTTGGTTTCAATAAAATTTGTTAAAACAAGCTTACGTGCACAATATTTGGCGTTTCTGTATTTGAGTACAATAAATCATTTAAAACAACCAGATAGACCAATACAACTTAAACTTATGTAAGATAATATTTTTTAGATTCATGACGTCATGCATGAGATGTAATATTTTTATCATTTTATTAATTTTAAGAATTAGTTTACCAATCCATTACAATTTTAGTTGCCAAATTGATATTTCACTGTATAACAACAATACATGACATAATTATGAAAAACACAGTTTTCTTTTCGAAGTACGTTATGAAATCACTTTGCTTCACATTTAAAAGGAGAAAAATGATATAAATCTAGCATAATTAATTACGTTTATTAATCATATGGTGTTATATTTTGGAATCTAAATTGTAGAAAATAGAAGATACAGAAGGGGCAAGAACCCCTTCTCATTTGACTACTTTAGCAGGGAGGAAAGTTGGATGTGAATGTGATCCTTCTCCATTCTCTACCAAACAAGTAACAACAATGGAACATTCCACTCTTACTTTGCTTACACCTTCCTCTTGTAAAACACCTTCTCTTTCTCTTTTCAATTTTTCATTTTTCTTAAGCAACCACCACCTAACATCATTTTCTACAAGTTCATATCCATGGCACCTTCAAATTAACTCAGGAACCCAATGAGTAGCCGTTTAACCAAATAAGGGCATTCTTATGACAACATGAAACAAAATATCAGAGATTCAGAAAAAACCGGGCATTCATTTCATTATCAGTGTCACATTCAGAAAGTTTGACAGACAATATTAGCTGCTTGCCTAACACGATCTGTGACGAAATAGTAAAATACCATAAATTTGTGTGTCCTCTACCACATGTTGCAAGATATTATTTATTTTCTCAAAGAATATTCCATACACACCCCACCAAAATAACACCACCACAAAATTACACTATGAAATTTTTCAAATCACACAAATTTCTTATTACCTTCAGACAAACTTGAATAGGTTTAACCTGATAAAACGCTAACTGATACAAAGCAACGAGTATTACAGATTGAAACAAGACAGTTTTGTTTATTTCTTCAACAAGGCTCAAACTATGAAGCTAAACAAAAAAGGAAAGTAAACAAACACAACCCAATTTGTTTCTTCTCTGATTCTTCCTCCAATTATTTTCTTATTTGACACACAAGCATGTTAGATCTTGCCTGAATTTGAAGTCATAGATTCAAATTCCTGTAATAAAGATTTTTTTATGGACTAGTAAAATTTCGTACAAATAACATAAACAAATTATTCATAAGAACCACGGGTTATCTCTTGTGGCCTACAAGAGGCCACCACATTATTAATATTAAAAGATGAGAATAAACAAATATAAGCAGAAACCTAAATTTTTGAATTTTTTTATTTCCCAGAAAGGGCAAAGAGAAACACTGTTAATAATAATAACAATAGTAATCCCGTAACATTACAAATTTTTTCTCTCTAATTCTCCTAATAGGGAAAGAAAAAAAAAAAGTTGAAAATTTTCCGACAGATGATTTTTTCACTGAAGGGCATAACCGAAAAAAGACGAAGGAAAGGGACGAGGAAGAAGCAAAGAAGCCCAATTGAATGTGAAACTGAAAATCTCTATCATCGTCATCATCATCTATGGGCAGTTACGAGGGTTTCAATGAAACGCAAGCCATCAAATCTGGGAGCGAATTTCTCCGTCGAAGAAGAAGAACTCTGCGACGAAGCGTTGTCGCGGGTTCTGCTCTCATCCTGCAATAAAAAGACAATCAGCTCCACACACCAAACTCAGAAAAACACTTTTATTCACAAAATACTAAATCATTTTAATACGAACCTGATGGGAGGAGGAGGAGGAAAGGGAGGCCGCGGTGGCGGATGCGGCGGCAACGGAGGCAGCGAGGAGGCCGGACTTCTTCATGGAGAGTGTGTGGCGTGGAAGGAAGACGAATCTGGATGGGAATTTGGGGAAAATGTGGAATGGGGGGAGGAAAGAGAGAAGAAAAGGTTGGAGTTTTGGTTTCTTTGGGAAGGATTTGACGGCATATATATAGGGAGGTCTCCGAGATGGTTGTGGTGGTAATGAATCATGGTGAATTATAATAAAAAATAATAATAATCACTGTTACTATGGTTATTTGTATTATTATGCGGCAAATATACCTTGTTTTGGTTTCTTCAAACTTCCGTATTTACCCTTCTTTCTTCCAACATCTTGTGTTCTCTTACGTTTCGGTTCTTTGCCAAGTTTTCAACTTTGAAAACTTGTCAACTTTTTTTAGATTTGTTTTTTGCTGGTTGTTTGTTCTAATCGCTTTTTAATATTTTAAAACTTTTACCTAATTGATGCTTTTTTTGTAATAAAATAATAAGAATGTAATACTAGTAGGAGTAGTTTTTATTTGTGTTGTTTAAATATTATTTGTATTGTCTTTGTTATGTACATCACTTTTAAGAGATATACATCATGTTAAGATTGTAATTAGTTTCAAACTTTAATTTTTATGCACAAAGAATTTAACACTGTAAATAGTTGAAAAACCATGTGTAAGGGCTGAACATGACTTATTTTATTTTATTTTATTACAATTTAAAAATTGGGTATTGGTTGGAATTGGATTATTTAATTTTATTATTCAAATAACAAAATTAACACATGAATAAATGCTACATTTTTGTTCTTAATAAAGCACACTAAATTATAAAGTATTATTTTGAACTCAATCATCACTTGTCATAATCAAAACTAAAAAAGACAACTAAAATCTCCAAACACATTCTCATTTATAAAGTATAATCATTTATGCTCTGCGTGGAAAATCCAAATCCTGAGAAGAATAAATGAATCAAACCTTCTTTTTTTATTGTTGTGAATAAAAAATAAAGAAATATACATAATTAATTATATCTTAAACATTATATTTGCGTTATATAGTTGATTATATATAAAATACAACTAATAATATCATCAAATTTTTATTATAATAATAAATATTTAAAAATAATATTACGTCATAAACTACATTGTGATATGAGTTGGACTAGAACTTAAGGGCCCAAAACTCTAAAAAATTAATAAAAAATACCATGAGATCCAAATTAAACTATTATTCTTTGGAAAATATTGTAATAATAAAAGATTACAAGAATCACAATGGGAATAAAAGTTAAGAGTTCGATATACATTTAAACTAGTCTAAAATATATTCATAAAAACGTAATGAGTGAATCTAACCAATGGAGGACGTGGTTTTTCATATTATCTAACTCATAGAATAATTTTATTTTTAAGATAAAAAAAAACATGAAATTCATACCCAGACAATATTAGATATTTAATAAAAAAATCAACATATCTAATGATATTGTCTTGTTTTTATAATACTTTCATCGATTACAAGTAATAATTAATAATGTATACCTATTTTACCACGAATAATATTAATGAAATGAACAAAAAGAGGTCATACAAACTTTTTCTATATTATTTTTTGCAAATTAAATTTTAAAGAGCTGAAAACATATTTTTGTGCTTTAGAGATGTAATTTTTAAATAAATGCTTTTCTCAAACTAAAAAATAAATACAAATTTGAAATTTCGAGAGAGTACAGGCATATTTAAATAAAAAAATAAGATTCTACTATTTTTTTGAGATTTTCTCAAATTATGCGAAGATCCAAATGAAAAATTAACACAGACTTCTCATTTCTATTAAAAATATATTATATTTTCATCTCTTTCATGTAATTTAAAAATATTACATGTAGATTCTTAATAAATAAAAATAATTGTAATGGTAAAATAATCAGAGGGGTATAAGTGTAATTTAAAATAAAGTAACAGGTCTGGGGTGAGTATCGTAATAAAGGAAGAAACTTGGGTTAGTTGTAGAAAAGGGGAATAGTGTTGTTCTAGAATGTGCACATCAAGGGGGAGGGTAATTTGGTAAAAGAAATTGAAGGACTTAGTGGTGTTGCGCAGCTGAGGGACGATGATATTTTGAAGATGACGATAAAATGAATATGCGTTTGGGCGATTTTTTAGGAGGAATGAATCAGATTTGGACACGTTGGTGGCACTGTTGAAGCCAACGAGGGATCACCGTTTCACAATTTAGAAATATTTGCAGTTCCGTACTATATATATATATATATATATATATATATATATATATATATATATATATATATATATATATATATATATATATATATATATTTCTTTCTTTCTTTCTTTGTGGTTCTGCGTGTGTGGCTTAGCCTTGTTGATATTGTTGGGTGGTAGATTGAAAATGAAAGGACGAAGTATTCTAGAATAAATAATTAACATAATTTTTTTCTTTCTTTTTTATTGCTGAATTATTTAATATATTTTCATTGATTTACTCTAAATAAATTATATGAATATTCTTTAAAAAAATAAATATGTGAGTGAAGTTGTAACATATTTATTTTTGTTATTGGGTGAAACAAAAATAATAAAAATATTGCATGTGACAAATTTCGTACAAATATATTTATAGTTACATATTTTAGAATGTTAATTACTATCAAAATGTTAGTAAAAAGGTCTCTTAAAAAATAAAATATTAATTATTAGTTTCATATATGACAATAATAAATTTGAAAATTTATAATAAAATATTATATAAAAATTGAGTTATCCGATAGTTATTTGTATAACTTATAACATAAATGGTTAATATTTTTTAACTTTCAAATCTATAATCACAATAGTATAAGAGAAATATTGATAAAAATATTTAGTCATAAGGACACTTATTTATGATTTTAGTACAATAATACCAAGGGTTGTGAATTTTAATAATAAAACTTTATTTGATATTATTATAAGTTAGCTAAAAGAACACACTCATGTTATTTTTTATTAAAATTCACGACCCTTTTGTATAAGGTATTATTTAAAACAATAAATCTTTATAAACTTTTTCGAGTAAAGATTTTTAATTAATTATATATTTTCATTTTTTTTTACCAGACTCTACTCTTACCTTGTGTCTCTTTAAGTTGAATTTCATTTGCCTTCCATCTATATACAGATGAATCTATTAAAATAAGTTTTACTTTTTGAATTATCAAAATAAATAAAATAATGCTAAAAACAATCATGGTTTTGTAAATATGAGTGTAAGGATAAAATGAATATTTTAAAAGAGAAACACACAAAATAATTAGTACAACAATGAAAGACTCAAAAACATGTTTAGCCTATAATATTAATATTATTTCCATTTACAATCGTAATTATTACTACAACATCTAGATTGTGGTGTATTTAAATATAAAAAAAGTGCAATTAATTTGACCCTATTAAAAGATATTGTTCATAAAATAAATTTCATTTTATTGCGATTTTTATTTTTTATCCATAATATCAATTTTCAATAAAATATATTTACAAATAATAAAGATTAATGGAATTTAATTATGTTAACTACCCATTTGATCTATCTCATTTTGACAAATTGATATTAGTCGGATTCAAATAGGCTAAATTAATTCGTTTTGACATATATTATATTCAACCATAATATTATTATTTTTAATAATAAATATTTTTAAATCTAAGTGGTTATGTAATTAATCATCATTTTTTTTACATTAATTTTGTGAACATGGAGATTAAACTCTGCATATATATGAAGTTACAGCATCCCAACTTGCTACTACAAGCTAATTGGGTAAACAATTAATTTTTGTTTCAGAAGCCAATAATTGAAAGTGTTTGTAGTCTAAGGATAAGCACGGAGATTTGAGATAAAACTCTACTTTTTACAAAAACATGGATAAACTATTTTGTTTATAATTTGAGGGATGGGAAATGAATCCTTTTTGCTTTTTTGATGTATAGTTTGGATTATTATCCTTTGCTACATATTGTAAGGAACATCATTATCTTTCTTCAACTACTTGGCTGACACAGACAAAATATGTAGCAACATTATCATTTAACTTAACATTTTATTCTAAGGCCTATAAGAATATCTTCGAAAACCATTGATTAATGTTTATTAACTTATACGTGTACCTATTCATTTGTCCACTTTCGATCCTCCCTTGATTATTGCTCATCATCATAGAAAGTCCTAACTTACCCTGCCAAAAAGGGAAGCTCCACCAATCAGTCAATGAAACATGATTGGACACATTCCTTTTCACTTGACACAACATAATAAGGAGGTCAATTAATAAAGTAAAGAAAATTTGAACACTTTTTAATGGTTTTGGTTTGAACTTGCTTACTTGGAACAATTCATGCTATCAGAGATGGGAAAGCTGAGGGTAAGGTTGCACATAAGGGGAAGATCTTGGATCTTGGAGGGGACTAATGGTGGTGTCATTCCCTTAACCATGACCTCAATGCACCAACAGATGATTCTGGGGCCTGTCGCGTAACGGGCTAACTTGTTAAGCACAACCACATTTTTGCAGCATCTTGTTGGGGGCCAATGAAAATTTGGATCCCCCACAAGGAATTCCAAGCAATCGGGAAAGTATTCAAATACAGGCAAACAAACAGCGAAAGGAGAAGGCACAAGTTTTTCTGCCTCACCCATATGTGATGCAGAAACCAGAGATAATGCTAGTACTATGATAGGAATCATAGCCATTGTGCAGGATGAGATTAGTGCTTAGATGTGTGTTTTTTATTAATTTATAATAACTAGACCCCCTATCGAACTGCTATTATTTCACTGAATTGCAGCAAAACACCATTTTGGTTGTAAAAGCCGTCCAAAAAAATTCACTGAATTCAGACATGTCATCTTTATGCTCCTTAAAATCTTAAAAACGGTTGAACAGTACACTTTCCGCCAATGGAAGCAAAACTCGTGTAGGCTGTATTTTGAGCCAAAATGCAAATAAATAAGAACTCCAATTGCTTGTACCAAATGTCACTGCCATTGTAGATATGTAGATTCCGTTACCCACTACTCTTTCCATGATTTCCTGAACTGAAGGAGCATAAGGAAGGGGACCACCAAGTCATTCACACTTGTATCACACGGCAGAGTTATGTACCACAATATTCCCAGAATTTCGGATCCCAAGTAGTATCAATAATTTGACATTCACGCCCAAGTTGCCCTATTGTTTCACATTCTTTACTAATAATTCTAATTGAGGAGTGGATGATTGGCCGCAACGTAGGCTCATAGTATTTAACAAAACGAAGACTATTTGGATCTTCACGACCAATATTTGTATTTTTTTTCCTTTTCTTTCTTTCGCCATCAGCCATCTGTATAGTGGCTATTGTGCTTATAAGTACGTGACAATAACCCCTTAACAACTACATTATGGGTTATGTTAAAGCAATATGGATATGCTGGTGATGGTCGGTGCAGTACATGCAATAAATCGACATTAATTTCTCACCACAAAAATAAAATGATATTATGTGATAAAAATAAGTTTAATTATTATACTTGAACTATATAAAATGAAGGGTCATTGAATTGGTCCAGTTGGAAAGGAATGTCGTGTTATGTATGATGAGATGGTAAAGTGGTTCACGTCAACGAAACTAATCCGTTTTAATACCCAGCATATTAGTTTGGTTAATTGAACAAAGGCCACTTTCTTAAGTATAATGGTAAACAGCACATTAAAAATTGAACTAGAATATACTTTTCTTTAACACATTACATACGGAACATCAATATGCTAAAGAATATCAGGTATATTAACTAGAAGAGGTACATTCACGAATGCAGACAACAAAATTTATTCTCCAAATAATCGGTAGGTGTTACGACTTCAGATGGACCTAGACACTGTAAAATACATCATTCATCGTTACTCGGTCAAAAGAAAGGTAAATTATTACCGATAAAAATTGGCCCAGCTGACAAGAAATAAACTCTTATGTGAGTTCAATTTCCGTTGTAAATGTGAAAAAAAAAAAAATATATATATATATATATATATATATATATATATATATATATATATATATATGTAGAGAGAGAGAGAGAGAGAGAGAGAGAGAAACTGTCGGCTATAATTGGTGCACACTAGTATGTTTTTTCTCTAGCATCACTCCCTATATCAAACATTAGAATGGTTTGACAAAAGTACCATCACCATTCCCGCTTAGTTGCTAGCCAGGCAAAATCCTAGTTTTAGTTCCTACTTCCATGTTTCAACTATCATGTTCAGATTTAAGCAGTGTCCATGTTCCATATATTAGCTCATAACTTTGTATATCTTAGGGATACATAAGATTTCAGATCATAAACCAACAAAGATTGTGAGAATGGATATGAGCTGACAGAAGCAGTGTAACAAATAATGTGCAAAGACAGAAAAAGTTCCCACAGAGATCACAAACCTCACTACAAACTGGAAATATCTTTTGGACAAAACAGAACATATCAGCTTATGTTTTAAATTACTGCATTCTCCAGAAATGAAAAGGAATATTTGTTCACATAAGTATTGTCCATTTAAGTAATTAGCAAAATTTCGTTCTCTCGTAATTATTTTTATAAGTAGATTGATTCCAATCCCTAAATTTATGTGAATAATTCCCTGGTTCCTACCTGCAGATACCTTGGATTTACCTCATTTTCCCTGCCTACATGTAAATATAATGCTATTATCGAAGTTCTTTATTCTTAACATGTCTATTTCTCACATCTATTGTTGATATAACCAGAAGAACTTATAAAAGGCTTAGACAAATGTTAAGAGTCTTGAGTAGAATAAACTATTTGACATGATACTTAAATCTTCCATCTAATGAACTAGTCTTTGCGGTTGAACTCTCTTAGGTCCTAACAATTAACACTTTCAATAAGAGTTGAATAAAGGAAAAGACTTCCTATATCCTAAATTAAGGTAAACTTATAACATTCTAGTCTAATTGGCATAGCAGCGATACTATTCTGCTTCAGAATATTGTAACAGTTGATTATGAAGAGCAAAACATCATGGTCAACAAATCCTGGACATCCACCTGGATGGGGGCCAGATTTAGGGAAAGGAAAATAACCGATCTAATAAAAGTCCTGAAGCATTTTGGTTGCTGGATTTGACTGCGTATCCACTAATGGTTGATGATATGCTTATAAACTCGCTAACACAAATTGAATTCTCTTAAGTGAGCGAAGCCATCATGACTTCTATGGAATCAATGTCGATAGAGCAAAGCCATCTGAAATTACTTCCACTAGATGTAGCTAGTAGTAACAACCATAAGGTTAAGGTTAAGAAGGGAACTATCCCTCAAAAGCTAGCGCTCAAGAGGTTAGAGAACCTCCCAACTTATAATAAGGTCTCTCTAGTAAAGAGACCTCTTAATGTGGGACTTGTTACAATACCACTCTGTTCGAAAGCCAACGTCCTCGATGACTACACTCCCGAGTACTTCACTCACAACACTTCAGTCGGTCTTCTTACCGGTCAAAACCCTCCGGTGGTCAGGACCCTTCTTGGATAGCCCTTCTTGAGTTGACTGGTTCTCAATCAAAACACCAATGTAACTCAAGAAGTTGAACGTCCCACATTGTAAGACCAGGTAAGAAGAACTCCCCAATTTAGAACTTGTTACACTAGTTATTACATTGTTTTGTAAACAAACTTATTATCCCAGGCAGTTTGGAAAACAATTGCAGAGGATCTGAATCCACTCATAATTGTGTAAACCGAGAGGTATTAGAGCAATCAGTGTCATCAAGTTCAAAAGTAATTAATTTCTATGACCACAAAATATAATGATATCGAATGACTTAACCTAAGTAGTAGTATCTGATTGATGTTTCGCACAAGACAACTGTAATGGAGTTTACCAGTGGCAAGACAATGTAATGAATTTTAGACGAAGTGAGGCATATCAGAACATTGAGAACAGATGCAACTAACACCAACATCGGAAATATACAACTCATCAATGTATCGAAAACTTAAATGGTAAGGTCACAGTATATAATAGAAGAAGACATTGAAAAAATGAAAACCATATTTGCTGTAAAGCAAATAGCATTGACGACAAGACTTCGAGCAAGGTTTTTGCCTTGATCTTCGCCGAAGTACAGGATTGCTTCCTGTTGCTGATTTATCCTCACCATTGTCCATGAACATTGTTTTACGAATACGATTGAATGTAAGTGAATTTGGTTTGGTTATTATTGGGCTAAAAAACGGGCCAACTTCAAGCCCAAAATTGAGAGGCCGTATATAAAGTGCATTTGGTGAGAATAGACTGCACTTAAATGGGCTACAAAAAAAGTAGACGGGTCTTTTATGAATTTGTAAGTAGTTTATCTTTATTGTTTTATTTTATAACCAATAGTATTTTAATTTTAGAGGAATGTCAGTAATATATTTTTCACTTAAAAATACTTGTAATCTTTTAAATTTGAGATAAAGATAGTGTTGTTGATCCATAAAATTAAAAAATAACTGACCAAATTAAAAGAAAAAAAATTGTTTTTTAGCCTCTAGGTATTAACAATATTAATGAAATTACTAACATGGCTACAGAAAACTATGTTAATAATTGCTACGAGAACTTTAATGATACTTCGTTTTAAAAAAAATTCTCTACTTTTTTTCTCAGAGTTAGATCAAGTTTTTTTTTCCAAAATTTAAAAGTTATGTTTTTAGTCTATTGAATTTAAAGTTTATTCCCAAATTAGTAAAAAAATCTTAATAAAGCAAATTTAGACACATATACTATTAGCTCTCACATTCTTTTTAAAATATGTTTACGTGAATTTTGATTTATTTTATGACAGTTTTATGAATATAACGATTTTTAATTTCTAAATTTAGGTTAATGCGTAATATTTTAAAATACATTTGGAGTAGGTTCAAAACTAGCCAATAAAATAGAAAAAAAGTTACAACGAATAATCTTTCTTCACAAAATCTATTTTAATATCATCACAAAACTTATTGTAAAATACTATTCGCTAATTTACATGTTTGAAACTTTAAAGTTGTCATATTTCAGACGACTAAAATAAATTAAAGAGAAAATTAGCTTTTTAATTCACACACTAAAAGTATTATTTTATATTTCTAGGAAAAAATATTTATGAAAATTGAATAATTGAAAAACTGATTATAAAAATTGAGAGACTAAAATATCAACTCTAATTTTGGGAAAAAAAATAAAATTAATAAAAAATTGAGAGAAAAAATATTTAACAATATTCACACGTGACATTAAATATTACGTGGCAATTGTTAATGTGGTACTCCATTTAACTACATAAACAATCTCATTAATGTTGTTAATGTCTAGGAATTGAAAATGTACTTTTAAAAATTGAAAACGCCATCAATTCACAACTTCGCATAGATTATAAATTAACATTAATCCATGATTTAGTAAAACATGTAAAGTTTTAAAAAATAATATAATGATAGAATATTAAAAAAAAGTAACAATGAATTTTGTAAAATGTTAAATACTTAGGAGCGTGAATTATTATTACTATTATTATTTAATTAAAAATGAATGAAATATCTGTACTTATTATTCTTTTCAACACATTAAATTTCGAAATGGGAATAAACCATTTGAATCAATGACAGAATACTTTGAACAGGTTGATTTAGCTTCTGAGCCTCACGTATGTTGAATTTTCTTCGTGGAATGGAATCCATGGACAAGATTCAATGAATTTAATGAACTTTCGTTGCAGGAATTTTCGTGGTTAGTTTATTGTGTTGAAACCTTCAATTTCTGGTAAAAAAATTTGAATGGCATGTGGTGACATTGAACAAATGAATTTGTAGTTGCCAATAAAGAACGATGATAACTTTTAAAAAAATATTAAAATGATACGGGTAAGAGAAACGTGGCGTGTGAATATGGCAACGCGTGGCTTGCTTAATCAAATTTTCTCACAATTATTGTATTTGGCTTACTTTCAACCAAGCAGAACCAACCCACATGCAGCACATGTATACCACTTTTTCTTATTTAATTTTACAAAAGATAAGATAATGTCAGAAACATTAAAAACCAACCATGAAATCTCGTGCCTTAAAACTTAATTGTTTAAAGATATTGTCTTTGTGTGATTTTTTCTCAGTTTTAAGTACAGTAATTAAGTTTCTCAAATATATTATTTATAATTAAGTCTCTCCATCAATAATAATTAATTGCTGGTATTTAACATCTAACGTGACGTTAGCCAACGATAATAAATTAATGACTTAAAGGAATAAAATTTTAATGAATTACGATTTTAGAGTAGGTAATATCTTAAATATAAAATTTAATATGGACATTCTTAGTACGAAATTTACCCTGAGCTTAAAATTAAGTCTTATTTTATTCATATTCTTTATTTTTAACTAAGAATTATGTTTAATTAAAATTAAAGATAATTTTTATATATAATTATTTCTTAATTCATTGAAACACTTTTTAAATATAAAATTGTATCTAAATTGAATAATACATTAAATATGATAATTACTATATTATTAATAGACTATTAATGGACGGTTTACAGTTAAATAAATAATGATTGATTAACAGAATAATTATTGTTTAGATAAATCATAAATCTATAAAATTAAAATTATATAATTATAATATCTTATTACTAGTAAAATTATTTTTTTCCCTTGTTAACGGATAAAATCCCCATTAAGAAATATTGGTACTTTGGATAGTGAATAATGATGATTAGAAAAATCTTTTTTTTTTTTTTTTTTTTGAGAAATAACATCTTTTAAAACCCTCTAACAAGCAAATGTACTATTGCGTGTTGGTCATAAAAATTTAAATAAGATTTTAGTCAATTAATTGCTTAGACTTCAGATTATGTTATAAATCGCTTAGTATAATGGAAACATTTGTTAAAAACGTGTGTAATGACGTAGATTTAAAGCACATGCATAAATAGTCGAAAAAAGAGAGAGTGTGAATTAGCTATAACTTTACGATAGACAGATTTGAAAATATAAGCGTTTATTAATTTAGTTTATGACTCGATATTTTTTTCGTAAATGATATTGATTAATTTCATAATCCATAATGTGTTACGAATTTCAATATATTTATAATGTTGATTTCTCATGATAATATTTAGTTGACATTTAAAGTCACAACAATAAAAAAAAATGATAATAATAAAAATTATTATAACAAATAATTATATAATCATCATAATATACACGTCAAATAATTGTTTTCTAATTCAATTTCTCTCTATTGCATAGATAAAAACTATTTATTAATGATTATTAGTTATTTTGTGGTATTTTGTTATATACGATCACTAAACACTTAAATAACAAAATAATTGAAAATTTTAAAATTATTATTTTAATACAACACTATAATTGGAATAATTGTTTTTAAATAATCAAATTTTAATTAAATTAGGATAAAAATTATTTAAAGTTTTTGAATTAAATAAAAAAAATAAGATAATTTTTTTTAATATAATTTTGTTTATAAAAAATATAATATATTTAATTTTTTTATCTTTATTAATTTTGTATATTTTAAATAATAATTATTTTATTATATTATAATTTATTTTAACAATTAATCATCTTATATTTTTTAATATATTTTATATTTATAATTTTTATTATAATTTACGATAATTATAATTTATTTTTTAAAAATATTATTATTAATAAATTATATTATAAAAATATTATTTTATTAATTTCGTTCTATTAATCCTCGTCATGCTTTTACCGGTTAAATGATCAATCACATTATAAAAATATTGCTATAAAACTACATACAGGCAACTAGGATTTATATATTTATTTAGATGGCCATTTCTTTGGAATGCTTTGTTTAGTTTTTTAATAAATTTAAAATATATATTGTTTGAAAACTTGGATTGTAGTTTACAAATTTTAGTGCAAGTTTTCAAAATTTAAGATATAAAATTATTATTCTTTTGCTGTGTTAAAAAATAATGTAGTTGTTTGAAGTTCTTTTAACTGGTATACAAGCATCTATTAAATTGTCTTTATTTATTTATTTATTTAGTAAATTTAATTATATATTACATAACTAATAAAAATATTATTTCTCTTAATTTAAAATATGTCCTTTTTATGAGAAAAACATTATTTTTAAATATATGTATTTATAAAGTTAAATATTATGTTAATTACTCTTTTATTAATTATATTTTTATTTTCTAATGCTATTTATGCAAAAAAATATTAAAAATGATTTTAGATGAAAAATGTTAAAATGCTAAATTTAGTAAAAAAAAATTAATAAATGTATTAAAAATAATAAAATAACGATGTAGACTGTAGTAAATCTTCTATTAGACTTTTTCAATTTTTCATTTAGCAACAATTTCTTCCAAATCCATAGTCAACTACATCAATCTCGGACAAAAACACAGATCAAACTAGTACATTTAAGTACTGGATTTTTGCTTTCAGGACAATGTATTACTAACATAATAATCATTCTCCCTTCAAATTTTTCTCTTACATACCCATATGATTAGAGTTTTTAATTCATATATTCATGGCAAATAACTACACAGATCAAATTGCTTAGTCATGATAATATCATAACAACAAAAATACTCTTAATACGTAGATGTGGGGATACCAAGCGGTCAATAAGATGATGCTCATCATTTCTTAAATTACCAATAATTGATTCTATTAGTGTATTAATTTAATAGAGATGTGTCACGTTTTTTAAATTCTCCTTTCACCTAATTTTGCAAATACAAACGAAACTTCCTATTTTTAGCAGACAAATAACGTTACACACTCTCTCTATCTCCACTCCACATATTCCTTCATACCTTTCATAAAAAGCTTCTCTCTGCGTCAACCTCGCCCTCCGCCTTCACCTCCGCTCATGGCGTCTTTACCGTCGGGTCTCGTCAACGGTACTTCCAAGGGCGTTGATTATTCTTCCGGTGAGATCCTTTCTTCCTACGAAGACGACAATACCAACAACGATTCTTCCAATGGCACTTTCATCGATCCCGCCAAGGTAACATAAGCATACCCGTGACGGTTTTCCTAGTTGACTTTGCGCTTTCGCCCTTTAAAGGAAAATTCCGAATCTGGTTATGAACAAATGGCTAGGGTTTTGGGAAAGTTTTCATTTTTTACAATATGTTGTGATCACGGGTGGACGATTTTTGTTTTCTCGTTGCTATATTTATTTTTCTTTTGGGTTTTTAGACGCTTCTTTCACTCACTGCTGCACGGGAAATTCGATTGTTTTATTATTTTTAGTATGTTAGTGCAATGAAAGTCTTCTTCTTGTTGAGTAGATGCATGGATACATGAGCTGGTTAATCAGCAGCACGATGAAAATAAAAAATATATATCAACTGGATGGTGGAGGATAAAATGAAGAATTGTGTTTCGAATATGATTTGAGTTTGGGAAAGGGGTTTTGCAGTTTTAGGCATCGATGCGAGAATGATGAGGCTAACGGGTTGGCAGGGTGAAAAATGTAAGACGAACTTGTGTTCAGGTGTAGAAAGGGTAAGCTTTGTGCAAATTGCGCTATAAAGATCCTATCCTAGGGTTGGGTGCACTAGCTGATGAAAAAGGACTGGCTGTATGTTTGATATACACATTGGACTTTATCATGCTTTATTTTAACTCATTATTGACCAGGTTGACCATATTTGATGAGATAAAGCTTTTGTTATTGTGTTGATTGGTCAATGGTCAATAGAAAATGTAGCTGGGTTCTGGCTTGTTTTAATGTTAGTAGCAGGTCAATAAAACTCAATTATATCAAGAAAATTTATTGGCAGAGATCGAAGTAGAAAAAAAGGAAAGACGTAGTAAGTTTAGGAGAGAGACTTATGTCAACATGCTTATTTTAGTGTGTTTATAGTAGATGAACTTGTTCAGGAAGGATTGACAGGCATTACATTTTTCCCTTGAGAAGAAAAAGTGTCATCATAGGGTCATTGTTTAGTTGTTATCGTGGGTAGTTTGAATTTCTGTTAGCTTAGCGTTTTCCGCTTGCTTTATTCTAAATTGTTTTGATCATTCTCAAGCCGAACATTTCTTAAAATGGTTATTGTACTTGCAAACATAATGAACCACATGTACTTTTTATGTTTGTCAAGTGATTCTGGATCACAAATCTGCAAATTCTATCCTTTTGCAGGATGTTCATGCATCAAGGATGGCAAGAACATCCATAGTTCCTGCTACTGCCTATAGTTCATCTGAAGATTCTTTGAGCCGGGAAGTTATTGCTACTGTTGAGAAGAGTATGAAAGCATATACTGACAACCTTATGCGGTTTCTTGAGGGAATCAGTTCAAGGCTGTCAAAGTTGGAATTATATTGTTACAATCTCGACAAATCAATTGGAGCAATGCGATCTGATTTAAATAGTGATCATGAAGAGGCAGATTCAAAACTCAAATCACTTGATAAACACCTTCAGGAAGTAAGTTTTATTTTTAATTCGTAGAATCTGAAATGTCCTTTAAGTTAGCTTTGCTTTCTCCTTTTTTGATCTGCCTGATTAATAGCTTTGTCTTAAGAGTGAGAGAATATATATCTGGTGGATGAGTAGCTGTAATATTGTGTTCTCATCTTGTATGGTAAAAATTAAAATAAAGTCCTAGCCTTCGGGGGATATTTCTTTATGCAGTTGTAGAAGCTTTTTTCCGCACATTTGGAAAATATCTTCTCTGTATTTGTACACCAAAGCATTCAACTTGCTTGTTTTTGTAAATCTTTCCAATATTAAATTATTAATATATTTGTTCTTCAAGGTTGTTTACTACAAAACTAATTTGTTGCTGTTGCTAAATTAAGAACCATTTACTGCTAGAATAATGTATTTTCTTGCTGATATTCCTACCATCATGAAATTTATGCTGTTCAGGTAGAGGTGGAAGTATACTAAGTTATAAACATTGAGCTCAGAGTAGGCCTTCCTTTAGTAACATCACTAACATGTTGCGTGGAGCTGTTCACTTTTTGGCTGGCTGCATATACTTTGAGAGTAGACATAATTTTGCCATGTATTTATTTTCTTGTGCTGCTGATGTAGGTACACAGGTCTGTGCAAATTTTGAGAGACAAGCAAGAGCTAGCTGAGACTCAGAAAGAATTAGCCAAGCTTCGGCTTGTTTGTAAAGAATCATCTTCCTCGAGCCATTCACAATCTAATGAGGAGAGATCTTCACCATCTTCTAAGGATCGAAGAAAAATTGATAATGCTTCTAACACACAGAACCTAGAGTTAGCTCTTGCCTTACCTTATCAAATTGCTCCCCGGCAACAGCCTGTGTCATCTTCCTATCAAGTGCCAGCCCCAAATGTGAGCCAAGCGACTCAACAACCTCACTATTACGTGATGCCACCTACCCCTTTGCCCAATCGACAAGCTCAGAATCAATATTTGTTGACTGATCCACTCTATCGAATTCCACAACCACCGACATCATCTCAGGTAACCCAATCCCCACCTGTGCAACAATTTTCTCAGTATCATCAGTTACAGCATCAACAACAACAATGGCCTCAACAGTTACCCCAGCAGATGGAAGTGCAACCTCCACAACCACCGTCAACTCAGTCTCAAGTGAGTCCCCCTGTGACAAATGTTTACACTCCTTATTCTACCAGCCAAGCTACAAATCATCTTCCCACAGAAACACCACCCAACAGCATGCCGATGCAAAGGCCTTATTCAGGGATTCCACCTCGAGGATCCAGCCATAGTGATGTCCTACCACATGGATACAGTGGAGCTGGTACAACAGTTCCAAAGCAACCTATGCTCCAGCACATGAAAGGCTCTATTTTAGCACAGCCAGGTGATGTGAATGGAACTAGCGGGATATATGCCACGCATCCTCCTGCTAGCCCCTACATTGTGTATGATGGTGAGAGTGCAAGAGCACATTATCCATCACAACCTTATCATAGTACTCAAGGTGGATATCCTCCAACTAGTGCTTCCCTTCACAATCCTGCACCACATAATCTTATGGTTAAGAGCTCTAGCCAGTCACAATTTATTCGTTTCCATCCCTACAGTGAGCTGATTGAGAAATTTGTGAGCATGGGATTTAGAGGTGATCACGTGGTAAGCACGATCCAGAGGATGCAAGAAACTGACCAGCCTGTAGATTTCAACTCTGTACTTGACCGGTTGAACGTGCATAATCCCCAGAGGGGATGGTCAGGGTAAAGTACTTGTACTGCATATACCGTTTGAACAATGGTGTGCACCAAATTCGGTTTGAACAATGGTATCCAGCATGTCCTGTATGAACAATATTGTCAAGGACTGGGATCCTATGATCAAACTCTGAAATCATTGCGTGTTTTATTATGCATGTAACAGAAAACATTGATGTAATGTGCACGGTATATATAACATGTATTAGAGATCAGGATTATTATACTGGATTTAATGTTGACTCGGTGAATGAAATTATACGAATTTATTTGTTCACTAAGAAGTTAAACTGTTCGAAATCAACTCGTGAAAAGTAATACCTTGCTCTCAACAATAAATAATTATGAGTTTGTATTCTGTATGATTACTTAGCATTGTGTTATTTGTATTCTGTTATGATTACTGTGCATTTTGTTATTTTTCATCGTTATATATAAGCCAACTTTCATTCATCAATAAAGGAATACGGTTGATTTGGTCATTTGCTATTCAATATATGGATTTGTTCATTTTTATTATGGTATCAGAGCTCTTCATATGAAGAGCTCTGTTGCGCACTCAACTTTTCTTCTTCCTCCTCCAATTATTACTTTCATTCTTTCTTATCAACAATGAGTGGGGAGAATGAACAAACACCTAGCATGGACAACTTCTTATACCTCATCCGAGCGAGAATCCAACAGTTTACTCTCGTCTCCTCGATTTTAGATTCCACTAACTATCATTCATGGAACAGATCCATGATAACAGCCTTGAGTGCTAAGAATAAAATAGAATTTGTAGATGGAAGTGTCCGTGAGCCACCAAAGACAAATCGGATGCATGGTGCATGGCGTCGCTGCAACAACATGGTTGTTCCCAGGATTGTTCATTCTGTATCTACTCCAATTCGGCAAAGCGTTTTGTGGATGGATAAAGCAGAAGAAATTTGGCGCGATTTGAAGTCCCGATATTCGCAGGGTAATCTTCTTTGGATCTCGAATATTCAGCAAAAAGCATCATCAATGAAGCAAGGTGATCTCTCTGTCATGAAATTCTTTACAAAATTACGCATTATATGGGATGAAATAGAAAATTTCAGGCCAGATCTTATATGTTCTTGCACTGTGAAGTGCTCTTGTTCGGTTCTTGTTACCATTGCACAACACAAACTCGAGGATCGGGCTATGCAGTTCCTACATGGCTTGAATGAGCAATATACCAATGTTCGATCACACATCTTGCTTATGGACCCATGCTTGTGATCTCGAAGATATTTTCCTATGTTGCACAACAAGAATGACAATTATTAGGTAACAATATCATAACAAATATTAACTCTGAATCTAAAGGAAGTTTAATCAATGCTGTAAATTCCATTTGTAACTTTTGTGGATGATCTGGACACACGGAGAGTGTTTGTTATAGAAAATATGGGTTCCCTTCCAATTATGATGGGAAGAACAGAGGGAGCAATATAAAAAATGGAAAGACATGTACTCATTGCGGAAAGAATGGTCACATTGCTGATGTGTGTTATAGGAAACATGGATTTCCCCCTTACCACAAATTTTATAATAATGCAAAGACCACTGCAAATAGCATAGTGACAGTTGATAGCAAAGTCAGTGATGACCAAACACAACACCATGAGTCTCAAGAGGTTCGTTTCTCACCTGAGCAATATAAAACATTGCTCACTTTAATCCAACAAACCATCTTTTGGAAACTCAACATCTTTTCCATCTCATGCCAACCAAATTGCTTCTGTTTCCTCATGTTCCACTCATCATGCACCAACCTCAGGTATATCTCTGTCCTCTCTCAACTGCACACACACACACACACTCACTTCTTAGGTATTGGATTCTGGAGCGACTGATCATGTCTCCTCTTCATTAACTCTTTTTCATTCTTACAATCAAATCAATCCTATTTTGTTCAAACTACCAAATGGTCATCATGTTTGTGCTACCCATTCAGACATCATATATCTATTTGCTTTCATAATTTTGTTTGATGTCCTTTATATACCTTTATTCACTTTTAATTTCATTTCTATCTCTAAGCTTGTTTCCACTACTAACTGTAAACTAATTTTTTCTTCCACTTCATGTATTTTGCAGGATACGAACACTCAAGCGAGGATTGGTACAGTTGAAGTGAGAGACGGGCTTTATCATCTTACATCCAACCATATCACAACACATGCCATACACTCCACTATTGTTCATCCAAAATGTAACATAATTCCTATAGATCTTTGGCACTTTCGCATGGGCCACCTATCTTCTGAACGATTACATCTCATGCAATCTTGTTATCCTTTCTTACATAGAGATAAAAAATTTACATGTAACACATGCCATTATGCAAAACATAAGAAGTTACCTTTTCCTTCTAGTAACTCACATGCATTTAGTTGTTTTGAACTCTTGCATATGGATATATGGGGACCATGCTCAAAACTTTCCATGCGTGGACATCTTTATTTTCTCACCATTGTGGATGACCATTCTCGTTTACATGGATTTATCTCATGCAAACAAAAACTAAAACTCGTAAAAACATTACAGATTTCATTGCATAAATTGAAACTCAATTTAACAACAAGGTTAAAAGCATATGAATTGATAATGAATCTGAATTTTTCATGCATGATTTCTTTACCTTAAAGGGAATAACTCATCAAACAACTTGTGTTGAAACCCCTGAACAAAATGGGATTGTTGAACGTAAATATCAATATCTTTTAAATGTCATACATGCTCTTTTATTTCAAGCTGATTTTCCACGAAGTTTTTGGTGTTTTGCTTTACCTCATGCTGCATACTTAATTAACTGCATTCCTACTACATTTTTACACAACATATCACCTTATGAAAAACTTCATGGCAGCCCATGTGATATTTCCAATTTTCGTGTCTTTGAATGTTTATGTTACATTAGCACTCTTAAAGCTCATAGACAGAAACTTGATCCAAGAGCTCATCCATGCATTTTTCTCGGGTTTAAACCACGTACTAAAGGATACCTTGTTTATGATCTTCATTCCCATAATATTACTATATCACGAAATATCACCTTTTACGAAGACCATTTTCCATTCCCATTAATTGAAGCACAAAACACAAATAATACCTCTCCTTTCCCCGTCCCATTCACATATGATAACACACAATTTGATCTTCCCTCTCCAGTTTCACATAGCTCCTTACCAACATCACTATCTACCCACACTACTAATAATTTTCTTCCTCCCTTACGTCGTTCGACAAGAGTCACACATCCACCCACTTTTCTTCAAGATTACCAGAGTGCTCTCACTTCAACCAATGTTGCCACCTCGCCAAGAGTTTGGTATCCTCTCAACTCAGTCTTATCTTATTCTTGTATCTCTTCATCTTATCAACATTTCATTATGTCTATTTCTGCCAATACTAAACCCACTTCTTATGGTGAGGCTTCCCGTCATGATTGTTGGATTAAAGTAATGCAAGCTGAATTACATGCTCTTCAAATGAATCACACTTGGACTCTCACTACCTTACCACCTCATAAAACTGCCATTGGGTGTATAAAATTAAATACAATGCTGATGGCTCTGTTGAGTGGCATAAAATGCGCCTAGTCACGAAAGGTTATACACAAAAAGAAGGATTGAACTTTCTGGATACTTTTTCACTTGTGGCCAAGCTCACCACTGTTTGCTTATTGCTAGCCTTAGCCGCTCTTAATGATTAGCATTTGAAACAACTGGATGTAAATAATGCTTTTCTTCATGGTGAGCTTAATGAGGAGGTATATATGCAGCTTCCTCCTGGTCTCTCCGCTGACAATCCTAATCAGGTTTGTCATTTTCAATGTTCTTTTTATGGGTTTAAACAAGCTAATAGACAATGGTCCACTCGTCTATCTTCTTTTCTTCTTTCTCATGACTACAAACAATCTCCTATTGATCATTCCCTCTTCTTGCACTTCAATGGTAACACTACTACAACTTTAGCTTCAACAACATGTGAACTCCAGTGACTGACTTATCTTCTTTAATATCTTCATGTTCCTTTTGTTCAACCGACTATTTTCTATTGTGAAAATCAGTCACCAATATAGATAGCTTCTAATCAAGTGTTTCACAAAAAAACTAAGCATATTTACATCGATTGTCACAATATTTGTGAAAAAGTCAACAGTTGTCTTCTAAAGCTCCTGCCTATTTCCTCTTTTATGCAGCTCGCAGGTATTTTTACTAAAGTCTTATCTCCATCTATATTTCAAGGTCTTTGTTCCAAGCTGGAATGATGAATATACATTCCCCACTTGAGGGGCTCTCAACAATAAATAATTATGAGTTTGTATTCTGTATGATTACTGTGTATTCTGTTATTTGTATTCTGTTATAATTACTGTGCATTCTGTTATTTTTCATCGTTGTATATAAGCCAACTTTTATTCCTCAATAAAGGCATACGGTTGATTTGGTCATTTGCTATTCAATCTATGGATCTATTCATTTCTGTTACTGTCTGTAGCGATGTGTAGTCATAGTTGTTTATATTAAAAAAAGTATGAGATTCAATGTTAGAATTGAATAACCATGCATAGTGCATATATAATTCCCGTTGAAGCATTTGCTTCTATAGTTGACTTTTGTTCAGTATCAGTTATGAGATACGTGCACGTCAAACTTTGGTGGTATACTTGCAAGAACTTTATTGTAAGTTAGTGTAAGTAGCATAAGAATGGGTGATGAAAGTTAGAGATGCCTCAAACTCGTGGATCTATTTATGTTTACCTATAATGATGTTCTTTACATGAAAGTAGTCTGATAATTGTTTTTACTCAGCAAATCGTAACACTGTTACTTCCTCTAAAAGAACATAGCTTATGATCTTAGGCTCACATTGCGGTTCTCCTTGTTCTACAAAGAATTTTGGACCCTAGTGATTAAGTTAGCATATCCACCAACTTTGCCGAACTAAACCCAAACTCTTATAATTTATTCTCTTGATTTTCATCTCTGGTTTTGTAGCATCCATGTTCATATATTAAACAAAAGCCATTTTTTTAACCATCATAATACATACAAATTAATCCATATATATTTATACGAGATATAATATTTATACAATAATTTTTACCTTATTTTAATAAAATTTTCTCTTTATTTCTTCGTCAAATTCTTGTTTTTATTTTTCCCTGTGTAAACCTAAGTTTGTTTATAGGAAGCAATTGGAAGAGAGAGAAATAGAATAAAACAAACAAAATGTAATAAATAATGTGATGTGATTAGAAATAAATAAAATGAGAAATAAAATATAATAAACCAAATTGTGTATATATTTATTTATTGTGTAAATGCAATAATATATCAGCTCATTAGTTGCGTAAAAAATATTTAGTTTCTTTTTATTAAATTTTTTTTTAGTATTTGTACATTTTATTTAAAGAAATTAGTATTTGTCATAATGTAACAGGAAGTAAAATTGATTGAAAATATGCGGAGAAACTATAATGTAATAGTAGTTTTAAGTATAAGAATTTTCCAAAAAAAAAAAAAAAATATAAGATTTAGAGGAAGAAGTTTTTCTAACGAGAAATTAAAAAGGAAAAGGAAAAGTAGAATGAGAAAACGATACAAGGATGTAACTAACTAACCAGCCTTTTGTCTATTATTTTCGCGCTAACAGTAACACTACCGTAACAAGCGCAGTGTTCTCTGCTGTTCTGGATCGTCATTCCCCATCATTACATGCCTATCACCCATCGCCACCACGACGACGTCGTGCAACCCTACAACATCATCCCCCTCAACACCCCTATCACTGATCACCCTTCCCTCCGCTTCCCGGAGGTCCGCGCCGCCGCCGCAGCCCTCCGCTCCGTCAGCGACCTCCGCCTCCCCCCGCGATGGCAGCCGGATATGGACCTCCTGGACTGGCTTGCCCTCTTCTTCGGCTTCCAAAACGACAACGTCCGCAACCAGCGCGAGCACCTCCTCCTCCACCTCGCCAACGCCCAGATGCGCCTCTCTCCTCCCCCGGAAACACTCGATCCCTCCCTCCTCCGCTCCTTCCGTTCCAAACTCCTCCGCAACTACACCTCCTGGTGCTCCCACCTCACCGTCAAACCTGCCGTCCACCTCTCCAACCGCCGCTCCGAGAACTCCTCCTCCGAGCAACGACGCGAACTTCTCTACGTCGCCCTCTACCTCCTCGTCTGGGGGGAGGCCGCCAACCTCCGCTTCCTCCCCGAATGCCTCTCCTACATCTTTCACCACATGGCCATGGACCTGAACAAAATCCTACAACATCATGATGACGATAACAACCTTCATCAACCCTCACTTTGCGAGGAAAGCTTCCTCGACCGCGTGGTGCAACCGATTTACCGAACCCTACTCTCCGAGGTTGAGAGTAGTAGGAACGGAACCGTGCCTCACTCTAAGTGGAGAAACTACGATGACATAAACGAGTTTTTCTGGAGCAAACGTTGCTTTGAGAAGCTCAGGTGGCCTATTGACATTGGGAGTGGTTTCTTCGACAAGGGCTTTGGGAAGACTGGGTTTGTGGAACGACGGTCGTTTTGGAACTTGTTTAGGAGTTTCCATAGGCTTTGGGTTATGCTGGTGTTGTTCCTTCATGCTGCTCTGATTGTTGCGTGGGAGGATAAAGCTTATCCTTGGCATGCATTAGAGGATCGTGATGTGCAGGTTCGGGTTTTAACCGTTTTCTTCACGTGGAGTGCGCTCAGGTTTCTGCAGTCTTTGCTTGATATAGTCATGCAATGCAGGTTGGGTATGAAACATCGATACTTCCATATGTTTCATTTCATGTATTCATTCATATATTACCCACGTACGTTACTTGTGTTATAATGTATCTGTGATCATAGCAGGTTGGTCTCCGTGGAGACAATTGGACTCGGAGTAAGGATGGTGCTGAAAACCGTGGTTGCCGCAGCATGGTTCATTGTGTTTTTCGTGTTTTATGGGAAATTATGGGAGCAGAGGAACCGCGATAGAAATTGGTCTGTTGAAGCAAACAAGCGGCTGATGACTTTTCTTGAGGTTGCTTTTGTTTTCGTGGTTCCGGAGCTCTTGACTTTGGTCCTTCTTATTCTTCCTTGGGTTAGGAATTTTATTGAGAATAAGGATTGGAGGGTATTTTACTTGTTGTCGTGGTGGTTTCAAAGTAGAGCATTCGTTGGTCGTGGATTGAATGAAGGTCTTATGGACAACATTAAGTACACCTTGTTCTGGGTTGTGGTCCTGACCTCGAAGTTTTGTTTCAGCTACTTTTTGCAGATTAGGCCAATGGTTGCTCCATCGAAGGCGGTTTTGGACCTTAAGGATGTCAATTACCGGTGGCATGAGTTTTTTCTGAACGGTAATGGGTTTGCTCTCGGGATACTGTGGCTTCCGGTTGTTTTGATTTATCTGATGGATATTCAGATATGGTATTCAATATATTCATCTTTTGTTGGGGCGAGTGTGGGGTTGCTTGCACACTTGGGTGAGATACGGAGCATGCAGCAGCTGAAGTTGAGGTTTCAGTTTTTCGCTAGTGCAGTTTTGTTTAATCTAATGCCAGAGGAGCAGTTGTTGAATGCAAGGAGAACCTTGAGTAGCGAAGTTAAGAATTCGATTCATATGATGAAGCTAAGGTACGGGTTTGGTCAGCCCTATATGAAGCTTGAGTCTAACCAGAGTGAGGCTAACAAGTTCGCATTGATATGGAATGAGGTAATTATGTGTTTTAGGGAGGAGGATATCATATCTGACCGGGAGGTTGAGCTTCTGGAACTGCCAAAGAACTCTTGGAACGTAAGGGTTATTCGTTGGCCATGTTTTCTTCTCTGCAATGAGTTGCTGCTGGCGCTCAGCCAGGCCAAAGAGTTAGTTGAGGCTTCTGATAAGAGGCTTTGGCTGAAGATGTGCAAGTATGAGTTTAGGCGATGTGCTGTCATTGAAACATATGACTGCATCAAGCACTTGCTGTTTCAGATTATCAAACCTAATACCGATGAGAATTCCATAGTGATGGTTCTATTTCAAGAAATTGACCACTCTGTCGAGATTGGGAAATTCACTGAAGTATTCAAAACCACTGCACTTCCCCAGCTCCATAACAAGTTGGTAAAATTAGTGGAGTTATTGAACAAGAAACAAATGGATTCTAGGCAAATGGTTAACACCCTTCAGGCCCTTTATGAGATTGTTGTCAGAGACTTTTTCAAGGAGAAAAGGAATATTGAACAACTTAGGGAGGACGGTTTGGCTCCACAAAATCCAGCCTCTTCTGAAGTTCTACTTTTCGAGAATGCCATTCAGTTGCCTGAGACTATCAACGAGAACTTCCATAGACAGATTCGGCGCTTGCTTACTATTCTTACATCGAGAGATTCAATGCAAAACGTCCCAGTTAATCTTGAAGCCAGACGAAGGATTGCTTTCTTCACTAATTCACTTTTTATGAAGATGCCCCATGCCCCCCAAGTTGAGAAAATGATGGCTTTCAGTGTTCTAACACCTTACTATAGTGAAGAAGTAGTTTACAGTAAAGAACAGCTAAGAGTTGGGAATGAAGATGGGATATCAACCCTGTACTATTTGCAGACTATATATGATGATGAGTGGAAGAATTTTATGGAGAGGATGAGGAGGGAGGGGATGAAGAATGAAAGTGATATATGGACTCATAAACTTGAGGATTTGAGGTCCTGGGCATCCTATAGAGGCCAGACCCTATCAAGGACTGTTAGAGGAATGATGTACTACTATAAGGCCCTCAAGCTTTTGGCATTTCTGGATTCTGCATCAGAAGTAGAGATTCGAGAAGGGACACGTGAACTAGTTCAACTGAATCAAGACAACTCAGATGATTTTAGATCCGACAAGTCACCACCTTCCCCTACAAGTTTAAGTAGAGAAGACAGTTCAGCAAGATTGTTATTCAAAGGCCATGACTATGGAACTGCATCAATGAAATTCACATATGTGATTGCTTGCCAGATATATGGAGCTCAGAAGGAAAGAAAGGACCCCCATGCAGATGGAATTTTGTATCTGATGAAAAACAATGAATCACTTCGAGTTGCTTATGTTGATGAGGTTCCCACTGGTAGGGGTGAGAAGGAGTATTATTCTGTTCTTGTTAAGTATGACCAACAATTGGACAAGGAAGTAGAAATTTACCGTGTGAAGTTGCCAGGTCCCATAAAACTCGGAGAAGGAAAGCCAGAGAATCAAAACCACGCCATAATCTTCACTCGCGGGGATGCAGTTCAGACCATTGATATGAACCAGGATAACTACTTCGAGGAGGCACTTAAAATGCGGAATCTCTTGGAAGAATACAGGTATTACTATGGTATCAGGAAACCCACTATTTTGGGAGTAAGGGAACACATTTTTACTGCCTCTGTTTCCTCTCTTGCATGGTTCATGTCAGCTCAGGAAACGAGTTTTGTCACCTTGGGACAGAGGGTTTTGGCAAACCCTCTGAAAGTTCGAATGCATTATGGCCACCCTGATGTGTTTGACAGGTTTTGGTTCATAACTAGAGGTGGTATTAGCAAAGCCTCAAGAGTGATCAACATAAGCGAGGACATCTTTGCAGGCTTTAACTGTACACTTCGTGGGGGTAATGTCACCCATCATGAATACATTCAGGTTGGAAAGGGAAGGGATGTTGGTTTGAACCAAGTATCAATGTTTGAAGCAAAGGTTGCTAGTGGAAATGGGGAACAAGTCCTAAGCAGAGATGTGTATAGGTTGGGTCACAGACTAGATTTCTTGCGAATGTTGTCATTCTTCTACACTACAGTAGGGTTCTTTTTCAATACAATGATGGTGGTCCTTACAGTATATGCATTTTTGTGGGGCAGATTAGTGCTTGCTCTCAGTGGTATTGAAGCTGCTATGTTAAACAACACCAACAATAATAAAGCACTTGGTATTATTTTGAATCAGCAGTTCTTAGTCCAAATTGGACTTTTCACTGCCCTTCCAATGATTGTGGAGAATTCCCTTGAACAAGGGTTCCTTCAAGCTGTTTGGGATTTCTTGACCATGCAGCTCCAACTTTCATCAGTTTTTTACACGTTCTCTATGGGCACGCGTAGCCATTTCTTTGGAAGAACTATCCTGCATGGTGGGGCAAAATACCGAGCCACGGGTCGTGGTTTTGTCGTGGAGCACAAGAGTTTTGCCGAAAACTATAGACTCTATGCTCGCAGCCATTTTGTGAAAGCGATTGAACTGGGGCTAATACTAATAGTTTATGCATCACAAAGTACTGTCGCAACTGACACATTTGTTTACATAGGCATGACCTTCTGTAGTTGGTTCTTAGTTGCATCATGGATTATGACACCGTTTGTGTTCAATCCTTCTGGCTTTGACTGGTTGAAAACTGTGTATGATTTTGACGACTTTATGAACTGGATTTGGTACCGTCAAAGGGTGTTCGCTAAAGCTGAACAGAGCTGGGAAAAATGGTGGTACGAAGAACAGGATCATCTACAGCTAACTGGCATTTGGGGAAAGCTTTTGGAGATAATTTTAGACCTTCGTTTCTTCATATTTCAGTACGGTATTGTCTACCGGCTAGGCATAGCTGCTGGAAGTACCAGCATTGCTGTTTACTTTCTATCTTGGATTTATGTGTTTATTGTGTTTGGGATCTATGTGGTGGTTGCTTATGCCCGGAATGAATTTGAATCAAAGCACCACATTTATTATCGGTTGGTCCAGTCCATGGTCCTAGTTCTTGCCATACTTGTGATAGCTGGGTTAATGGAATTCACTGACTTCAAATTCATGGACATTTTTACTAGCTTGGTGGCATTCATTCCCACAGGCTGGGGCATCATACTGATTGCTCAAGTATTCAGGCCGGTTTTGCAGTGCACCATAGTTTGGAATGTTGTTGTTTCCTTGGCTCGTTTGTATGATATATTATTTGGGATCATTGTTATGGCTCCTGTGGCTCTACTATCGTGGTTGCCTGGGTTTCAGCCCATGCAAACTAGAATTCTCTTCAAGGAAGCATTCAGTAGGGGCCTTCGGATATTCCAGATAGTTACTGGAAAAAAGTCATCCGGTAATTGTGACTAGAGGCATTTTTTGTTCATGTGTTGTATTGGCCTATATGTTTCTGTACGCCAATCTTTTACTGTTAGAAAAGGTTTAACAGGACAAACAAACCATTTTTGTTTCCTCCTGTTGAATGAGAAGCAGGGATTATGAGTTCTACATTATATGAATATGACACTGAGCTTGTCATTTTTATTTTGAACGCCTGTCTTTATTCCCTTTGGTATTCATTCAGCTTAACACTGCTTGCTGATAGGTTCTCCTTTTGTGCAATTGATGATGTTAATCTTTTGAGCCAAATTTTGGTTAGCTTCCTTGCTCCACGGATTGTTTCTTCTTGGACTATTAAATTCATCTCTTAACTATTGTAAAAAGTACATTTTGAAGAACCTATTTCATTCATGTCAATCTTTTACTGATAAACTAGTTAAGTATAAAATTCAACTTATAGAGTCGCTCTACTTGCTGATAACTTGAGAGATAGTATTTATGATATATTTTTTTTTTTAAATTGATTGTTTATTTTAATTTTATGAATCTTATAATGAATATTTATCTCATAATAAATTTTGTTACCTTCATTGTTTTTCATATTTCGTGGTGTTGCTGTATCTGGTTCAGTGAGTGAGCAAGATTCAAAGAAGAAAATTATGCGCTGCTGCTTAGAAGATTCATAGGTGCCGCCTGTTAGGTAAATATTAAATGGATGTGAGAGATAATGGTTATAGAGGTAATAGATGAGAGGTAGTACTTGAGAGTGACTAGTTGTATTGAATGTATGTAGTTGAGAGATAGTAGTTGTATTAAATGTATGTAGTTGAGAGATTATATTCAAAGGCCTATAAATTAACCATGTACCACTCATTGTAAACACATTAAATGATAATATATAGAGTGTTTTATTTAGATACTTGTTTGTGAACACCCCCAACATGAAGCTTTGGTTGTTGTATTTGCCATACAATTAGGATGTTGGTGTCAAAAAAGATTGGATCAAATTTAATATATTCTTTTATTAAATTTAATTGAAAGAGGTTAGGTTAATCCAATTGTTTGAGTTGATTTGAATTAGGATATCTAGTTGATTAATTAAAAAAAATTATTTATTAAGATTTTTTTAAATAAATATTTTTACTATTTTAATAATTATAAAGTAACAAGAATATTTATAGTACATATATAAATAACAATAATATGATAAAATATAAAATTAATTTTATTATATAATCAAGTTAAATGAAATTTATTGAATTTAAAATTTATGAATTAGTTATTTAACTTAATTTTAATTAGATATACTCGACACAAATTTAATAATTAAACAAAAAAAATGTTGATTTTTTTTATTGATTTTTAGTAGTGTTGAAAGGTAAGTGAAAAAACAGGTTGGATATGATTTCTAGTAATACGTTGAAAAAAAAAATCGAGAAAGGATATCATGAATTTAGTGTATTACATATGAGTATTTTTATTTATAATTGTTGAATATAGAGAAAATAAGGTTTGAAATTAATTTCCCTTGTGTATAAATCACACATAGGGTGGTGTATTTATAGTAGAGAGATACAACTAAAAGAGTAACTGAAAGTAACAGAATAAATAGAAGATATTGTTTGATATTGTGGTTACCAATATCTAACAATATCTTAACAATATCAAATAATATCTAAACAATATCTAACACTCCCCTCAAGTTGGAGCATACAAATCGTATGTGTCAAGCTTGTTACAAATATAATCAATTCTAGGACCCAGTAAAGATTTAGTAAAAATATCTCGCTAACTGATCACTTGAGTTAACAAACTCGGTCTTGATATCTCCAGACATAATCTTTTCTCGAATAAAATGACAGTCAATCTCAATGTGTTTGGTCCTCTCATGAAAGACGAGGATTAAAACTAATATGAAGAGCGAGTCGATTGTCACACACAAGTGTCATTTGAGTGACATCTCCAAATTGTAACTCTCTAAGCAATTGCTTGAGCCAAACAAGTTCACAGGAAGGCTGAGGTCATAGCTCTATATTCTGCTTCTGCACTCGGATCTTGCCACAACACTTTGTTTCTTACTTTTCCATGAAATCAAGTTACCACCAATGGAGACACAATATCCGGATGTAGATCTTCTATCCGAAGGAGATCCTGCCCAATCGATATCTCGAGTAGCAAACAACTCTTGTATGGTTATTAGAACCATATAACAATCCTTTTCCAGGAGATCCTTTAATATACTTCAAGATATGAATGACTCGCATTCCAATGATCTTCACATGGTGAATTAAGAAATTGACTTACCACACTGACTGCAAAGGAAATGTCGGGACGAGTAAGCTGTAAGATAATTCAATTTTCCAACCAATCTTCTATACTTGCTCGGATCAGATATAGGCTCCCCCGATTTGGTAGAAGTTTAGTATTGGGATCCATGGGTGTATCAACAGACTTTGAACTCATCAACCCAGTTTCCTCCAAAATATCTATGGCATACTTCCTCTGAGATATAACAATACCATCATTGGACTGTGTTACCTCAATACCCAAGAAATATCTAAGTTTGCCAAGATCTTTGGTCTGAAAATGGTGACAGAGATGTTGTTTCAACTAAGAGATGACATGGTTGTCACTACCTGTAAGAAAAATGTCATCAACATATACTATCAAGTAAACACATCCAGCACTCGAGTGTCGATAAAAGACAGAATGATCTGATTCACACCGAGTCATACCAAATTGTTGAACAACCTTGCTAAACTTTCCAAACCAAGCCCTAGGAGACTGTTTTAGGCCATATAGGGATTTGCGAAGACGACATACCATCCCAGAAGACTCCCCCTGAGCAATAAACCCAGGAGGTTGCTCCATATATATTTCTTCTTGCAAATCACCATTGAGGAAAACATTTTTAACATCCAGTTGATAAAGAGACCATTGTTGAAGAGCAGCCATGGCGATAAATAAACGAACAGAAGCCATCTTTGCCACAGGGGAAAAGGTATCTCCATAATCCAACCCAAAAATTTGAGTATATCCTTTGGCCACAAGACGAGCTTTGAGGCGATCAATAGTACCATCAGGTCCAACTTTGATAGCAAACACCCACCTGCAACGAACAACAGATTTCCCAGACGGTAACGAGACCAATTCCCAAGTTCCACTATTATGAAGAGTACTTAGTTCATCTAACATGGCCTGACGCCAACCAGGATGGGCTAAAGCTTCACGGACAGTTTTTGGAATGGTCACAGAAGAAATAGAGGAAATACATGTATAAAAAGGTAATGACAGTCGATGATAACTCAAAGCAATATAATGGGGAGAGGGATTACATGTAGAACGAATACCTTTTCGGAGGGCAATGGGAAGGTCAGACTCATGTGTCAGATCCAGAGGAGACAGAGTAGTTGGCACTTGAGTAGAGTCACATGGTGGTGGTTGTTATTGGTTTCGAGAACTATAAATCTGAAGAGGCAGTGGAGAAGAAGCTAACTGCGGAACAGGAACTAATGGTGAAGAAGACACAGTTAGAGGGTCACAAACAACAGGAACATTAAATGTATTAAGAGTGTTGACAAGATTGGATGGAGACAGAGGTGAAGTTTGACTTTTAAAATAAAGAGACAACTCATCAAAGATGACATCTTTTGACACAAAATAACGGTTAAGAGAAGGAGAAAAACATTTGTATCCTTTTTGTGATCTTATAAACCCTAAGAAAATACATTTATGTGATCTAGGAGAAAGCTTGTCCAGACCAGAACTGAAATTATGAACAAAACATGTAGACCCGAAAACTTTCAGAGGTAAAGGATGAAGTGGTTCATGAGGGAATAAAATGGAATGAGGTATTTTATTATCTAAAACCGAAGAAGGCATGCGATTAATGAGATAACATGCAGTAAGAAGAGCATCACCCCAAAAATGTTGAGGAACATCTCCATGAATTAAAAGTGTGCGAGTTGTTTCAATAAGATGTCTATTTTTACGTTCAGCTACACCATTTTGTTGAGGTGTATAAGCACAAGAAGTTTGATGCAAAATACCGTGAGAAGCCATGAATTTTTTAAAAGAATGAGAAAGATATTCACGGCCATTATCACTACGCAAAACTCTAATAGAAACACCGAACTGAGTTTGAATTTCATTAAAAAAATTTTGAAAGATATGAAATAATTCAGAACGATTTTTCATCAAAAATAACCAAGTGCATCTGGAATAATCATCAATGAAAGTAACAAAGTATTGAAAACCTAAAGTAGACTTAACGCGGCTAGGTCCCCAAATGTCAGAGTGAACCACGGCAAAAGGGGACGAAGCACCACGTGTGAAACTACGAGGAAAGGAAGTACGACTATGCTTGCCTAATTGACATGACTCACACGCCAAACTAGATAAGTTGGACAAGGCAGGGACAAGTTTCTGTAACTCGGCAAGACTTGGATGACCTAACTGAGCATGAAGAAGAGAGGGAGACTCCATAACTGTACTAACATGTGTAGAGGGACGGAGATAATAAAGACCATGAGACTCACATCCTGTGCCAATCACCTGTTTCGAACTCCGGTCCTGTAAACACACATAATTGTTGGTAAAAGTAACAACACAATCAAGAGAACGAGTTAGACGACTGATGGACAATAAGTTAAAAGGAGACACAGGGACATAAAGAACATTATCAATGGTTAAAGAAGGAAAAAGTTTAACCGTTCCAACACCATGAGATGATACTCTAGAACCATCAGCCAGTGTAACAGAAGGTAAATGATTAGGAGAGGATAAAGAGGAGAACAAAGATTTGTTACCAGTAATATGATCAGTGGCTCCTGAATCAAAAACCCAAGGACCAGGAGAAAATGATTGGGTCAGACCAGCAAAATATGTATTTGTATGTGTGACAGATATAGTGGAACTAGAAGACTGTTGATCTTTATACCATTCGAGAAATTTGTTGAACATAGCAGACATGTCGGATGCAACAGAAGAACGAAGATCCCCTGCAGATAAAGGTGAGAAAAGATTGGTCTGAACAACTACAACAGACTGAGGAGGACGACCATGTAATGTATAACACTTGTTAATCTTGTGACCTAGCTTGCCACAATGTTCACACTTAGGACGCCCTTTTTCCTGTTTGCGAGGGCGAGCCCGGTCATCACGATGGGATGTCAACACAAAAGAATCGTTAACAAAATTGGAAATAGTGGAAGAAGTCATGAAGAGCGGGAGAACAAACCCTAAAACAATCCAAAGTAATCCAATTAACCCACGAAGCACAAATCCAAAATGAGAATACTAAAAATAAGTTCGCCAAGACTAAACGGTGCAGGAGACAATGAGACGACCAACTGCGATAGTGGTCATCTCAATGGCACGGTGGTCACCTGACCGAGACAAGCTAAATCATATGTCACCGGTAAAAAAAATATGAAACTCCGGCGAATTCTCCGACAGCGGTGGACCCGGTGACTGCTCCAGCGGCAACGGTGACAGTAACGTGAACTAGTACACTAGGTAAGTTATCAGGAAAGAGAGGTGGGTCACTAATAGACACACTTAAATACCAAGTCTTTCCTTGTCAGAACTTTCCTAAACATGCACTTTCACACTACCAAATAAAATTCAATGACAAAAATAATTCTTTTCTGATGTGGAGGATCAGTTTACCAGCAGTGGTGGGGCGGCTCTAGCAGCGGTGGGGCGGCTCCAACAGTGGACAAAAGGCTGAAAAAAAAATTCAAGATAACCTTAAGCTCTAGATACCATGTTGAATATAGAGAAAATAGGGTTTGAAATTAATTTCCCTTGTGTATAAATCACACATAGGGTGGTCTATTTATAGTAGAGAGATACAACTAAAAGAGTAACTGAAAGTAACAGAATAAACATAAGATATTGTTTGATATTGTGGTTACCAATATCTAACAATATCAAATAATATCTAAACAATATCTAACAATAATAAATAAGAGATATAATAAAATAAAAATAAAATCAACATTTAATAGTAATCAATATAATATTTATAGTTTTTAATAAATTTTTGAGTGATAATAAAAATGGTGACGAGTACACAGTATAACATTTACATAACAGCTAAAGAAATAGTTAAATGGATGACTCATACTTGCTTGGTTTAATAGACCGTTAAGACACGCTAACAAATTTCAAAAAATAGGTTACATTATATAGAAAGATTTATTGCTTAAATATAATTAGATAAATTTTGGTATAAGTTATTTAAATTTAAATGAATTTAAGTGAGACTAACCTTCGTGGTTAATCTATTTTATAAAATAATAAATATTTTATTAATAAAATAAAAATAATATTATTTTATTAATATATATATAATTAAAAATAATAATAAACTCTAAATATAATTTTTATTTATTTTAGTTATTTTTTTTATTGTTATCGTTACCTCTATTTTTACGAATCAATAATTTAAGACAATATATTATTAAATATAATGTATTTTCAAAATATTATTATCTAAAAATTATGTTATTAATTTGAGAATTATGTTACTAATTTGTTAAAATAATGAAAATTTGATTTTAAAATTTATTAATATGTATTTATAAGATGTATTATAAAATATGATTTTAAATTTAGTTATATCGAAGTACGAGGGAGTTTGGAGACAAATAAAATTTTGAATCTTAATTTTAAATCAATCACTAACAACACTTCAATTACAATTTATAACATGTATTTAAAAAAAAAACTAAAAGACGTATTATTTAATATTTCTAATAAGATATTTGACACAAATTAATAAAAACACAAATTATAAGTATATTTAATTGAAAAGAAAAAATTAAAAAATATATTTTCTAATATTTTTGTTAACACATATATTTAACTCCAACTTACGTTTTCATTCTTATTATTTTATATTTTGATTTTATTTTACTTAGGTACATTATGAATTAATTTTAAATAAAATTAAAAGAAATTATATAAATAAAAAAAATATTTTTAATAAAATAAAAAATAATCTATTATCTCGTTGGTGTAATATAAAAATTAGATTATGATAATTTTTTTATTATATTTTAAAATATAAATCATATTAAATCATTAAATATTTTTTAGTAGATGGCCATGACCGCCCGTTTGGAAATGGTTTAGTTGTCATTGGATGATAGGTTGTTTTATTTGCTTCTCATTAAGTCTTGTCAGATTTCAGAATATACAGGGTAAAATATGTGGAAGCAGAAAGTTCCACTTGAACAATGGAAACATTTCACTTTGAACAACGTCAGTGCAGACAAGTTGAAACTGCATGAAAATCGTGGCTTCTATTTTTAATTTAATATGTCTTCAATCGTTGAGACTATAACTAATAACTAAAATAATGTCGTCGTTAAATCGTGGTCACAATTACAATTAGAATATTATGATATATCTGATCCTAATCTACAGCTTTAATAGCACATATAAAAACCAACCAAGTTTCGAATTGACTTTTTATTTATTATAGAATTAAATTTTCCACCAGACACTGCCGACAGGATTTGGATCTAGGTGAATAAATAAATCTTTAATAAATGATAAAAAGAAGAAAGAGAAAATATTTTTCTCATGTTTGCTTCCTCACTTACTAATTTAAAAAAAAAATATTTTGTAATTTGGAAAATAAGAGATAAACATAAATACAATATTTATCTGTCGTGACATAACATGTGTCTATTTATGTAAAAATATTATGTTACTTTAAGTGCATATTTATCTTATTTTTTATACATTAAACTAATGAAGAAAATTGCATTTTTCTTTCATATTCTATTAGATATTTGAATAACAAATTCTGACATGCATTAACTAAATCCAGTTTCTCTTCAAAGAATTAAGTGAGAAAAAGTTGTAAATTAACTTTCCAAGTGTGATGCATTCATCGTCCACGTATATGTTTGGAACACCTGTCCCAATACAGTAATAACACCCAAACCACATCACAGTGACCCAGACATTATGATAACGAACGACATTGACAATTTCATTTTAAAATTAAAATATGAACTTAACTTAAATAGTAAGAATGAATATCCGAAGTTTAACGAATGAAATTTATATTTGAATAATACCAAAAAAATAAAAATAAATAAGCATTATTAAAAACTCAGACATGCTAGTAAATGGGCAAAACAAAAGGACAGGAAGGGAAAGGTGTGAATTGGAGGTCTTTATTTGACTTTGCATGGTACGATTTCAGTGTTGATGGGGCACGCAATTCATATGTAGATAATTCCCCAATCACATCATCACTTGTCGATATACAAAAATGAAAGAATAGAAGTGTAATAGTCAATCTGGTCGTTATTCGTTGGGGCCATTCTTTCCGTGTGCCATGAGCGTGATCCATAAAGCATTCCAATGTATATATAATTAAAATGAAACGGTTGTAATAGTGTTTTAAGCACATCACCCTTTCTTTCACTGTTCTCTCTTCTCCTATCTCTTCTCTCTAGATGATGGAGGAGTCTCTGCTGAGAGGCGAAAGCAGTGGCCTCAGCAACCGCCGGCGAGGAGTGTTCCGGCGTTCCGACGCTATCACCTACGGCTCCAACTACGAGAAAGCCGCTGCGTTCGTCGATCTGGTTTGTTCAACTCTTTCTCCTTTCGTTTATGCCTTTTTCGGAATCTATTTCAGTGAACTCATAATAATGTGCTTCTTCGGTTCTATTTTCCGTCTATTGCGAAACTGTTGTTGTTATGGTTTAATTCAGCTGTTATCTGTTATGCTTTGCAAATTGCGAGCGAGTTTCTATTAGGCATTGTGTTGGAGACGTAGATAGGTAGATCTTGTCATCGTGGCTTGTTGCGGTACTTAACAAATGAATCCGTGTTCAAATTTATGTGACGGACTCGTTATTGAAGGAATCTTAAGAATAGTCAATTGAATCTGTTCTGCCGGCAATGTTAATATTATATTTGAAGATGAATTGCATCCTCTCTTAAGTTTGTCAGTGTCGTTCTAATTTGGAAAGTCTCGGAGGGGGTGACAATGTTACGAGTCTCACATTGAGTGAGTTGAGTTACTTAATGTAGTACTTAAGCCTCGAGATTCTCCTACGTAATGGATTAGCCTTTTGAATTGTGCTTTTCCTCTTGTGCTCGAGTCTTAACAGCTTCTCTAAGCTCAAATGCTCGGAGTGTTAAGTCAGTATGGCTGCTACGTGTGTCATGTTAGTAAATTGATGGAGTAAATGCTTACAAACTGCACTTTGTCTCGACTTTCTGCATGAAATGAGATGTTTTTAACTATAACATAACGGTGGTCTCCTGTCAAGGCTAAGGACTAGAGGGCCTTCCTGCCCATGTGTGTAGTAGTATTGATTGTCCTTATAGGACCAGTGTTCTAACCTCAAGGGCCTTGACCCTCCTTCTACGACCAATAAATAGTGTTTATAAGTTAAATTTGCCTCAATTCCTACAGAATGTGGAAATTTTTTGGCGTACTGGGACAAATTTACTGAAATATTTATATATTCTACTAACTTCCCATTTACATTGATTTGTCATGGACTTTCTTGGTAAGTTAAGTGCTTGTATTCTGTTTGGAATGCTTTATGCAGGCTGAAGATGGTGTTGGTCTCCCTGAGCAAATTCTTGATTCATCAAACTTCCAAAGTTATGCAAGATTTTATTTTATATTCACCAAATTCAATCTCATATGGTCTCTTAATTATTTTGCTTTGATAGTCCTGAATTTCCTGGAGGTAAGTAGTGGCAAGCTCCGTATGAACTTTAGTTTCAGTTAACCGTATTTGAGGCTTCCAGGCTAAAGAAAATATGATAGAAAGAAGATTTTTCATAATGTACTTTACTTGGTACAGAAACCTCTATGGTGTAAAAAACTTGCCACGAATTCCTGCAGTGATAGAGAGTATTTCTATTTGGGTCAATTGCCATATCTAACTGATGCAGAAGCTCTAATTTATGAGGTAAGAGTTCAGTACTTCAGACACCGTTATTTCTAATGGGTAAATTATCAGTGACCTTTTAATAGTTGTCATTTTGAAAATGGCGAAACAGCTAATACTACCTGTCTATGTGATTATCTTATGTCAAGCAAGCATTTTAGAGTGATAAAGCTAGTGCAGGCTCCACTTCCTCTGTGTGCATGAGACATATTGCATGCCTACATTACATTGTTGCCTTTATGTTTTTCTTTTGATAATTTTGCATATCTTCCGAGTCTCCTTTTTCTTTGGAACTCGGTAGTGCTTATTTCTGTAGGGTTTGTATTAGTGACTTGCTTCACATCTTTTATCCAATTTGGATTGATGTGTATTTTTTTCCCTTCCTTTTAAGGAGGGTTTCTTATCCTCCCATCAGGGGTACATTCTATGTTTTCTTTATAATAATTTTTTCTTCTTTCATTAAAAAAAAAAGCAGTGTCTTATACTATAAGGAATGTTATGGAGATATTATTTGATCTGTGTGGTTGTTCAAGTGTCACTGTAGTAATTTCTCAACTATCTGTACATTATTTTTTCTTACGCGAGCCTTTTCTGTGTAATACAGGGAATAACTCTTCTTTTGCTAATAATACATACTTTCTTCCCATTGTCATACGAAGGATCCCGTATATATTGGAAGAGTGGTATTAATCAATTGAAGGTATGTTGCTTCAAGATCATACTAAAGAATATAATATGGTGGGAGATAACGAAGTTTTATCAGCTCTAATGTTGCTTTAAACCTAATGTAGTTTTCTGTCTGGATCAGATCTTACTTTTGGTTGAATCGGCATGACCAAATGCTACATATTATTTGGAGAGATAATATCTTTTGTATATTAAGGATAAATCAAAAATTTTGACTTAAATGAATACATCATGCATAACATGATAATGTTTTTACATATCATATATATACTTTTCTTACACACACAAACATATTTTAAAGCACCTATAGTTTTATTTCCTTTTTAAATTTTTCTGAGATAGCCGTGCATAATTTCTAAATTTGTACATTGCATATCTTGGGTTAGCCCTATTCTGATCAAACAACTTCTTGTTTTGGGCCAATATTAACCCGGTGCAACCCAGCCAATGACACTCTAGTTGGTTTTTCCGTGTCCAGACTCCAAAACTCCAAATTGTTTCTCAATAAAAAAAAAATTCTCAATTGAAAGAATGGGTTAGTTATAGGTGTTAAATTTATCAAATGCATTTGAGCGGAGTTAAAGAATCCTAATCCTCCAAACAAATTTGGTTTGGAAGACAAATTAGTGGAATCAAACATAAATTAAAGAAATTTTACTTGAGAGTTTTTTCTATCATTAAGGTTCCTATGTGGATGTTTCAGACAACTTTAAAACCTTGAGTGCAGTTGATATCCCTCTCCCTAATTTCTTCATAAAATCTAATCCAAGACACCTGTTTCTATAGTTTACTGATAAATTATTTTGTTGGTATTTCCAGGTTTTCTGTCTATTAGTTCTTGTTGCTGATATGCTGCTCTATGCCTTTTACTTGTCTCCACTGGCTTTTGATTTTCTACCTTTCAGAGTTGCACCATATGTCAGAGTTGTTCTTTTTGTTCTGAACATAAGGTATCGCCTGACCTATCTCAACTTGTTGTTTTCCTTTGGAGTAAATATACTGCTGCAGATTATAACTTTTAGGACCCCTGTGCTTGAAATTTTTATTAATCATTGTGTGTTTCAATTGTAGAAACTATAGTTATTATTATTTGCACAAGACTGGAATGGAGATAAATGAAGGAACAGATAGAACTGAGTAGGACATAACATATCATTCCTGTGTCTGACTTTTTTTTTTTCCTTAAATGGAGGAACATTTTTTACATGAACACAAAAACTTAAGCTGTTTTGTGAAGGCTTAGTCTGTAGCTGATATCTCTGTTTTATGGAGACCAAGAAACAGTTTTATCATTGCCACTTTTATTTAAACTACAATTTTAGGACAAATTGTACTTGTCTTGTGCTCTGTACATGCTTCAGTCTTTTAGGGGATTCTTTATTTCATGTGTGGTTGGTGTCTGGTTAAGCTTGAGGTTGATTTGGTTCTCTTCTCAACACTCATATTTAATAATTTATGACATGAAGTTACTTGTTCACATGCCTGACAATGTGAATTCTTGTTTGTTTATTATTCAGCAAAAAAGCAAATTCCTATATAACCAATTTTTGACAGTCAAATTCTGCATTTGAAATTGATGTTAGGGAGCTACGAGAAACCATCATTATCTTGGCTGGGATGCTTGACACATACTTAAATGTCCTGGTTAGTTCACTTTCCACTTGTTTCTCCATGCCTTGCTCTTTGCTGTTCCTGTTTGCAATTCATACAACATTGTGCATGTTATTTTACATTCAAAATCTATTAAATTTCTCTTGAGTGCTACATTTGGATAATTTCAATTTGTTATAATCAACACTCTTACTCAAGTTGTCAAATTCTCGAGCATTGCAGGCTTTGGGATTGCTGTTTCTTCTTTTCGCTAGTTGGGTGGCATATGTGTTTTTTGAGGATACAATACAGGGGAAAACAGTCTTCACTTCCTACGGTACTACGTTGTATCAGATGTTCCTTTTATTTACCACATCCAATAATCCAGATGTTTGGGTTCCTGCATACAAGTAAGAGTTTGAATTTTATAGTTTGAATTGCCTGGCTAGATGACTTTGATCCTTTCAATTTGAGATATCATGAATAATCAATGCTCATAATTTGTTTTTGTGTTTTAAAGGTCTTCTCGTTGGTATTGCTTGTTTTTTGTACTGTTTGTGCTGGTTGGAGTTTACTTTGTTACAAACCTTATCCTTGCCGTTGTTTATGACAGTTTCAAGAGTGAGGTAAATTTATTCATACAATTACTTCTCTTTATGTAGATTTAATGATACAGTTTCTTGAAAGGATTGGATCTGTGTTGATCTTGTTCCTATTTAGCTACCCAACCTAGAATATATTAGAAGAATTTTGATGTTGATCACGAACTTTGGGATAGATATTCAAACAAATGATAATAATGCTCAAATAATTTTTTCTTGTAGCTTGTGAAACAAGTTTTTGAAAAGGATCTTCTGAGAAGAACAATGTTGGAGAAAGCTTTTCATCTCTTAGATACACATGTAAGTCTAATTTTCATGTTTTAGTTTAATGTTTCATTATTAGGCGTAGCTACCCAGCTGATATCAAAACAACTATATTTATTTTACAATGATTTGGTTAAGCGATTAGTGATAGCTATATTAACATGAAAATGTCTCAAGGAGGTTACAAAAATGGTTAAATGATAGTTTTAGTCCTTTATGTTTTGGTACTTTCGAGTCTTGGTATATTAATTTTAAAAAATCTTAATATGGTAGTTTATGTTTTTAAAAATGTTCATTATTATCCATTTGAACTAAAATGATAAATGGGTTAACAAATGGTTGGCTGATATGTTTGTTAACTTGTTTAATGTTTTAGTTGAAATAAAGTACTAGATTGTAACTTCAAAAACTCTGTTGACGGACTTGATAGTTCACTCTATTAATTTATTTAACCTTTTTGTCAAAAAGGACAAAAATGAACCCTTTAAAAAACATAAAGTAGTACCAAATTGATATTTTTAAAACTTAATGTACTGAAATGTAAAAAGATCAAAACAAAAATGACAAAAAGTAACATATGAGATTCAAAAGTTAACAAAGAAAAGATTGAAAATTATGATATCTAAAGAAAGAGCATTGCTAGCAATTGATGACATAATGGGAACTCACTAGAAATTTAGAAAGCTTGGAAGTGAGTTTATAATAGTTCAAAGATGTTATTTCTTGCTTGTAAAAGCTAATAAAAGAGAATGCTCCATAAAGTTTCTTTATCTTTGAAGGCATGTCCAGCTTCTCAATCTATATTAGGATATAAGCGATAAAAATTTATTAACCTTACTTGAAAGTTAAAATTCTTCTTCTATGATGGAGTTCATAGGATCAATAATGTTTGGTGTGTTAATTGTTGGAACTTGTATTTCGTATTAGCCACTGGGTAATTTGGGTGTTAACTAATTCCTTGAAAGAGTAGGAGGGTAGTTCATAGGATCAATAATGTTTGGTGTGTTAAATGTTGGAACTTTTTGTATTTCGTATTACCCACTGGGTAATTTGGATGTTAACTAATTCCTTGAAAGAGTAGGAGGGTAGTTTGTTACAACGCCTTTAAAATGATTTGGCTTGGTGGACAAATTTTGTATTCCAAATAGAAACTTGAGATGGATGACAACTTGTAAGCTTAAAATTGTACTTCTATTTGTACTATTACTTTTATTAGTTTGTTAGCTACTAAGACAATAGTTAGTTAGATTTTAGTAGCTTGCAATGAAAGTCTCTATACTAAATAATTTTTTCTCTTGTTGTAGAAATTTAGATAATCTATAATATTCTTCTTCATCTTACCACACTCTCTTTCTCTCTTCTTTGTATATTGAACTCTATTATGGTATGAAGAGCTTAAGAAGCTTTATCAATAGCTTGGCACTGACAACAACATAAATACTCTGGGTTCAATTTTTGCTATGTGAATTACAATTAACTGCAACTACACCAATTATCTATTGTGATCATCTCAATGTTGTCTCCCTTTCACAACCCTATGCTTCATTCCAAAATGAAAAAATGGAGTTAGATATCTTCTTTGTTCGAGAAAGTCATCAATGAGTCCCTCATTTTTAATTCATGTCCTTGCTCGAAATCAAACAATATACGTGCACACACAACCCCATTTGAAACTTAGGTTTTGTTAAGATACAAACTTATAATTGCCGGTAATTTCTAGTTGAAACCACCCTAAGTTTGAAGGGGGAATAATAGAGTAGGATAATAATTCTATTTGTACCATAAATTGCTTCCTTTCTCTTTGCACAAATATAGATAAACAATAATATTCTTCATCATCATAACACTCTCTTTTCTCTGTGTGTAATAAACTCTACTACTTTCATCTTAAATGACATGAAAGATAAAAGCATTTATTTGATTTCTAACCATTTCTATTTTGAATAAATATCATGAGAGATTTTAAAATGATTTGAAATCTAGGACATTTTACATGTGCTATTGAAAACTTACACACTTTGTTAAAATATTTTGTTTTGTTTTTATTTTTTTATTGAGATCCCACATCACCTAGATATATGACTAAAATATAGTATTAAATTGGTGCAAATCTCAGCTTAAAGACTGGTTCTGTAGAATAAAATTAAGCATAAATTCACCTTATAAGTGTCGAATATACTATCTACAAATATAGCTAAAATAGAGTATATGAGTGTGAATCTCACCTTATAAATTGGATTTGTAAGATTGAGTTAGGCTTAAATTTTTTGTCAAGAATTAATTCAGCAAAACCACTAAAATTCTTAGATCTTATAATGGCTAAAGAGCTAAAGAGTTTGCCCTTTGTGATTTCTTCTAAGATCAAGGGATTATTCATCAATTTTCCTATACACATAGACCTTAACAAAATTATATATTAAGCACAAACACAAACATCTTCACGATGTAGCAAGGTCCTTACTTATGTAAACACAAAACCCTGTTCCTTTTGGGATGATTATGTTAGTACTGTAGCATTACTTATAAACAAGACTCCTTAAATTTTGCAGCAATAATCCGCATCAAACTAATTCATCAAAACTATCTTCTACTAGTAGAACTAATTCTATATTTAACATTTTTATTATCTCAAGAGTCAAGATATTTTGTTTGATCACCGATGGGTATTAGGGTGAAATTTACTTTTCTAATCTTTCAAATAACCGTTGAAATTATAAATATGAATCTTTTAGATATGCCTTAAGCTCCTTGTATGATCAAACCATCGAAGACTAACAAAGGGTATAACTCATCTAATGAGAGTAGTTGGTTTGATAAGAGTAACTAGTTTAATGGATGAAGCTCGTATGATGGTAATAACTAGTTTGATTGATGCAACTCGTCTGGTGGATATAGAACTAGTTTGATAGGTGTAGCTTGTCTAATGGGTATAACTCGACTAATGGGTGTAGCTCGTTTGATGGAGTATAGCTCAATTGATGGGTGCAACTCGCCTGGTGGATATAGCTCGTTTGAAGAGTAGTCCACAGTGGGTGGTGGTCTGATAGTAGCAATCAACATTGTACTTTTTAATTTTGTACTTAAGTTAGTTTGAGTTTGTCTAACTAACTTGTGCATGATCTTTTGTTGCTGGTCACATATATATGGTCTCATTCATGTACTTTGAGAGACTCAACTTTTAGATAAGAACATGAAAGATAGTTGTCCGAGTTGCTTTAGAGTGGTGTAACAACTGTTCACTTTGTGCTACAAAAGTGTGGCCTAATCATATTTTAGTGATTTCCTGATCTTACCATCTCTATCCTTGCGTTCAATGTTTAAGATCCTCCATTGACGTTTGTATGTTTTATTTGTGCTTTGTATCACCACAAACTAGTAGAGTTGGGTTTGTTCATGTGTATCTCTGTTTTTGGTGATTGTATTAAGTTGCAAGAAGCTGACAATGGTATCCAAGGTTGAGAAGTTTAATAGGAAGAACAATTTTAATCTCAAGAGGATCAAGATGAAGGCTTTGCATATTAATTATTCGTTATGATTTGCAAGTTTTGCAATGTGAATCATTATGAATATCGTTTGTGTTTGAATTGTTTAGTTAGTGTATTGCATAATTGCAGTCCCCAAAATGAATCCCACAATTCTTGCAACTGGCGCTAGCACACTATTGTGCAACAAGTTCCAATGGAAATGCAATTGTGAAGTCAACGACGTTGAAGATCTCATGGAAAAGTCAATTGCAGTTGCCTTATGCATTGTATGATGGTGTCGTGTCTCATGTGTTGCGTCGAGGGTGTTTTGACGAGTTGGAGAGGTCAAATCCAATGAGTGGGTCAGAGATTGAAGTTGACGTTTAGGGTTGAACATTTAGGAAAAGAAAAAAAAAAGGGTCAGGTGTGGGCTTTGGATATAGACCTTGCAAACTACCTTCAAATTTTTATTTTTTATTTAAAAAAAGAAAACTTGCATGTTGAAGGTTAAGTGTGTCACGTGAGTATTAGATCTACCCCATTTTTTTTTTTAATTATGTTTATTCTAAATGGTTAATTGGTCTGCAATTCTAAACAACTGTTTGAACTTTTATATATTTTATGTTTGTATGTATGTATATATTCTTATTGATCATGGGTTTTGATTCGATTCACGAATTAGTCTTTCTAGTTCACATTTTGTATCTTGATTCAACTACCTTGGTTTAAATGCTAATGTTTACTATTAAATTGATTAAGTATGCCTACATCTTATAGTAGCAAATACTGTTAAATGAGACTAGGCTATTACTGTAGTCTTAGGAATAAACATGTCATTCTTGTTAGAATCGCGCAGCGGAATGTTCGCCTTTAGGGACAAAAACTAAGAGGGGGTGAATTGATTTCTTATAAAAAATTAGGGTTTTAAAATTTTTTCCCAAATTTCACCGATTAAAATGCTTGTAAAATAAAGAGATAAGGGAAAGAAGATTACACAAGTAATTTATCCTGGTTCGGATCAAAAGACCCTACGTCTAGTTGTTAATCACTCTAAAAGAGGATTAACGCTGTCACTATAATCATAGTTTAAAACAGATTACAAATTACAAAAGATAAGGATAAGAAAACATCTCTCTTGAGTCACACAAAAGATGAACACCTCCTTTGAATCCACAAAGGATGACGACAGTTTTTCCTAGAGACCGCACAACACACAATCCACTAAGAAACTCACTCAATGATTCTTATCGCTTCTAGCCCACACTAGGTTTCAAAAACCCCTTTTTTTTCCCTACACAAAGTTCTCTAGCAATCATAGTTCTTAACTTTTGTATGAAAAAGATTGTATTATTCAGAGAGCCATAGAGAATATTAAATAAAGAGATTTATGGTATGGGAATAGGATTTTTGAAATAGGGAATAGATGCATCAAAAATAGGTCCAAATTTCGAATTTCAAAATCATAACAAACGCAGATCATCGATTATCATAAGTGATAATCGATTATCACAGAACAATTTTCGCAGAATATGAATTTGGACCAGGATAATTGATGTAAAAATAAAGTAAGGTGCAGAATTGTAAGAAGATAAGGTGCAGAATTTTAAGCAATAAAGTAAGCAAACCCAAGGAAAATTCCCACTGGACATTAAGATAGTTGCCTATCTAGATGTGAAGGTTCATTTCCAAGGATTATGGAGGGAGAAAGAGATGGAATGAAACTAGAAACGAATAAAGACAAGGGCTGGAAAATTGGACCAGCCCCTTGCATAAATAAATGAAGGGAAGAAATAAAGAAGAAAAGAGGAAGAGAAAAGAATTATGGTGGTGGTGGAGTGTTGGCACGCCACTAGGGGGATGAGCCACCCTAGATAAGTGGTGGTTGCCGCCACTTGAACCAAGGTTCAAGATAAGACACTCAAAGAGATGGAACACTCTAAGAAACCTCAAACTTTTCATAAATGTTCAACCTAATTACATGAGGAGAAGCCTCTATTTATAGGCTTTTAGGGGAGGGACCTAGATGGAATTATAAAAGGAGACATAAACTTAACCTAAACCTAAAGGCTAGAGTCCCCATGGTCCAAATATGTTAAATTCGTTCTAGCCCACCAAAAATACCTCTAAGGGTGTGGAGAACATGAAAAAAGAGGTGTGTTTCCTTTTGGGTTGTCCCAAGCCAACCAATCCCGCATCCTAAGCTTCTTCCTCTCCAAAAAGGGGTGTAGGACATGAAAAAGGAGTGTCCTACACCTTTGGGCTGCCCATGCATGTATCCTATGGATCCAAGGCTTCTTTTCCACCAAAAAAAAAGGTGGTATTCTTCAAAAAGGAGGTGCAAAAAGTGAGCCTACAAAAAGAAAGCGAAAATAAGTGAAAAACTTAGAAAAAGAAAATACTAAGTAAAGATACTAAGTAAATTCAAAATGGAAGGTAAAGAGGAGGTCTCCCTTCTAGTCATGCTTCTAGTAATCCTCCTAGGAATGACCTCTCCCGCCTCCGGGGCAACTAGGGACTCATCAATAATCGATTATCTACTAAGATAATCGATTATCATAGAACTTCCAGAAACTAAAATCAACTGGGATAATCGATTATCAACCCAGATAATCGATTATTCTAGCAAGCTTTTCAAGAACAATTTTTCAAGCAGGATAATCGATTATCCTGAGTGATAATCGATTATCACAGAGTAGTTTTGATAAAAATGAACTTTCAAAGTATGAACTATGTGTTGGTTATCTTGGACTCTATTTTAACAGACTCAATATAATAAAACATGGTTATTACAAGTACATACAACTATATATGATTCTTCTAATCTTGAAGTCCTTTGACTCTTGAAGCATCATTAAAATCTTTAGGCATCATATCTTTGTATGTTCAACAATTCTATTATATAAGGATGTAATGTAATTGTTCTAATTCTAGTCTTCTTTTATTATGCAATTATTTCTATATTGATTCTTATACTTTGATATAGGTTTCTCTTGTGACTTAGCTACTTGTTTCTATTGATTCTAAATCTGTTCGAGATTGTTATGTGGTCGCAGAATGTTGGATGGCTCAACAAAAATCAATGCATTAGGCTCTTTGAGGAGTTGAACAAGTACAGGTATTATTTTATTCCCATATGTTCATTATGCTTTCAAATTTATCATGTTATTAGTTCTCTGCTTGCTCAATGATATTGGAAAATCAAGTTGTTTTTGGTATTTCTGAAAATTTGTATGTATTATGTATTTCTAGATGAGAATGATTAAATATGTTTAGTATGAATCTTTGTCAGATTTTCAAGTCTCATCAATATATATTAGTTCTGTTTGTCTTCCTTCTAAACTTGGAAAGCACATACATAGAGGGTTTTCTATGATAACACGGCGGTAGATATATGTATGTCATCGGAATTTAACACATGTTTATCTAAGTTTGCCAAGATGATGTGGGGGAGGGGACATCAAGGCTTTGAAGGAAATAAGGAACATTGAATATTTAGCTTCGCATGCAAATTACTAGGATGACAGATAGCATATGGAACCCCTTTCTACGGAGAGGATGAGTGAAAATAGAATTAATATGGTGTTTAGTGGAAGAGAAGGAGGAGAGAAATAATTTTAGAAAATGATGGGATAGTACTGTACTATTACTCATCTCTTCTTTGTTTTCTCTTCAGTGAAAATCCTTTAATGTCCACTTTATTTCTCATTTATTTACACTGTACCAACTTATTTTGAGCTAATAGATTTCTCTGTTCTTTATCAAACTTGTTAAGGTTCTAACATAAAACCAATTAGCTATATGGATAGTAGCTATATGAATAGTAGCATAACAAGTATTTAAACCATAACACATGATATGAGTGATACTTCCAACACGCTCCCTCCAACAAAGCCTACGGAACCAAACAAAGGGTACTTTTGACTCACAAATGAAAGGGAAACTCTTGGCTTAAGACAACAACTGGAAAGAAGTTAGCCTTTACCTCTGATACCATGTGAGAAATTGTGTAGACAGTAAATAATAATTATGGATTTATTTGACTTGATTCATAAAAGAAATAGTACATGTGCATTTAAAGGAAAACGTAATCCTAATAAAAAGTAATAAATCTCCTCAAATAAAGGAAATAAATCTCCTGGAATAAAAGATTATAAATCAGGAGCAAATCTACCAAATAAACTCCTAATCCAAATCCCTTAATTTTAGGGATTTCATTCAAGTAAATCTATATTTATTATACAATAAATGTACAAAATTTGCACTCATATTTTGACAAATCTTAGATTGACTGAGGCAGGATACATTCCAAGGTTAATTGGATTATTAAGTAACATATAACTGGCAAAGGCCCATATACCTAAATATCTTAAGGTTAAGGTTTTGGGTTGTATATTGTTAACATGTGTAGATTGACTCATTTATAAAGATGTTCCCTTTGTTTTTCCCAATCCTATTGCCTAATAGTGATATTTATTTTCCTTTCCCCATTCTTCTCTCTTGTGAATGAAACATGTGCATACCCACTCCATATCAATCAAAGAAAAAATGTTGGAAGATACAATTGCTTTTAAAGGATTAACTGTAGAGATTGCTCTTTCTAAATGATTATTGCTTTGTTTGCTTCCATGTGAAGCTTCACTACATTGCTCATGTCATGAAATATAAGGAGTTACTAAGTAAGCCACTTGTTTGGCTTTCTCTGTACATTTGTACATATTATTGTTGCTTATAGCTTGTCAGTATGGCTTCTGTCTTGTTTTGTCAGTAACTGGCACTACATTTTTTGTGACATAAGAAGTACTCATTAATCTTTCACTTGTGGTTCTAAACTTGGAGCTTTCCATAATCTTCCTTCCATTTTATGAAGGTTGAAGCATAAATTTTGTTTTCTGTAGGACTTTGCCAAAAATCTCCAGGGAGGAATTTGAGTTGATATTTGATGAGCTGGATGATAGTCATGATATAAAGGTAATATTTGTTCGATTGTGTTTTGGTCATCGTTTATGCACATACTGATGTAATGATTTAATGTAAATGTTTTTGTACTTTCAGATCAACAAGGATGAATTTGCTGATATATGCAATGCAATTGCATTAAAATTTCAGAAGGAAGATGTTGTAAGTTTAAAGACTCCAAATTTAAAACATTTGGAAATTCATCTAGTGTACTTTAACTCAGCGGGTAAAGATTTGTAGCACCTGTGATAGTTTCCAATTTGTTTGCAGACATCTTACTTTGAGTATTTAGCATTCTACGACTGGCCCAGCTCAATGAGATTAAAAGAATTTGTGAAGAGTCCTATGTTTGGATACCTAGTGTCCTTCATTCTCATAGTAAATCTGGTTGCGGTTATTATTGAGACAACGGTATGACCTATATTACAATGAAAATATTTCTTAACAGTTTTCCATGCTAAGCAATTTATTAATTCCTCCTAACCACATCCTGTTATTCATTTGATGTGACTGTATGCTGGATATACTTGCACTTTTCAATAATGTTGTAGTAGATGCTATTTTTCTTAAAAACATGTAGATGTTTAATGAATTCATTATGACTGATGATGCTTTAAATGTAGCCACAATTCAAGTGGCTGATCGTTCTACTGGCAGCCTGATATCGGTCCTACCGTTTCCAGCTTTATGGTTATGAGAATATTGAGAACTTTGCTATTCTCAACTTACATCACATATTTTTACATTTTTTCTTTGCAAAATCATTATAGACAATTTTTGTTGTTGTTGAGCACTTGTATTGAAAAGTCAGATAAATGTTAATTTCATATTGGAAGGACCAACCTGTACAAAAAGTGAACGTCACATGATTTTTTTAATAAATGAGTCTCGACCTTTTTGGTAAAGGTAAAATGTGTAAACTGAGTTGATCCTGTCCTATCTACAGTATTAGATAATCTTCCTCACACAAATAGCAGCATCCACGAAATAAAATCTTGAATAAGAAGCTCAAACTCTTGTGTCTATTCAAGACAAAGTTTACTGGATAAAAGAAGTAATTCATTTAACAGGGAAAGCTAGTCTCAGAAAACATTTCCATGTATGTAATGTAACACTACTGTATCTGTAATTTTACCATAATTATTTAGCAATTTTTTATATCTTGCTTTTTTTTTCCCTGGTTATGCCATCATTTAACTGTGACATCCAGGTAGGTTATTTTTTATAATTTTAGTGGTGCTAGCTAATATGGACTCTGCGAACTAAATAATTGATTGTTTCAGTAGACTTGGCAAATGTTGTCTAGGTCTGTTAATCGAAGATAATGATAATCTTAATAGGTGTACAAAAACTCATCTTGGTCATGTAATTTTGAAGCATGATATTATATTCTATAGCAGAGTGTTCTTATGTGATGTGTATCTGAACATGCCCCGTGTGTGTGAAAGCGTCATCTTGTTACACCTAGCCTATGTATGCTTTACTGATTCAAAATTTTGAAACCATATATGTATATACTTGTTGATAATTTTGTATTAATTCACAATCGCAGCTTGATATAGAAAACAATTCTGCACAAAAGGTGTGGCAGGTGGTTGAGTTCATTTTTGGTAAGAAACAGTGTATTTACTTGTTATATCTTGATCTAGAAGTGTGAATTCCTTGTTTGTACTGTACAAGATGTTGCTTGATTCTTTTAGCAAAAAATCCTTTTAGATAGCTTGAGTTGAGTTGTTAAGCTCCCCTGACTAAGTCCCTCTGCTTCACTATTTTCATATGCAGTAGTGGTTGGATTTTAAATGTAAAACAATATATTATTTTGAATATTTAAGAGTTGTAGATTAGGGCCAGGAGATGTTTTAGAGCCAGAATATTTGGTATAATTTGCATTAATTTTTCAATATTATAGAGTTAAAGAAAGACTAGAGAAAATAAATTGTTCCAAATTTCGTTGATTGGTAGCAATGAACTAATTCCATTTGTTTGACATACCAAATAATTGTGATTTCTGATATAGAATGATGCATTTTGATATTATTTATTTTATTTTTAAAAAATGTGAGACAAGGAGAGGCAAAAGGTTAGGATTAGTAGTAAAGGGTGTCGAAAGAGATATGGGTTTCGGAGGTGCTGGTGGGAAAAGGATAATCAGTATCTAGAAATACTTGTTAAAAGAAAAGTGATGTGAAGGGTTAAGAATTTAGACTATTTTAAATCGTAGTTGATTAATTCCCTAGGTATTTTGATGTGAACATGACCTATGATAAGGGCTAGAACAAGGGAAATAAAGGAAACTCTTCAACAAATATTGTTGGTTGACCAAATTATGTTTTGAATTAATCAATTAATGGACTTTAGTTTGATTTTGTTTTAAGTTGTAATAAGGGCTCAATTGAAAATTTAGTCATCAGCCTTTGGGAGACCAAGGGGTGCATAACTGATTGACTTTTGGTTGCCATAGTTTCAGATACAATCAGTCATTAAGTAGTTTCAATTCCTAGGTTAATGGATCATTATTAGCCTTTATTTGTTTCTATTAAATAGTTTTCAATTCCTAGATTAATGGGTTATTATTAGTATTTATTTTCTTTTATCGAGTCTTTGTAATTTTGATGGCAACACTTCTATATCAGCTGAACCATTTTTATCAAGAAATAACAAGTGGAATTTTATTTAGAAATATTAGAGTTTATCTCTTTTATCTTAGTGAGAGTGATTCTCCTTAATTATTGAGTGATTCAAGAACCCTTGGCTGTATCAAAGGACTTTCACATCCTTTGTGTGTTGCCTCCCTTGGGAAGAGTGATTCTTTCCTTCCACCTTCTTTCTAATTCCTAAATTTCTTACAAGGTTCTAACCCTAAAGATCCTAAATTACCTCTTGTGATTCATATCATTTGGTATTCAGAGCTCCGGTTTAAGGGTTTAAACATCAAATTGGTAGCAGAAGAGGAAAATTACAATCAAGAAGCAGGAATTAGTCCATTTCAAATGAGAGCATTAGTACAACATTTGGAAGGATTAATGATACGACAAACAATGAGCTTCATGAACGATTAAACCGGTTGGAGAATAGAAATCCTGAAGACGAAGAAGAAAGGAGAAATAGGAGAAGGAATGATGGAGTAGTAAGACCAAGTAGGCTTGAAGGAGTCAAGCTTAGCATTCCTCTGTTCAAAGAAAAAAGTGATTCGAAGGCATACTTGGAGTGGGAGATGAAAATAAAACATGTTTTCTCATGCAACAATTATGAGGAGACCCAAAAGGTGAGGTTTGCAACAACGAAATTTTCTGACTATGCTCTTGTTTGGTGGAACAAGCTACAAAAGGAGAGAGATAGAAATGAAGAACCAATGGTTGATACATGGACTGAGATGAAAAGGATCATAAGGAAGCGGTATGTGCCGGCTAGTTATGCAAGGGACATGAAATTTAGACTCCAAAAACTTACTCAAGGCAACAAGGGTGTTGAGGAGTATTTCAAAGAAATGGACATGTTCATGATTCAAGCAAAGATTGAAGAAGATGAAGAGGTAACTATGACCCGATTTATTGGTGGTTTGAATATTAATATATGTGATATTGTTGAGTTGTAGGAGTTTGATGATATGGAGGATTTACTTCATAAAGCAATTCGAGTGGAGCAACAACTCAAAAGAAAAGAAGTAACTAAGAAGAGTTCTACCAACTTTGGATTTTCAAGTTGGAAGGACAAAGGCAAGAAAGATGAGACTGTTACTTCTAGTAGTTCCACACCTATTCCTACAAAGAATCATTCAAAATATGAAGAACAACCCCCTAAAAAAAGTAGAGATGTGAAGTGTTTCAAGTGTCAAGGCCTAAGACACTATGCTTATGAGTGCCCTAACACAAAGACCATGGTTCTTAGAGAGGGAGAATATATAGGTGAATCTGAGGTTGAAGAGGGAGAAAAGAGTGAAGACATTGAGGAGAAGGAGATTCCAAAGAAAGATTTATTGATGATTAGGTGATTACTTGATAGTCAATTGAAACCTATGGAAGAAAGCCAAAGAAAAAATATTTTCCACACTAGATGTTTAATCAATGACAAGGTGTGCATGATGATCATAAATGGAGGTAGTTGCACCAATGTGGCTAGTGCTAGATTAATATCAAAGCAAAATTTAGCTACCAAACCACATCCTAGGCCATATAAACTTCAATGGCTTAGTAAGGATGGAGAGGTGCAAGTAAGATAACAAGTTGAAGTGGACATTTCCATTGGAAAATACAATGATAAGGTGCTTTGTGATATTATTCCTATGGAAGTCAGTCACTTACTTTTGGGGAGACCATGACAATTTGATAAAAGAGTTAATCATAACGGGTTCACCAACAAGATCTCTTTCATGCACCAAGACAAGAAGATTGTGCTCAAACTTTTGAGTCCATAAGAAGTGTGTGAGGATAAAAAGAAAATGAGAGAAAAACTTCTTCAAAAAAAGAGAGAGAAAGAAAGCGTTAGTGAAACACTTGAGAGAAAAAAGAGTAATCAAAAGAAGAGTGAAACACTTGAAGTAAGAGAGAACTATTTAGCCATAAAAAGTGAGTATAATGTTAATTTTACATTCAATTTATCAGACTTATCTCTTTTTTATGTAGATGACGAATCCAATTTGAGGGCAAATCTTTTTCAAGAGGGAGAGAATGATGTGAACATGACCTATGATAAGGGCTAGAACAAGGGAAATAAAGGAAACTCTTCAACATATATTGTTGGTTGACCAAATTATGTTTTGAATTAATCAATTAATGGACTTTAGTTTGATTTTGTTTTAAGTTGTAATAAGGGCTCAATTGAAAATTTAGTCATCAGCCTTTGGGAGACCAAGGGGTGCATAGCTGATTGACTTTTGGTTCTCATAGTTTCAGATACAATTAGTCATTAAGTAGTTTCAATTCCTAGGTTAATGGATCATTATTAGCCTTTATTTGTTTCTATTAAATAGTTTTCAATTCCTAGATTAATGGGTTATTATTAGTATTTATTTTCTTTTATTGAGTCTTTGTAATTCTGATGGCAACGCTTCTATATCAGCTGAACCATTTTTATCAAGAAATAACAAGTGGAATTTTATTTAGAAATATTAGAGTTTATCTCTTTTATCTTAGTGAGAGTGATTCTCCTAAATTCTTGAGTGATTCAAGAATCCTTGGCTGTATCAAAAGACTTTCACATCCTTTGTGTGTTGCCTCCCTTGGGAAGAGTGATTATTTCCTTCCACCTTCTTTCTAATTCCTAAATTTCTTATAAGGTTCTAACCCTAAAGATCCTAAATTACCCCTTGTGATTCATATCATATTTACAGGTGAAACATCCTTTTATGGTAGAATGAGCATTCCAAGGTCAACTTACCTTGAAAACTTGATACAGCAAATGTCTCTAACTAATTTAATATAATTTCTTAAATTAAACTTTTAAATCACAACAATATTTTAAGTTATAATCTGCAGAGATTAACCAATGAAAATATTGGATATGAAAGTAAACCATGAGTAAATAATCTCTTTTTCACTATTTTGTTTATCAAGTTAGGTTATAATTTGTTAATAGTTTTTCTATGACATTAAGAATACTTGTGTCTTTGGGTTCTAACTAAACCTGAAACTAAAATCTTTTTATCAAGACAACATATTTTTAAGAAAAAAGGAATTGGCAAGACTAAGTGAATCTTACTTATTTTACTTTGTCAGATACTTTATATGAGAATGCATCTCCTAGGAATTAGATTTCGCTGAAGTTTTTATTTTATTTTTTTCATTTTTACATGTGTTTTTGTGCTGCATGAACAAATAATTGTGGTGAATTTTAGACTATAGCTTGATTCGTTACATTTATCAGTGCTATCTTAGTGCTATCTTAGTGCATGTGAAATAAAATCAATTATGAGGATATGCTATCCTTTCTATTATTGTTGCTTTGTAAATAAGACTCTACAATACTTCTGAGCACTTTCGGGATTCTTTATTTTGCTATGGTGCATTTAATTTGATTGTAATGCAAAGAATGTTATTCTTTTACTCAGATAATCTCTTACTCTTTTTCAGGGTGGATATATGTAATAGAAATGGTTTTAAAGGTTTATGCATATGGATTCGAGAACTATTGGCGGGATGGTCAAAATCGCTTTGATTTTATTATCACAGTGATAATTGGTAACTCTTTATGCTGCTTGATACTTTATGCTCTTTAAACAACATGTGGTTGAATGCATGAAATCTGTTCTTTTGCCTTTCCCATGAAAAAGGGGTATTTGCAGTTTGGTTTTGCCCTATTTTCTTTTGCCCTCAATTCAAATCATGGCAAGGAATATTATGATGTTACTTGATCTATGTAACCAAAAATTCAATTTGAGGTCAATAGTTTCTTTATTTTTGCAGCCATTGGAGAAACTGTAAGTTTTGCTGTACCTGATGATGATCTTCCTTTTATCTCAAATGGAGAATGGTATGAACTTTTACTAATGAGTATTCAATTGTTAATGAGTATTGACAAATGTTGGAGAGATATTATCCATGGATCTGTGCATTTTCTAAGTTGAAGCTTTAAACTTCTTTATTAATATAAAGCTAAATTTTGGGTATTATCTCTTTTTCCACTGGCCAAATAGTGTGAATTTTTAAATGATATTGCAGTATTTTAAACATTTAATTTTGGAGGAATTAGTATTTTGAAAATTTGTATTTATTGATTGTTATCATGATTGTGTTTTGAGATAATTGGGATATCTAGATTTATTCCAATAATTTGCACCCGTACTCATCTCACCTGAACCAACCCACCGGCCACTGCAGAAACCACTGACAACAATCTATCAGAAATTAATCACCGGAAGACTACCTGCCAGAGAGGGAAATTGATTTATTAAAAAGCAGCAGTTGGAATTACTTTTTCCTAATAGGAACCAATATTTGGAATAATAATTCCCTGGAATTTTAAGTGGTACTTTTCCCATATATCCCATTCCTAAGGCTGAGCCATCCACAGATATATTATTTTTCAAACTTCGCATTCAAAATGTCCAGTGAGGGTGTTATTAGGATTCCACATCAACTGAGTATTTGGACAAAGTAGCCTTTATATTAGTTGAGCAATCCTTCCCTCCTTTAGCTAACTTTTGGGTTTGAGTTAGCGTACCTATTCTCAATTTAGCGTAATCTATTCTCAATTCTACACCTGTCATCATTATCATAATCATAAAAGCCCTACACCTGTCATCATTATCATTATCCAACTATACTTTTGATTTCACAATGTGATTACTATTATTATTATTATTACTGTTTGTGCTTTCTAAAAGGACAAAAGGTTACTTTATGGTTTATGTAAATGTAATAGATGCCAATGTTAATGTACGCATTATGGTGTGCTAGATCAAGTTTCATTTTCTTCAAAAAAGGATGCAGCCGCCTTCCTGGTTAAAATATTAAGTTAAAAAAAATGACGTTTGATACAACACGTCGGCAGGACCCATAATGTCTGCCAATTATGTTTGCCCATTAGTTCTGTAGCATTTATTTGAAGATGCCATTACACATTGCTTTGCCTGTTCCCTTACAGGATTCGTTACCTTCTTCTTGCAAGAATGTTGAGATTAATAAGACTCCTAATGCATGTCAAGCGATACCGAGCCTTTGTGGCAACTTTCTTGACTCTCATACCAAGTTTGATGCCATACCTAGGGATCATATTTTGTGTCTTATGTATTTATTGTTCGCTTGGTGTACAGGTAAGTGAAATGCTATTAGTGTTCATTTTCTACATAGATCTTCAACTTATATTGAGCATTTATTTCCCCTTTATGTGCCAATGATCTAGTTCTTTTTCTAATAAAATTACTTCTCTTCTAACTTTGTTTCTTCAGATTTTTGGTGGAATTGTTAATGCTGGAAACCCCGAATTGGAATCAACCGCTCTTGCCGAAAATGAGTATCCTTTGATCATCTATAAAATTCTCCTTTAGCCTGTAGTGATTGGTTTGATTGGTACTAATTATATCTTCATTCAGACCCACAAAATTTCAAGCTCGTGTAATTTCGATATGCTCACTAAACATTATCTTTTATCTTGGGTGTGAAGGTGGGGGGTTTGGTCAACGTCCAGGTCTGAATTAATACTAACATTTATGTTGCTTCAAAAATGGAATAATTACCTGGGTAAATATTGTTCTTGGAGTGTCATTCTTGACAGACAATAGCTATTTGGTTTTCAACTTCAATGATTACCCTAATGGAATAGTGACACTGTTCAATTTTCTTGTCACGGCAACCTGGGATGAAGTGATGACGGTATGTGTGTTGTCATCTATCCTTTTTGACTTAACGCTGATACTGTTGTTTCTTGACAATGAATTAGTCTGATAGTTGTTGCAGGCTAGCCACCAATTGTTATGTGATATATATTTATATCTTTGTACAATAATTTGTCTTGCTTAAATTTCTGGTCCCAGTAGTATTTTACTAAAAATACAGCAACGAAGTCTTATCACACTAGTGAGTTTGGTTAGACCATAACTTCAGCAAAATTATTTACAATGAGATCCTGTTTGACCACATCCTCTTCTTGGCCTACCTCTCCTCCCCTTCATAGGATTAAAACTAATTTAATTTTCTTTTTTCAATAAAGTATTTTAATGAAAATACGACAAGATAATTATGTTTAGATCTATGCCAAATATTTGAATTTAATACATGTGTTTTTGTAATACATAAAAGTCACTCCATCCATCCTACAGTCAGCATTGTATGTATAATGATAGAAATTGGAAATCAATATAGTATTATTCAATGTAAGCTTGATATATGTGGGAAACTTGATAGGCTATTTTATCAACTTACAATCTGATATTTTATCAACCTGTTACATTTGGTTGCATACGAGGTCAAGTTTAGAATATTCTATATGAATTCATCATACAAGTCGTCTTCAATCTATCATTTAATTTGGGTTGACATCCATGACCAAATAGTGGTTTCAGTAAAAATATAGTTGACTTGTTGTAGTGAGAGTTAATAATGAATGGACATTATAGTTTGATGTTTATTGTATAAGTTTTGTGCATAATGACAAAGTAAAAGAATTATTCAAAGTCTTAGTATATTTCGAGGTAATTTCAAGTGACCAACCTCTTCCTGTTGGAAATAAGGCATATTGAGTTTTGTTCTATGGTTCTAAGGTTTGGCTTTTTATGGAAAAATTAAACTAATATAAGCCGAATTGGAAAGAAAAAATAATATATAAGTTTCTTGTTAGCAACATATCTTAGACCATTTTTATACCTTGAGAGAGTATAAGGGGTGACAGTGACAAATCAATCCATCTAATTCATCCAAAAGTAACACTTTTATTGAAATTAACAATAATCTAAAATATGGATTGATTACTTGCTGCATGTGAGTAATGTCATCGGTTAGTTGTTGTAATCAATTGTTATCGGATATCGTCATCTATGATATTGTCAAACTATGACTTTATTATGCACTTACCGCATAGGTTCTGTGGTTTTCTATTTCAGAGCTACAAGGAATTAACTGGGACTTCTTGGACCTATTTTTACTTCATTAGCTTCTACTTAATTACTGTTTTGCTGCTTTTGAACTTGGTATGGTTTACTCTGTCCTTATTTACTTATTCCATTGTCAATTTTATGGAATACAAATTATATCTCAGGAATGAGAACATTGAGAAGTTACAATGTTTCTCATATGGACATGCACTATTATAATTCTTTAAAATTGTTTATTTAATAGAAAGCAGTATCAGGGAATCATTTTTGTCAAGATCTCATATAGACTATAAATATGACCAAAGAGACTTAGACAACCCTTACTGCATGAGCTAGTTTTTAGAATTGATTTAGGCTGATGATGACATATCATAGATCTTACATTAGACCACCTCAACTGTCCAAAAATCAACTATGACTTTCCTGATATTGATTTAGGCACTTCTCACCTCATGACTTTACTTTTGGAGTCGAGTTAGGTCTAAGTCAAACTCATAAAGGTTAATATTTTTATGATTAATCAAAGGGAATATCATTACTTATATTGTACCATTTTAACACATTGTTTATGCTTAATGAGTTAGAAATGATTCTGTCTTTCCTGCATTTCAGATTATTGCTTTTGTCTTGGAGGCATTCTTTGCTGAAATGGATCTTGAGTCATCAGAAACTAGTGAAGGAAATGACAAGGTTTGTATTTAATATTGAACTCTTACCTATAAGGAATTATAAATTGCTAAGTCTTTCAAGCAGTTTTGGTTAAGTATTAACTAATTAATTATGTGTAGTTCAGTTAAACAATAAAGTTTTAAACAGTTGCACCAAATCTGTAGAGTGATTCGTATCAAATGCAACGATTCCAAACAAATAATGTAACTTTAGCAATTTTGACACTATTTTAAAATAGTAGTTGGTTACTACTTATTAGTTATTACTACTCCTGGAAAATAGCAAACAAACTTATTTTCCATTGTTAGTTGTGACCACAAATAATTCCAATGCTTAAGAGGAATAGTACTCTCACGATCACAGACTCCTCTGTCAACCACATGAAAGCAAACTTAGTCTTTTTCTGAATTGCTTTCATGTGTAAAATCATTATCCTAATATTATCCATTGATCTGTGTAGAGATGTTTTATTAATTTTTGCGAGTAATGGGTATCATTGAAAGTTGATATGTACCTGGAATACTTTTGAGTGATAATACACAGACTGGTCATTTTATCAGAACATCCCAACAACATTCACTTAAGTGGTTTTATTTATTATTTTTTCAGTTTTTTCGTTTGTTCTATTTTAGTCACTTACAAGATAATAAAATAAAAGTGTTGGATGGGTGTTGAAACTATGTTGGGTGTCTATCTATGTTTTTCCTATTATTGCTTACCCTTACTTTGAAGCTGCTTATTACCTGATCTGAAGTAAATTTCCCTTTCTATATAGATAACTTTGTACAGTCTCTTACTGAATGAAAAAGTGAAGCTGCTCCATAGATAACTTTGTACACACTCTTATTGAATGAAAAAGTAACTTTTCGATTTCTACATGATTTTGTTCTCTTTTTTATGGGAACCGAGATCCAAGTATTTTAGGAAGGATCCATTGATTGATTGACCTAATTATTATTTTGAGTATATGACAGAAAATAACTTATTTTGTATTGGTGATTCTGTATTGTCTTAGAAACTGAATGATGGTAGTTATTCATAGAGAATAACTGATGGTGTGTTATTTACTAGGATTATATCTTAATAACGAAAGTATGTTGTTATTTGCTATTTGTGGGTGGAGAGCACTATCCGTAGGAGTCTTTTGTCACTAAGACAGCAAGTATATTGCTATATAATATTATATGTGATTTCTGTGTTTAATATTATATTTTATCAATTATTAATTGGTGTATCATTTTCTGATTGTACTATATTTGCCATCTCTATACAGGAAGTTGGAGGAGATAAATATCGAAAGCGGTCTATTGGGTATGTATAGTTTTCAATATTTTTGTGGATGCAAAGCACACAATAAGCTGCTTCTTTTGAGTAAGTACTTTGGGAGAACCACACTACAAAAGCTAGTTATTGTAGTTGGAGAGTCCAAGGTCTCATAAATCCCCAAACTTGGGACTCTAAGTCCCATACCATGTAATTGGATCCTAACTTCCCACCACACTCCACATCCCTGATGTCCACGCAGGCTAGCTGTGCGCTAGCCCGTTGACTAGTCTTAAGCGAACCCTGCAATGCCGATGTCACCACCTGTACCACTTGTGCGTAGCTACTAAGAGACGCGATGGATGATTTTGATACCAATTGATAAAATCCTGGGAGAACACAACAGGAAAGCTACCCTAATGAAGCTTGAGAGCCCCGGGCCTTCTACCCACTAGAATTCCATACTTCCAATGTGGGAATCTTAGACCTTGAAATTAGATCTCTTAACATGTATTGAACAAAGACCAACTTATACTAAACTTTTTTAGTTGTAAGATGAAGACACGAGAATAGTTTTATTTTCCTAACATGCTGCCTAAAACAAAAATCCCTTTGGTTTGAAGTGTATATAATGCAGACGCTCATTCTACCTTATGTTTGCATTTAATTTAATTTTGAGGCATGAAACGATAATGATTGAATTTCTAACCACTTAACGAGGCTAATACCCTGTTAAAGACTGATTGAACTTGGAAACAGGTGTTAGTTGAAGGCATATTGATCTTATGCTCTTAACAATATTGGTTTTGCTGCAGCACTAAAACACGAAGCCAAAGGGTTGACGTTCTTCTTCATCATATGTTGAGTGCCGAGTTGTGTCAAAATCAGCCTTCCAATACAGAAACTTGATAGAATATTTCATTACTCAGGTAAAACAGTTAAACTTCACAAAATAATTCAAGAATTCAGCGTGCGAATATAATTCGATCTTAGCCTCTTTGTTCTTTCTGGAGGATTCCTCATTCTCAGCTTCTGTGTTTGGTTTGTTCTATGTGCTTTTATATTTTATTTTTGTCTCTCTCTAAGAGTAAATTCTCCTCTCTTGGTTTCTCTTTTTTATTAAAATATAATTTTAAAATGTTGTTTTACATTTCTAGCTGAACAGCTGAAGTACAACACTGCAGTATGCATGGAGTTTACAAAACGTATGCTTTTAAGTGAAGCAAAAATAAGAAAGAACGAAAAAAGCATGTTTGTTTAAGATTGCAACACGCCTTGGTTATTGATGAATATAGTAATTAGTCCTGCATTGTTGTGAAATAGAGGAATTATAAAACCTAGAACGTGTCCTACTAATCTAGAATTGCTCCACTCTCTCATGTTTCTAGGGCATAACCACCCATGATATTGAATGTAGAGATGGGTTTGTTGCTCCTACTAAACCTATAAATAGATTATTTCACATTCCTCCAAACACAGTTTTACTTATCCTCTCTTCTCTCCTTTTTTCATTTATTTTATTCTAAATTTATTTACTCTTTTAAAAAAAATTTGCTAGTTTTGGAATTCCTTGAAAAATTCAAAAAGTTCTTGTTATATCTTGGAAAGAAAGTTCTTGTTATATCTTGGAAACTTAGAACCGTGATTATACACGTATCAAAGAATCAAATTTTGTTAGTATCCTAGTCAGCATTTACACCATGTTCAACGTCTACTATGTCCATGGAAAATGTGATAACATAAAAAAATCAGTAAACTCTCTCTCTCAAGATATATACGTCCATTTAGTTATTCATTTTATGCGGCGAATCCTATGATTTTGTTGAAATTCCTGGTATCAATTCAGTTTGTTGATCAGTGACTTTGCCTACGCAGTAGCTCATATAAATGTGAATCCGTAATCTTTGTTGTCTTATTTTTGGTACTAAACAAATTAAGTGAATTTGGTCAAACTCGTATAATATTTATTGCTACAGAATGCACGAAGGAGCCCACCTCATTTGTGACCTTTCATGTGTTTTAGATCCCGTCTTGCTATACAATAGACCAGAAAGCACGGAACAAGATGGGAAGAAATGCAAACATGCAGTAACTTGAAGGTAAGCTGGAACGTGATTTTCCCTATCTGGTGGGAAAAGCACGCGATCAATTCGTGATGAGTGTGTGCTGAATAAGTCATAATGTAGCCAGATGCTAAGCTATGCTATGCTATATTCCACCGGGATACTAAATATTTGTGTTAATTAGTTTTTGTTGTATGGCATACAACCTTTTATTTTCTTTATTTTTGCATTTATAATATCAATGCAGTATAGTAGGATCACAAACTGTTTGAAGTTACCATTATTTTCAATAATGTAGTTGTTTGGTTTAACTGGGCGTTGAAATGGTAGTAGGCATGGCAACGGGGTGGGACGGGAGCGGGTTTTGCCTCCCCGATCCTCGTCTCCGACTTTTTTAATCATCCCCGTCCCTGTTCCTGATTCTTGCCGGGGTTAGAAATTAAGTCTACATCCCCGTCCCGCTGGGTTTCGGGTTCCCCGTCCTCGATCTATATTATTTTTAAAAAGATAATTATATTTATAATAAATTAATTTTACTATTTATTTTTTATATATAAATAAATATTTATAATTTTATAATTTATAATAATTATTAATTAAATATACATTTTAATTTATTATATTTATATTAAAATATGTATGTAAAAGAAATATTTAATCATTTTTTATTTATAACATTATTATTATTATTATAATACTTGTATTCAAATATTTGAATACTTACAATATTATCATTATTATTATAATATTGTATTCTAACATTTGATTTTATATATATAAGTTAATTCATTTTTAAGTTGTAATTTAAAAATATGAAATATATAGTTTATAATGAAATATTTAATAAGTTAATTATTATTCAATTAATTCAAAGTAATAAAAGTTTAAATTATCAATTCCTTTAATTTTTTAAAATATAATTATTTTATTAAGATAAAATTTGATATATGATAAATAAGAATAATAAGATAAACAAATGACATAATAAAACCTAATAAATATAAATTATAAATAAAATAATATTAGTTACTATTAAGATTTATGTAAAATATTTAGAAAAAGATAAAGAATAAAAAAATTAACCGTATTCATCAAATTGATTGAAAAGATTGAAAAAAAAATTGATGAAAGAGATTAAGAAAATATGAAAAACTACAGATGTATAAGAGAGAATAATATAATAAATTAATTGATATAAAAGATTAAAAAAGATAAAATTAAAAATAGGTAGAAGAAAAATAAAAATTGGTAAAATATAAAAAAATGATCTTATATGTAATAGAAAAAGAAAAGAAAATACTTTTAAAATATTAATATTTTAATATTTAAATTTAAATATAAAGTTGGGACCGGGGTGGGGATTGCATTACCCATCCCAACCCCGCCCCGCCCCGACTTTTTAAAGCGTGAAAAACCTGAACTCGCCCCGTTCCCGGTCAACTCGTGTTTTCCAGTCAAACTCGGAGCGGAGACAGGTTTAATTGTATGTGCTTGGATTGGCTTTGACTTTTCTCATTTTAAGTTAAAAGGTCATAATTTTTGTCTGACTTTGATTATATATTTCTTATATAATGTAGAAGTTGTAGTATTGTGTATAACTTGTGACTAACTGTAAATAATTCATTGTTTAAATGTTTTGACTGAAGAAATTTAAGTATGGAAATAATTAAAGATGGGAAGGGATATTTTTATGCAAAAAAAATAAATGAGTTGTTAACGGTATGACGATACATACCGTTAACTTTTAAAAACTTTCACTTTATAATAAAAATATATTAAAACTTATTGTATTGCATTCTCATTATGATACTCAAATCCTCATTTAAATAAACTAACTAGAGAGAGGGAATATGAATTCGATTTTAATATGAAAACCGAAAATATATAATTCAAAGTACGAAAGAAAAACAATGTGTAAATATATAAATATATATATATAAAGGTTATCTCAAATTTTAAAATGAGTATTTGAATTTATATCGTAGAATTTGACAACGCATAAATAACATCAACTAACCAGTATTTTAAATTTACATTTTATTCTCCTGGTTTATTATTTTATTTACTGGGCAACTGCTATTAATTTAGTTATATTTATAAGTCGAACATTATTTAATCCAAAAAATTTACCACAAGGGAAGTCTTAAACCTTAATTTTATCCTAATAGATTCTTAAAATTTATTTACTTTTGTATTAATTAATCCTTAAACACATCTCTTTTTACACTTAATAAAAATATTAAACCTTACTTTTATCGTTTAAATGAATTATTTTAAGTCTTAATTAAATATTAAAAATAATATTTATAATTGAAAACCAAATGAAGACATTTTATTATCTATATTTTTTCAAAATTCTTAATAAAATGAATTTTATCTATATTTTATTATCAAATTAAATTTAATAATACAATTAGCCAGTTTAACATATATCTGTAAAATGAGTAAAATTTAACATGAGTTAAAATTAAAATTAAATTCAAGTGGTTTTTATAAATATGATAACATTTAAGGGTCTATTTATCTAAAATTAAAGTTCATTACGTTGAGATAAAATGTAAGAATTAATTAAATAAATGAAAGTTTAAAATATCTGTTTAGTACTCTTTTTCCTCTTTCAATCTTTCCCACTGTGATCTTGCAGTTTGACTCCCTATTGGCATATTCTTTGCATATCGTATTAGTTTTTAAATAAGTTCGATTGTAAGAGAATTTGTTATGATCTGGAATTACATGCCAATAGTAATTATTAAACTAAATTCTTCGATTTGTGAAAAATAATCCATAAATTTTGAATTTAACTTGACTAAAACTTGAAATATATGGAAACAAAATCAGTCAGCCCATTTTGTTGACCTAAATGAAGATATTAATTTTCTGAATCCCTACTTCAATAATATCATGAGCAGTGTAATAAAATAAAGGCTCCTGCTTCTTCCCCCATAATTTCATGCATCCAATGCCTAGGTTAAATACCTAAAATATCATTTACTTCATTTTAATTTTTTATCTTAACTTCTTCTTTTTCTTCTATTGCCCATCTTCTTCGTCTCCATCCCTTTGCATAAATATATCTTCATTATTTGATTTTTTTTATATCGTTAATATTATGTATGAATTATATTTATTACATTCATATCACACAAATAGATCAAATTTGTTCGATATGAAACATTATTACAAAAAATAAAGTTGAATTTCATAATATTCAATTTGGAATGTATTTCTGAATTTCATAAACGTTTTCTAAAACACTAATTCCAAAATACTATTATGGAGGATGAGGTGTATTTTTAGAAATTAACTCTTGAAAGATGGATCCGAAATATATTTTCAGAAAAAAAATATTTCGAAAAATGTATTCTAGAAAATATTTTTGTAATTAAATTTCTAAAAATGTATTTCAAATTGGTGAGTTCAGAATGTATTTTTGAAAAATCAATTATAGAAATATATTCCATAATGCACTTTTTAAAATATATTTCTGAAAATTCAATTTCATAAATATATTTCAAAAAGTACCTTCTAGAATACATTTTCATATATACATTCCAGAAAACACTTTTTAGAACATTTTTTTATTCCAATTTTATCATTCTATGTATATGTAAAAATTTGATACAAAATAAAAAAAATTAAACATTCTTACTTATTTCTTGTAATTTTTGAAAGAATAAGAGAATTAAAATCGAAATATGAAAAAAGGGTTCTAATAATTCATAAAGGATATTTTATATTTTTATAATTCAATTAGATGATAAATATAGAAATATACTTTTTCTGGTTGTTGAAATATTTTTTTCTATTTTCTTCTCCATTAATTCAAAGTTAAATAAAATGAAATAAAGAAGTTATTATTGTTTGTTTTAATATTCATTATTTTTTTTATTTCTAATATAAATTCTATTGAATATCTATAGAATAATACTAAAGATTTTCATTAGAGAGAAAATAATGAAAATATTGTAATAGGGCTTAAAAATAGCCATTGAATAAAAAAAATCAGAATAAACACCTATTTAATTGTGGGTACAGAAAAAAATTATTGAGGTGCAGGAAGCAAAAGTCTATAAGATAAACTATTTGTTTCAAAACTAATGGGCCTGGAAATATAATGTCCCACCAAGTAAAACCCTTCTTAGGAAACCCATAACGAAAAAAGCCGTCAAAATTTCACCCCAGTGGAAGCGGCAACATGTCCCGCCAAGGAGCGTGTTCACGCCATCCCAACCTTCTTTCTCATTCCCTATTTAAAAAGCACACTCATACCTTTGTTCTCGCCATCACTATTCGCTATCTTCTTCTCATTTTATCATTCTATTATTTGCTATCTATTATATTACCTCAATTGCCATTTTCCCAATCCATTTTCTCAGAAAATGGTATCTCTTGGCCCAAGCAAGTTCTACGGCAACAGCCTCCCCCGCCCTCGCATTTACAACGACGTCAAGTTCAACGACCACCGTGTGGACCCACCCACTCCCGTCAACGATCCGTTAATGTCTTGGGCCGAAGAAGCCCACTGGTCCATGGGTGGCCTCAGCTTCAAGCGCCTCCGCCTCCAGGGCAAAATCGAGGGAAACGTCCAAAACCTCCGCTCCCAGCGCGAGAAGGCCCAGTCCCAAAGCCCAACCTTCCCGGTCCACTCCAGATCGAAAAGAGAAGCTTCTCCTTCGCCCCCACCGGCTCCGTTTGTGGTGAAACGTCGAAGGTACATGGATCTGCTCGAGGAGGAAGCTGGTCAAGGTCGGAAGAATCGGTTAGTGAAGAAGCTTGGTGATGATTTTGATAGGGTGGCTTCTTCGGAAAGCGAGGGTTCTGATACGGTGTCGTTGAAGACTCGGAGTCGGAGGTTGGTTAAGGGTGGTGAAACTGTGCAGAAGGCGGTGGTTGAAGAGGCGGAGATATCAAATCCCAAAGCAAAGAATAGTGGCAGTGAAGGTGAGACGAGTCCTAGGGTTAGAACTTCACCCAGATTTGCCAAGCGTGTGTCCAATTAGCGTGGTTTTAATGGGATATTTGATGAGAATCAAGATGCAAAGCATGGATAAAGCATCATATTTGAAGTTCTGAAAAATTGTAAATATGATGAATGTTGCAATAAAACAGTTTTCCATGCGTTATAAATTCTTATCAGTAATATTTGTTATTTTTATATACATTTTTAAAATATTAATTTTTTTCTATGTTGTCAAATTTTTATTTCTTTAAATATATATATATATATATATATATATATATATATATATAGTATAATTGTTTAGAGAGGTATTATATCCTTTGTTAATGAAATGATTTAATTATTAAATAAAATGTATATTAATGACTAAATAACGAATTTTTTTACCAAAAGGCTACCTCTTTTTATTGTGTATTTTTTTCAAGCTAAACTTATTTACTCAGAACTCCTTTAGATAATTTTAATAATATATGATTTAATATTTTATTATTTCTACTTAACAAATACAATTAAATAAAATATAAACAATATATCTGTATATTATTTATAAGTATATAAATCTAATTAAATTTCAATTCAATGTGAAAAAAATGCAGAAACAAAGCTAGTATTAATAATAACGTTTGAAAGAAGATAGATAAAAGGAAAATATATTTGGAAATTAATAGTATTTACTTGAATGAGTTTTAAAGTAATCGTGTTAATTTTTTCAATTCATTATCTAGCTCTTTTCGCTAGCCATAGTCAATTTCATGTCAAATAATTTCAAAGTAAATGTGAATAATTCAAATTTTGCTAACTTTCTGACATTAAATATGAGAATCATTTTACCATATTTTTTTCATTTTTCATTCTTCATTCTCCGAACTTTTAGTTTTACAAACATCCATTTATTTGTTATTGGATTCTTTTAAAACTTATGAATAATGTTAGGTCTTTCAATTTGCAATGATGATGAAATTCTTAAAAGGTTCAATAAACTCAACTTATGATCATATTGGATTGATAACTGATTTCATCCTTTTCAACCCAGAGCATGTATGATTAATTTTAAAGTTATAACATTAGATATGCACATAAAATATACTCATATTTAAAAATATTTATATTTGTAAAATAATGTGGTTCTACAAATTTAACTTGTATAATATGTACAAAATATCACTTTCCACTAAATGATGAATGAGATGAAATTTCTTAAATAGTCTCATTCAATCATTTTGCTATATGACCACTTTGTGAAAAGCCCAAGCCCATATAGCGAAAAGGCCCAACAACTTCACCGTTTGTTGGGAGCGCCAATTTGTCCCGCCAAGGGTTGTCTTCCCGCCATGACCACCTCCTCTTTCTCATTCCCTATTTAACAAACTGAACCTAAATCGTAACCCTATTCCCCTCACAACCCTTCTTCGCGCCATACTCACCTTCTTCATCTTCCTCTATATCCGATCACAATGGTTGTTTCTCTCGGTCCCGGCAAGTTCTACGGCACAAGCCTCCCCCGTCCCCGCATCTACGCCGACGTCAAGTTCAACGACCACCGTGTCGATCCCCCCACTCCCGTCACCGACCCCCTCATGTCTTGGGCCCAAGAGGCCCACTGGTCCATGGGCGGTCTCAGCTTCAAGCGCCTCCGTCTTCAGGGCAAAATCGAAGGCAATGTCCAAAAACTCCGCTCCCAGCGCGAGAAGGTCCAGGCCCAAAGCCCAAATTCGGCCCATTCTAGCTTCGCCCCATCCAAAAGAGCCTCCTCTCCTTCCCCACCACCGGCTCCGGTGGTGACCAAACGCCGTAAGTACATGGATCTTATCGTAGACGAAGAGGAAGAGGAAGAAGAATCGGAAGAGGTTGAGCCTCCCAGAACCCGTGTTCGGAAGAGCCGCTTAATCAAGAAGCTTGGTGATGATTTCGATAGGGTTGCACAGGAGATCGATGAATCTGATACAATGCCGTTAAAGACTCTGACTCTGACTAGGAGATTGGTCAAGAGTTCTGAAAAGAAGATGGTGGTTGAAACAGCGGAGAAATCAAAACCTAATGGGAAGAAGAGTACCAGAGAAGCCGAGAAGAACCCTAGGGTTAGAACTTCTCCCAGATTGGCTAAGCGCGTGTCAAATTAGAAACTTGTTGTAATTAGATAAAGTCCAATTTTTGTTTTTATTTTCTTTCGCTTTTCGCATTTTATTTTGTAGATGCTGTCTCTTTTGTGAGCAAGAAAAAATGGGTTCTGAGCACGTTTCAAGGTTTAGGGTTTTTCAACAATTCTGTTATGCAGCAAAAACAAAATGAAAGTAGATGGCAACAGTTCCTTAAATCTCAGCATACAATTCACAGAACAAATAGGACTTTCTGATAATTTAATTTAAATTTAATTACATACAAAGCTTTTTTTCCTTGATAATTTAATTTAAATTTAATTACATACAAATAGGATTTTCGTTATGACACAATTTGAATTATAATTGTGTTTATGCTACTATCACTATCACATGTCCTCAACTAATCACTCCACTCCAATATTTGGTGATGAAAAGTTGAAACCAGAATAATATTGTACAAAACCCACCCGGCAATGACCCAAATAAAAAAACATGTCTTGTATCGATTTCTATTCCATAATGTGAGCTTTGTCTTTCACTGTTTTGGTTAACAATATTCTTTGAAACTTACATCCAGTTGAGTCCATCCCTTTGCATTGGCCAATCTGCAAGACTGTTCAATAAATACAATTGGAGTAGATGAACTTTCCAATGGCACCATCCCATATTCATCAGAAAATTCTTTCATTCCACTGACTAGGAACTGCCATACTAAAGCACCAGCTCCAGATCTGTTTCCCTTGGCCGATTTATAAATTATGTCTAGAACAGTTCTGTGCATTTTTTCTCTATCTGATATTGAAAAGTTCTGATTTGTTGCTGATAATCCAAATTCAGAGAACAAAACGGGCTTCTTCAAAACTTTGTCACCGTCTTCAATGTGGGAAAGCATCCACTTGGAAACAAATTTCAGTTGATCTTCGAATACTTGCTCATGAAACCTGTGAAAAAATCAATGAACAAATAAAGGCAACTTACACAAAAACATGAAATCACCACAAGTTTGGATGTGTATTTTTAAAGGGTATAAAAATATAGATTTCAACAGTTGACCCCCTATACATGACAATCTCATTAGAAAACCTTGAAACCTTCCTTCTGCAGGTTGTGATCTGTCGTAGATTCTTTTTCTAACACTTAAGCAAACCCAAAACTAAAGAACATAGCTTTCGGCCAACGCTTACCAATGATCAGGATAGATATGAACAGAGGCAAAATCAACATTTGATATTTTGGAGTTCCGAATAAAATCAGACCCAAGTCTGGAGGCCCAAAGCTCTGGGTTGACCGTTGAACTTTTTGGATCATTTGGACCATAAAAGCCTTCCAGACCCACAGTCAACAAATGGTTCCTGTCTATCAATTTGACAAAACTTGACATTTCGTCGATCCATCCCTGCAACAATTAAGTAAAATGAATAACTGTAAAAACGCTGTCCTTTTCTATAAATTCTACCACAATTAGAGTTGTTCCCACGTGACTTGGGGTCACTGCAAGTTCAGGATGTGGAATCAGCATCTTCCAAAGGGATGGTAAGGCCTTTTTAAGACAGATCCAAGATTGGTCTGACCTCCAGAGTGTAAAAAAGGGCTAAAAATTGGATATAGAATCCTTCTTATCAAATTCAACCATCGCAGAAAGAAATTGATATTACTATTGCTAGCATACTTTTTCTACAAATATTTCAAGAGGCTAAAGCACAGTTAAAGGACTTACTTGTAGAGTGTCACCAGAAGGATCAGACATGCAACGAGGTTCATTAATCAATTCCCAACCAAAAATGGTGGGGTCATTTCTATATTCAATTCCTGTGATACTATTCTTCCTTGTCAAGATAGTCTGCAAAAAAAAAAAAAAAAAAAATCACAGGAAACGATTAATTGATCTAAGACAGCTTCAAGGGTTGTAGACATGCAAAAAATAATGTCCAGAACACAAAAATAAATGTTAGTGGAACAATTCACAAGGTAAGGGAAGGGTAATTTTGATCCATGGAAGCAGGAAATACAAGCTTCATATAAAATCATGAATATAGATAAAACCTCAGAAATAAGATTATTTACTTGTTATATATATTAAAAAATAAAACTTATGTATTGGTAACTTTGTTCTTTGCTTCCCAACAAGGTTGGACCCCTGTATTGGAGGGAAATGAATCTCACACAATTTGAAAAAGAACTGCACCCTGTGCAGTTACTAATTACACAATTCATGGTACCTGTCCCTACTTTATATATCAAAAATATCAGATATGAAAATAAAGGAATGTTTGAGATCTCATGCCCTAGGAGAACTTTTATAGGATGGAAAAATCAGACATTTAATTATTACGATGGTAGAGCAACAGTTTCACAGACCAATTATTCCAAAGCTTAAGCTATCATACGAACACACGTGAATGTTTCATTACTTTATGCTGTATAATATCTCTGTTTCTTTGATACCATGTCATAAACCAACTAGTCCAAAAGGTTAAACTATTAGGTGAGGACATATTTTATCACTTTAAAGTTTTTATATTTATGTTTCCAATAAGAATTACTTGTCTAGGGGACTGTCTTGTCCACTGCCACTGCTATTCTAATGATTTTTACTTAAAATACTATTTTTCTTCTTTGTTAGTCAAACTATTGTTAGGGCAACTTTAAAGAAACATAAAAGACAGACAATTAGAAATGTATAATCACTAAGGTTGCCTCTTGACTTAATTTGTTTATTCTAAAAAAGCAGGATGCCGTACCTTGATGTAATTCTTGAAATATGTACGGATAGATGGATCAAAGAAGAAAGAATCGTTGGAGGAGCTTAAGCCTACCCCTTCTTGCCATGCCCATTTAACATACTGACTCTTCCCACCATATGCTTGCAAATTATTCACTAGGCTAAGGAGGAGCCTAATTCCATGTTGCCTTGCTTCTGCTATGACATAATCCAAGGCCTGTCACCAAACACCCATCAATCCTCACCATGATTTTCATTCACAAATGATACTATCTATATAAGAAACAATTTACTTACCAAATGAGCATAAGAATTACCAGAAGTAATGCCACATAAAGCATTTTTCATTTAATCAGGCCTAAAGAAAGGGGAAATTCAGTAAGACATACGTCTCCAAGGCAACCATTATAAACTTTTAAGAGACTATTTTGATTTGTGAAGCTTGCATATTTGCAAAATAAGCATGCATTGCTTCTGTCACAAACCTTTCAATTTTGTCATGTCAAAAGTCAGAAACACCACCATCACCATTTTTGGGACAGCTTCACAACACCATATTTAGTTGGATTCTGCTTTAGATACTAACCACAGAAACACTGTGCACCACTTTTTTCTTTTCATTCTATCGCTTCCCAGGAAAAAGAATGGTATCTCCATTAACATAGCTATAATATTCAGCTCTTAAGACACAGCTGTGTCATGATTCCTTTGATACTTTACATCTATCGCAACCCAATATAATTCCCTCGATACAATGATACAATTTGAACCAACGCCAATCCCCAGTTTTGCAAACACCGACATTAACAGTCACAAATATTCAACTCAATTTCAGGACAAGAGAACAACAAATGAGAAGGGCCTCAAAAAATAAGAGAAAACAAATCCCCGAGAACCCAAAAACGCAATTTCCCACAACACAGCACACTCGCACACCCAAAATTAAACTAAACAAAATTGTGTCGGTATCTGACATGAAGCTTAAAAAAAGACACAATTACTAAAAATTCTCGTCGCAACAAGTTGCATAATTAAAAAACCACGACGAACATAAAAAATTACCTTGAAAGCTTGTTCGTCAAAACGACCAGGGGAAGTTTGAAGGGCATTGTAGTCTCCATCATTGAACGCCCAAGTTCGACACACAGTGAGACCCATCTTAGCACCGGTTTTCATCATTTCTCGAACCTTGGATCTTGAATAAATATCCACCGACTGAACCATTAACCAGTAAGAGTTCCACCCGTTTACGTAAAACGCTTTTCCATCCAACACAAACTGCGTCCCGTTTCTCGCAACAAAGCTCAACTCTGGCCCTTCCTCTAAAAAACTGAACCTTATGCCCCCAAACGACATGTAAATGAAAACCACAAACGATGCAAAACCCAAAATGGGATAAAACAGGCTATTTCCAAACACCATTATTTGGGGCCGAATTCAACCGATTGGGGAGGTTCCCGGGTACCCTTTTGGCCCTTTGATCAAAGGGTCACTAACTAAGTGACACTTGATGAAGATTGCTGAACCTCACACCCCACAAAGTTAGTTTGGTTGTTCTTCACACCCCAAATGGTTAAAATGTCTAGATCTCTCTATATGAACTGTCAACAGTGTGAATGGACTTGAAAGGCATTAACTTTAATGAGTTGCAAAAAAGTATCACTGAACCCAATGGGAATGCCCAAGGAAACTTCGGTGGGTTTCTAAGTTGCCGTAATTTGGGGATTTATATAGGGTGAGCTGAGAAGAGGATAATAACTATTGTGCATGAAATGATGAAATGTTATGGTTATGGTTGTGCTCGCAGTTCAACCCCATTGAAGGCAAGGAACTTGAAAGGGAATGACATGTTTATCTTGTTTGAAGTATAGTCCAAGTTAACAGCGATGATTGGGGTTGAAAAAAACTAGTGTGCTAAGGACGGTGGTGAGTGTGTGGTGAAATGTTTTGCACTGAGTGAAGGAACCTAAGGATATGTCCCACTGTTCTTGACCCAACCTGTATTCGGTATCAGTTACATCCTAATTAAGCAGAAGCTACATTCAATATCACATATCACTGAAGCATTTACCATGTTAATCAATGCACTTCATAGAATGAACTCATTAGAGTAAAATACTAAAAAAAAAAAAAAAAAACTAACTTCTCTTTGTTCCTACATGTCTATTACAGTTTTTTTCTTTTAAACATTTTTTGTTGGAGATTTTCTCAATGTATTTATTGAGTCTTAATTCTGCATTAATGAGATGTCGGGAAGTTTCTTAAACGTCTGGAGGTTATTTTCTATATGTAAACTATTTTTAAGGTTATTTATTTGTAAAAAGATTCAGTTTATTAATTTAACATCATGAGTGTATTTTTTAAGGAATTGAGAGATTATAACCTTAAATTTTTTTAATTTATATATATATAAATATATTTATGATTTTGACCGTTAAATTCAATAATTATTAAATATATTTATTTATATGTCTATAAAAAAATTTATATTTATTTATTATTTATTAATAATATATTATTTAATTACTTAAAATTAATGTTAAAAATCTAGTGGATGGTTGAGTATTTTGGATGCTGATGAGATTATGATATCAAATTCATAATCATCTTTTAATAAGTACATGATTGATTTTGGAATGATTTGAAGGATTCTATTTGAACCGTGTTTAGATTATTGCTTAAAAGGAAATGATAAGTATGAAGGAAGAGTGTACAAAGAAAGCTTTCAGAGATATGAATTAGTGATGGAGAATTTTGGAACCACTTATTTAAATATTTGTTAAGTTTCTCTGTTACAAATGATGATTTTGTACCTAAACCGATAAATATATCTTTCATTCAAAAATGCAGGTTTAATCAATTTTATATTATAATAAATTAATGAAAATGAACTGTTTTTCATATTTATAATAACTATTTTTTCTTATATTGTTTTTTCTATTTTCATTAATAATATAATAAAAATACTTATATTTTATTTGATAGAATTAATATTATTTATAAATTATAACAAAGTATATAATGGTGATAAAGATACTACAAGTGCAATGAATTTTTTCTTGCCTCGTTAGAATTAATCCCAAATAATATTATCATGAACTGTAAATAAATCAAAGAATAATAAAAATTTAGTTGTGATTCTTTTAAGCAGCCTATATTAACCAGTTGAAAACATAGTTAAAAATAGAAAACTTAGATAAAAATGGTGTCGAGGGATAAAAGGTTAGAAGCTATAAATAAAAAATTAATGATTAAATTAAAATCATTGGTTAAAATTATTTGATTAATTAAAAAATATATTTATATGTGTGCATATTTAATAATTAAAATTGTAATAAATTTATTCTGACAAATTCTGTTTTACAATTATTATTATCATGCAAAGTATAATTCATAAAAAAAATGCAGGTAATTCTTTGAAATAAAGGTATTATAATTATCCAAAGGTAAAAGCCATTTCCAAAAACCAATAGGATAAGTTAAAAAAAAAAATATAAATCATAACTTATAAGTCGTATTACTTCTAATAACTTATTAAATGAAAACTTTTAGACAAATAAACTTTTTTTTTTTTTTACAGAAAAACTTGCAGGTCAAACTCAAGCTTAATATTTTTGTTGAATTATCAAACGGTCATATCATATATGAAACTTTTGTAAATTACAAGGAACAATTCTGTCCTTAAATCTTCATCAATCTGTTTTCTTCGATGGAAAAAAAAACATTTGTATTTATGTTATATATGTATAAAAAAAAAAGAGAATGAAAAAAATAAAAATGAAGTATTGATTATGAAAATATGAGATTTCTTCTCTTCAAACCATGAAAATAAACTATTGACTATATTGGATTCTACCTTAAAATTAATTCACATTAAATTTTCCAATAGATATATAAATTACACCTCACTGATTGAGACACATAAATATCAAACTTTTCCATCATGATTGAAGGCTGTTCTGATTGGTTTTCAATATATAAATGTGAAATCTCTTGCATTCAATTCAAGTCACATGTTGCAACTTTTCACCATTTGGTCAACCTCTCAATTATTTTATGTGCATATCTGAAATTTGATTATCATTGTCTTTATAAAAACAGTGATTTTTTAAAATTTAGAATTAAACTTTAAAATCTTCTTTAATTAATCCAATACCTAAAATTTGTTAATTAGATCTATCCAAGTGAAACCTGTTCATCTTAGCTATTTAAATCAAAAGAGTTATAAAGTAAAAATCACATCAAAGTAGTTCTACAAGCAGTAAAAAAAAATTAAAAGTATAATATTAAATAAATTAATAAAAAATTTATAAGATGTAAGCACACATTTTACTATATTATTAATTTTAAAATAAACAATGAATGAATAAATAAACTTGGTCCTCACCCCTTATTACAGTAGAAGGAAAAAAATCGAAATTCTATTTTAATTCTCTTTCTCTTTTTTATATGTACAAAACTATCTATGATAGATTAATATTAATCAAAGAAGAATTATTATAAATATATTTACATTTTCTTTCGTCTTATTCTATCCAATAATTTCTTATTAATTTTTTTATTAACATTACTTGTCATGTTCTTTTGTTTTCCTCTATTTTTATTTTGTTTTTTCTTCTCTTTATAATACTCAAAATAAGGTGGGAAGTTGATATTTTTCCTTTGAAAATGAAGCGTGAATCTTATTACTCGGAAATTTAGGAGTAGAATGCGGAGTGCTGCATGATTATTAATGAAATATCTCTAAAAATATAATAATGAAAATATTTAGATATGATATAATATAAGTATGTTATATAAATAAAACCCCAGTTCAAAAGAAAAAAACAATAGAACTAAATATTATAGTTTTTTAATCTAAATTTATTAAAAATATAATACTCTTTTATTAATTGTAAGAAATACTACATTTTTTTTTATTCTTAGAAAATATTAATTAGTCTTCACTTTTTACACAAACAGCAGCCAATTTACTGGCAATGGACACAGGGTGAAGGTGCAGGTGCAGGTGCAGGCGCAGCATATGATCAGGTTTACCTGCTCAACTAGGATACAGTGTCGTGCTCGTGCTACTGTCCCTGTAATGTACCTCCATTTCACTGTTTCACAAAATAATACAATACAATTCAAATATGCATATTTTTATCTGCTTGACTTTTTCTGAATAAACAATCTGCACAGATATTCATTCATTCCTTCTAGATACTAGTTTAGGTTGTGTATGATTTCAGTTGTTGTTGTTCACAGAATAATCAAATAAAGGGAAAATCTGAAACCTGGTTGGTTTGAATGCTCAAGAAAATGTCCAATTTCAAATTCCATGTTATTGTCAATGCTTTATGGTGTCCTCACTCTTCAAAGTTCAAACAATATTTTATGTCCAGGAGGAATAAACAAGTTCCTTCATGTACAAACAAGATTAGAGGATTCTATTTTCCTGAAGGGTGTCATTGAATTGGGAGAAAATAATTTAGTGGTTCGTATCTTTCCATTCCAGGCATTGACCCAATGTCCAATGCATTCTACCCTGCTAGCAATATAGGAGGAAGAGAAAACTAATGCATTATTTGGATTTCGGAGTGGATTTAAAGCATTGGAAAATATGAGAATGAGAAAGAGAGTGATGAGAAGTGGAAATCGATGGATTAAAGAAAAAGAGGAGAAATGAGTAGAAAATAAAATATGTGAAATGCTAAAGAATAAGGAAGAAATGAAATTGGTATATTTGAACCATTTTCCCTAGAAACAGGGAGGAAGGGAATGCGTTTTTTCTTATAAGTTAAAAAATGAGTTTTTGATTGCATCAATCAATCAATGGTTAAATCAGGGGAATGAGTGATTAGATAGACATATACCTTGTATTCTATGATTGAGTGATTTACAAGTAGTTTCATTATTAATTATCCTCTCCTATTGGATATTACCCACTAATTCACCTCCAACAGAAACTACTTCTGAATGCTTTATGCTTTATCTTATTCAATACAAAAAAAAAAACTTCAACTTATTTTATTTTTGAAGATTGACCCGCTAGCCACAGTTCACTCTCACGTCTCATCAGTTTCCTCCTTTTGAAAGTGATTGTATGGTTAAAGCTTCAAATTCACAAAAGTTACTTTTCTGTTGTCTGACAAACATACGCACAAGACCGACCTCTAGAATATCGTTGAATTTGAGAGACAAAGAAAAAGACAAAAGGCTTGTAAAAATTAATTAATCATAAACAGAATACACTATATCTGTATCAGCAGGTAACAATTTCATTCAAGACACTTTACCTAATATAAGTCTCACTTACTCTTATCTAAACCAATGCTAAAAAAGATATCATGACACTTTACCACATTCTGCAACCCTTGCATGCCCAAATCCTTCAAACTAACAACCACACCGTGAAAATCACTCGCCCAATTCAGTCAGCACCTCTTCCGTTTGTTCTACCCAGAACAAAGTACCCCAGAACAGCACATAAAGCAGCCACGATATTCCCTTCTTTCAGCAAAACCTTCAGCACAAAACGGAAAATCTCCCCAGTAATCTTCCTTCCCTCCACAACCAAAGTCCTCTTAGGCTTACCAAAGAAAGCCAATAACACCACTATGGCAATCCACGTGACCAGAGCAGCAGGCACCACTACAGCAAAAGCTGCCACCATCGAAAGAAGTCCAAAAACTGCACCAAGAAGCAGCGAGGCATAGAGTGCAGGCCACCAACAAGATGATGATGATGACTCACCTTGCAGCTTGTACCACGAAATCATAGACTTGAGAAAGTTCCACGAAGATGTAAAGAGCAAGCCATAAACAAGCACAAAAATGCACACCCAGATCCTTCTTTTGCTCATGATTTGAAGCAGTAGTAACACGAATGAAGAAGGTTGGTGGATTGGTGAAATGGGTTGTTCTTCCACTTTTGCCATGAGCATGACAACCTGTGAAAACTAGTACTACCAACCACCAATCTGATTTTGCTTTTGTTTTCTCTCCCAAGTTGAAAACTGTATTGTTCTACTCCATAGTTCTGCGCGTTTTGGTTCTTTTCTGGAATCTGGGTGCTTCTCTATTGTTGCTACCACGCTATCTCTCGCTTTTGGGACCATGAAAATGAAGTTGAAGACACTGCAATGACATTGTACACCTCATGTACTTTTATACATCAATCCTCTGTCTCGGCCCAACTGCTGACAGGCCCAAAGAAATGTTATCATAACCTTTTTATTAAAATTTTAACACATTTTTAAATAATGAGGAGAAATAAATCTTTGAATTGATTGAGACACTTCATGACGGTAATGTGATAAGATAAGCATAATTTCATAATTTTTTTTATTTATTGGAAACATTTTAGAGAAAGTGAATGTATCCACGCGCAAGAAAGAACGAAGAAAGAGTCTGCAGCTACAGAAATTTGATTTCTCAGGGCAACACAAGCATAAACTGTACACTGTATAAAGTATATCAGTAAATCTATGAATACGATGGATGAACAAAGAAACAGAGAGAAAGTTAAGTTTATTCAGTAATTAGAATGTTATGCATGCATCTCAGATCTATCTTTATGCATGTATAAAAATTAAAATGATATGTTAATTTAATAATAAGTTGTTAAATGTCTATTATATGCACATTTAACAGATCAAATTAGAAGAGTTGATTAAATAGTTCAATGTTCTGCGAACAAATGTATTGATGCCTATAGTTTCAACCACACCAAATGTAACATTTTATTATATAAATATTAAGCACACTTGTATCTTTTAATTGTTTTAATTTTCTTTGTTAGTCAAAAATACACTTAGACTTTATTTGCTGATTAAAATATTGATAGAGAAATAAAAATATAATATGATAAATATTAGTTATATTTGATATTTGATGGAAATAAGAAATTTAAGATATGACACCTGATAAAATAATATATATACATTAAAATTAATTGTAATATAAAAATGGATATATTATACATAATTATTTTATTATATGTATTTTCTTCAAAAAAAATTTGCATTTTAAAATAAAAACTGAATATCATAAATTATTAAAACAATCAATTAATTGATAACAATTAATTAAATGATAGCAAATAATATATATATATATATATATATATATATATTATAATTTTTATATTATAAAATGAGAATAGAGAAGAGAAAAGTATGCAAGGAGAAGAATAATAGAAAAAAATTGAAATATAAATATTTAAAGTTAAAAAAAAATGAAAAGGTAGAAGTGAGAAAAAAAAGAATCAAAATATATAAAAATAAAAAATATTTATTATAATGATTTTTTAAAAGATAAAAAATAATACTTTTTTTTATTGTTTTTTAATTTCTTTTAATAATTATACATATAAAACAAAATCAAAATTTTGAGAGCCGTCTTGTTCTATCCTTATTGACAAGTATCAAGGTATCGAATACTAAATTTAAAATATCATATATCCTCAATTATAAATAAAATTTCATCAATTAAAAAAAAAAATTTAAATTTTATAACATATATTTAATAGATTGACAATCCCATTATATCCAAACACTTCTGAAAACCAGTACGATACAAATACCTGAATGTATTGTATTTGTTGATAAATGGTACAAAATGTTCAATTTAATTAGTTCTATTTTATTAATTGGTTTTAAACTGATTTACAATATGTTATTCAAATATATATTCTGATTCAAAATTATGATGTAATTTATATTTTTTTCAGATTCTAGTTATTGAATAAATAAAATAAATCTTAAGAATAAAATCTTATTAAAAATTTTCAGTACACCTTTTGCAACCGTGTATGCATATTTTTTAAAAAATATTATCAAAATATTCAAAACAAAATCATAATTTAAAAATAGTTAAAAAAACAATTAGATTTCACAATTTAAAAATGATTATAAATAATTAATAAAATATTAAAAATAACATTATAATTTAAAACAAGAAATGTTTTAAAAAACAATTCAAATAATAATTAGAAAAAAAATTATAAATTTCTATCTAAAATAACTTTATTTCAGTTTTTAATTTATGTAAAAATAAAATTTTAGGTTCTTAATCAATTTTTACTCTGGATGGTTATAAAAGAAATTAGAATTTTAATATATATATATATATATATATATATATATATATATGTATATATATATATATTTATACTTTTATCATTCAAACAAACTAAGTCACACAATATTGTAAAATAATAATAAGGTGTTGGTAGAACAGTTTGATTCATATTTTTATTAAAAATTATTAAATTAAACATAAAATTTAAATGTAATTTGCTTTAATTTATTTTAATTTTTATAAAAACTTACATCAAATCAAATTAATATTTTCTGATTTTGTTTGAATGGTTTTTATGATTATTTTATTATAAATTTATTAAATGTATTGTAATAAAATAATTATGAAATAAAAATATATTATAAAAAATATTATATATAATTAATTATGATATTTATAATTTTAAGTTAAATATATCTTTAATTTAAATATTATATGTCATTAGATTATAAAAATTAATTATACATTCATAAATATCAGTTTATATTTTAATTTGAATGTTATATTTTAGAATGGTTTTATATCATCAATTCAGTTTGTAATGATTTTAAATTGAACTGAATTTCAAAAATTTCAATTATGATTTATGGTTTTTTACATTGAATAACCACAAATTCAATTGTAAAATTAAGTCTGTTATTTTAAATTAAGTTGTAGTTTATCGAATAAATAAAAATAAAAAAAAACTAAAAAAATAAAATGATTAATATAAAACGTGTGGAAACCTAGTACAAATTTAATTTATATGCACTATTGACACATATAAAATATTAAACATTTAGTAGAGTATGACCATTTTATCACGTTATTGTTTAATAAATGCGACAATATGGTAAATTTATATTAGATTCATGTATAAAAATGTTTTTCCCTTAACTATGCATATAAATTAAACTTAAATATAAGAATAACTTATAATTTCTATATTCAAACTAATTGAAAAAAATATTACATTAACTCTCTGTGATACAAATTTATTAAATAAAAATTTAATTAAGTTTTTCAGTTAAATATTATTTTATCATGTTATAGATACAGCATATTAATTCTGTAAAAGAAAAAAAAGGATACAACATATTAATTAATTTGATTGATAACTAATCACAGTCAGAGAGCTAATAATTAATATTTCAATTTATTTTTATTCATAAAAGTCAAATTCAATACTTCAAAAAAATTAGACCTAATTATTAATATAACGTTGGTTAATAAACATGTTCTATAAATAAAATTAAAACACACAAAATTCAGAAAATAATATACTTAAACTTAAATATTTTCAATATTCTCTCACTTATGCATTATCCTATATGACTAGTAAAAAAAAAAATCTACCATTTCATGCATTTGAAAATCACATAATATTTTTTTTATATAAAATCTAAAATTCTAATTACATATCTTAACTTATCTATAAAATGTTTTCCAGGCAAAATAAAACTAGGTATTATTAAAATATTACTAATTGTATGTTGAAATTCTTTGGAATTTTAATTTCGTTTCCTAAAACATATGGATAAGATCATAACTAATTCTTTTATGAGTAGTTAATGAATAGTTTTACTTATATAATGTTAAAACCTTTAAAGATAATTGTTTTTTTTTATAGAAAAGTATAATAGACATTGATTTTTTTTTCAGTAATATTTTATATAAATAGAAATATTGACTAAATAAACTAATAAATAAAAAATTGCATAATTATATTATAATTATAAATAAAATATTTCATTTAATATTGTAACATATTAATTAAATATTTGATTGTGAAAAAAGTGTTTATTTATTTATTTTACAATAAAATTAATCCGTCAAAGGAGAAAAAATTGTTCGTTGCACAGCGTCAATGGCAGACTCTAGTCGGCAAAAGCCATCGTTTTGTAAGGGAGATATTGATATTTCGTTTATCTTTAATTTTTGAATTTATGAATACGCGTTGAACATTCACTCTTACCTAAATAAAACACTTTCTTTCTTATTACTTTTTTCACCAACCATTCCGTTCCATTCTTACCCTTAACCCCATTCTAAAGATCCACTCAAGTTTTTATTTTTCACTTTACCACTATTTTCCTTATTAACGAGTTTTATGATTCTTTGTCTTCCAGTTTGTGGATCAGCACCACCCTCTTTTTTTGAATGTTGACAATTGTTGGCGTACTGTTAGTGGAGTGTTCTGAATTGCGTCTTTGATTGGAATCGCTGACTCTGCATTTGGGTCAGTTTGAAAGTTTCAAAAGAGGGCAGAGAAAGCGTTGTTTTCCCATTTTTTTATTTTTAAGGGTTCAAGGTTGGGAAATTCCCAGTTTTGTAATTGAAGGAGGACAACAAATTGATGCATGAGTATTAGTTGGTGACTTGCATGATGGAGTTGTAGGTGGAGGATTGTGATCGTGGTTATTGATTGAAGGAGAATAATAATAATAATATTGTATAGTTGAATAATATAGGTTTGTGGTGCAACATGGGGTGCATATCTTCCAAGAGTGCTGCTGTTGATGACAGCAGGGAGGGTGTGGCAAGGGAATTGACTTCATCTGGCAAAAGGGCCTCGGAGATGAAGACTTCTGCATTGAATTCCAAGAAAAGGGTCGAGGGAGTTTGGAGGAAAGAGAAGGTTTTAGATGATGCTGATATGAAAGTTTCATTAATTGGCAAGGAATCCGGTGGTTCGATGCGGTTGTGTGATCATCAGAGTGGGAGGAAGACAAAGGAGAAACCTGAATCGGCTGTTCTTGATCATCCTGGTCTTGGAAGGGTTCCGAAGGGTTTAGAAGGAGAGCAAGTTGCAGCAGGTTGGCCAACTTGGCTATCTTCTGTTGCTGGTGAAGCTATCCAAGGGTGGATACCACGGAGTGCAGATACTTTTGAGAGGTTTGGTAAAGTAAGTTATCACTTCGGCTTCTTAGTCTGTGATTGCATTATTGTTCAACTGTCGCGTAGGTAATCACTTGTTATTACCATCATGTGAATGACTTGTCAAAAGTTTCAAAACATTTCATGTCTAAGAAATTGATCCTTTGGCCGACCTGTGCAGCGTGGATTGGAGGGAAACGGAAAAACATTGTGGCCTAATTTTGAATTTCAGAGTATAATATTTTTGGTTAACATGAGTATTTTTTAGCACATGTGGCCTGTAACCCCTTTTTGTGTGTGCTGGTTTGTGTTTAAAGCTTAGTTGTGGTTGGTTTCCATCCACCTTTTTGCATCTTTTTTTAACGGCAAAAGGAAAGAGCTCAACAAGTGATTAGATACTTTTCTTTTTAGTTTGTGTTAAAAAAACTAAGTCCTTTCTGCACTGGACTCTATACAATTTATTTTGTAGTACTTTGTGTAATGCCTATGGGTTCAAGACAGGGTTATTTTTCATTTTGGATTTTGTTAAAAGTAGAGAAAGAAAATGTGAGTTAGGGTGAGATTAATCTTATTTTTGTGAAACAAAGAGATATTATTCTCTTTTATTTTTAATGGTTAATGTTGATTTTCCCTCTCACATACTAAAAGAATCATATGATGGCATTCTACCAAATGCAGATTGGACAAGGAACCTACAGTTCAGTGTATAAGGCACGTGATTTAACTCACCAAAAGATCGTTGCATTGAAGAGGGTACGCTTTGATAATTTTGATGCTGAGAGTGTCAAGTTTATGGCAAGGGAAATCCTTGTTCTGCGTAGGCTTGACCATCCAAATATAATAAAGTTGGAAGGACTGATAACGTCGCAGACATCTCGCAGCTTGTACCTTGTTTTTGAATACATGGAACATGATCTTACGGGACTTGCATCAAGTCCTAACATTAGGTTTTCTGAACCACAGGTAGTGATGATTCTTCTTATTCTTGCAGTCTTCTGTTTTACATGGAGTCAAGATTCTTCTAGATAAGACGCAATAAAACCATTCATGGGCCTTCACATAGCAACTTGAGCTTTTGGGATATTTGGTCATTGACATGGTATCAAAGCTTTCTGAACAAAGTTTCTAGGAATTTGATCTGTGCTGCCCGGATTCTTCTAAAAAATGAAAAATTGAATTTCAGCACATGGAAAAATTGTGCCTGTGCGCTGTGCATAATTCAAACATGTTATAGATGTAATAAAACCAGTAATGAGCCTTTGCCCAATAGCTCAAGCTTTTGGGACAATTCTTAATTGACACTTCTGCATACAGATGTCAGATTTAATAGTGGGAATCCTTTCTCCTGACTTAGCTATTTAAATTCTTTTTGAAATAACTGTTTTTGCCCTCAACTATGCTTAGATGTCTAAAATTCTTAGTGACGTTTCTTATATATCAGGTTAAGTGCTACATGCAGCAGCTTCTTAGTGGATTGAATCATTGTCATAGTCGAGGTGTCCTCCACCGTGACATAAAGGGCTCAAATCTTCTCATTGACAATAATGGCACCTTAAAGATTGCAGATTTTGGTCTGGCAAATTTTATTGACCCCCATCACAAGGTTCCATTGACCAGCCGTGTAGTAACTCTGTGGTATAGACCACCGGAACTTTTACTTGGAGCATCTAATTATGGCGTTGCAGTAGATTTGTGGAGCACTGGTTGCATACTGGGGGAATTATATAGTGGCAGGCCTATTTTGCCTGGAAAAACAGAGGTATGCTGCTTCAGAATCTAGTTTGCATCATTTACTAATAGTAAATACCTTCACTGTTACTTTCAAGTGGTCTCTTCACTGATGTGCACAATTTCACTTTCTAAAACAATATATTCCAGCTTAGACTAGTAGTCAATTCTCAAACTGATATTATACAGTAACAGAGCTAGGTGCCTGAAGTTTAATTTTTGTTCATTGTAGGTTGAGCAATTGCATAGGATTTTTAAACTTTGTGGGTCACCATCTGAGGACTATTGGCACAAGCTGCGGTCACCACATTCAACAGTATTCAGGCCTCCCCACCATTACAGGCGTTGTGTTGCTGAAACATTTAAAGAATATCCATCTGCTGCCACAAGGCTAATAGAAACCCTACTTGCTTTGGATCCCACACTTCGAGGAACAGCAGCTACAGCCCTAAAGAGTGAGGTAATTTTATGTTTACAATAAGTGAAGCACATATACAATGTACTTATACTTGCTGTGTGAGATTTCATTACCATTTCTCACCTTGATGTGTGTGCCTGTGAGCATAAAGCATTTCTTGCCGAGTAATAATAATATTGCATAAGAAATTTCTTATGCAATATATTGAAGGAACTCGTTTCCTATCTAACCTTCTAGGCCCTTGATTCTCCATTTTGATATTTCCCCTCTTCACTGACAGTTCTTTTCAACGGAACCCCTTCCTTGTGATCCATCAAGTTTACCAAAATATCCCCCCAGCAAAGAGATTGACACTAAATTGTGGGAAGAAGCAAAAAGGTACCGCTAGGATTATATTTTTATGTAAAAAAGATGTTGAGGCAAAGCCAAATTGATATGTTTTCAATAATTAATCTTTTTGACGTGATTTTAACTTTTCTCAGGCAATCAAATTGATTTGTATTGGTTGTTGGATTTGACTGTTGAAATACGACATATTTGATTTCTAAAGCTTTGCTTTGCAGTAATGCAACTGCAAATATGTTTCATGATTAATGTTGAAATTGCTTTCTGCTCCATTGAATTCATCCATCTGTGATGGATGGGAGCCTTACTTGTTGCCTGAGACTATTGTTAACTGGTATAGATTTCTGTTTATCATCTTAGGCAAGGAACTGATGGGAGAAAGGAGAAGAAAAATGGATCGAGAGTTCGACAAGAAAAAGAACCTCAGACATTTATATTATCCAAAGACAATGTGCACTCTCGCATATCAATGCAGGTAACGGAAGCATGATTAAACCGAGAAATTGTCCTTATTCATCTTCATAGTTGCAGTAATCAATGAATATGATCTGCATATGTTTCATACATTTGGGCATAGTGTTATACCAAATAGTCTACATCCAATGACCTTGAAATAAGGGGACAAGAAAAAGAAAAAGTCTGCAAGATTTGTACATCTTTTGATTAAACTTTTAGAATAGTTTGTTATTTTTTGTCCTGAAAAGGTTTATTGGTTTGATTTTCATCTGAGTATGACCTACAGACTTAGCCCCTGCTAATTATGATGATTGTAGAACACAAATCACTGGAGGCCAGCTCAGCTGACTTGAGTCAAATATGCTCGTCATATTTAAAAATTAGGCAGAGAGGAGGATACAATAAAGAAATTGTGTATTACAATTTTGTTAGAGCTGGTTTCAAAAAACAGAAAGAAAGATTGAATTCATCGACTGGACATAGGGAAATCCCCCTAGAAAGCACTACACTGTTCCAAGATCCCTCTAGCATTCACCAAAAGTCTGTAACTGGCTGAACTTTGAGGGTCTGCACCTGCCAATGCCCAAATGTCCCTCTAGTTTCAGTAGTTTACCATAATCAAGATTCCTTTTTTATTTGGGCAATTGAATGGACCAATAGAAAAAACGCTTTTATTTTTTTCCCGTTTGCCTTGTGTACTGCTTTGCATTCTGTCTCTTTTTCATCTCAGTATATCAAAATTCTATTTGATGCAGCAAGGGCAACGCCTTCCAAACTCAAGGAGTCGGAACGAATTCTTCAATCCTCACAGAGAACCTGTGTCTGGACATTTGTTTTTTCCACACAAACAGTCAGAGGATCATAAATCAACAGTAAATTATTTCTCTGGGCCGCTTTATCAGAGGCCTATGCATTCAGGTCCATTGGTTCCAGGCAATGGCTGGGAAATGGCTGGAAAGGAAGCTGGTGAGCAGCCTCATGTTTCAAGCAAAGTCAACCTACTAAAACTATCTGGAGTGGCATCTAGGACTTCATTGTCTGGAGATAAAAAAGAAAACTCTGTTCACTCGAGGCCCCAAGCAATTCAAGCACAAAGATCTCAGGAGTCAACTAATGTTGGATCAGAGTCAGGGAGAAAGCATGATAGAAAACGTCATTCTCAGAGAATTGATCACAGGCAAATCGGAAATGGAGATGTCTCAACTCAAACTTTAATTCGGGTTAGTTTCAAAATTCTGTTATCTTTAAACTTAACCATCATTCTCAGTTAATATCATTGAGGATCATTTAGGAAGAGTAAACAAAAATATTCAATGAACTTAAATATGATTTTTAGTCAATGTAAAAGTACTGAATTTGGCATATAATTGACTCCAGAGGTAGTACTTGATAGTAATCACTGAAAAAATCTTGCTTTTTGTGTCCCCAGTTCTCCATATTTTTCTAATTTGTATGCATTTACCATTTATCTTGGGTTTTTGCTGGTTATTGATGCCTGGTTTCTAATTCAGGAGGGGCATGGACCCATGGGAAACAATATCTGCCACCTCTCTGGTCCGTTACTGGTTTCATCTAACAATATGGATCAGATGCTCAAAGAGCGTGATCGAAAGATCCAAGAATATTCGAGACGAGCACGAATGTACAAGTCTGGTGAGATATCTCGTGCAAACCAAAATTAGGATGATTCTTAGTCAATGAAATATAATTTTTTTTCTAGTTACGCAGCTATATATATTTAGTGACAGCAAAATTTATTTCAAAATTATAGAAAGATAAGAGAAGGAGTGTGTACACTGTTCATTCACTCTTCTCTTGTAAATTACAAATATAGTGTAAATTGAGGCTTTTACAATAAGAAATTGCTGTTCTTTACCTTCTTTTTGTTCTATCCTTTTCTATATGCAATCCAATTTTGATAATTTGTATTACTAAAGCTTCAATTCATATTAGCTCCAACATTATTTCATCCAAAAGTGGAAGGAGGAGAAAGATAAATAGAGAGTGAAAATTATGTGATGGAAAAAAGTATAACACTGAATAATCCTCTTCATGGGAAAATTGCATGGCCTAGCGGTGAAGAAATCAATCATATCTATAGTCAAAATGGATCAATGCATTGTGGCATTGCCATATGGGAGGTTGTTAGTTTTTGGTCAAAAAGTTAACAATAAAAACATGTTTGATTATTTTATAATTTTTAAGTTTTTTTAACACTTATCCTTAATGAATCAATAAATACAAAATATATTGGAAATCATGGTAGTAGAGGTGCAATGCAAACAATAGAAGTTGCATTTTTCTATAATTTTTAGTTTATTCTTTTATCGGTATTTTTAGATAAATAATTACTATTCTTATCTGAGAAAAATGATATCAATACACTTATTAGACTTAATTATCAAGATCTATTAACTTGACTATAGTGTATTAAGTGTTTATTTTTTCGATTTTTTTATTAACCCATTATTGAATAGGTGATTTGGTTTAATTACCCCAAATAACTAATTCTTCAAAAGAAACTAATTTGTTCTATTTTAATTGATTCGATTTTCAAGTGCAATAACCCAAAAATTAGTAAGAAAAATTTGGTTAACATAAAAATAGTACATGAGTGACATTAAATGTTTCAAATAAACAAAAAACTTTTAAATTACTATTACTTCTAATAATATTCCTATTGACATGTAGATAATGGTTATATCTAATATTCATATTACATAAAAAAAATATTCGTATTACTTAATAAACTTATCTAATATTTTCTCTCAAGACACAGGTTAATTAACTAAGTTATTTTAAAACTAAAATGCGTGTACAAACTATTCACAGTAAAATTTATTACTTATAAATGCACGGATACGAAAAAGATAGACAAAATTTGGAAAAAGGAGATTGTTAATATTATATATGGAATTTTATATTGAAACAAAAAAAAATTTATTAAGAAGTGTATTAGTGAGAGAAAGTAAGAGTTTTTACGTGTTTGAGACGTGTGCATGCATTAATAGCAATGGAAGACGTTGCTTCGTACCGTGTTCGTTGCTGGCAGAATAAAAAAAAATAGAATTTTGGTTGGATTAGCACAAAATATGTTAAAAACAGGTAAAGAAAAAAGATCTCTCTCTTTTATTAGAAAAGATTTACTTGGTGCTTTAGAAAAACAGCTATTCCATTTGAATGAGTCAATGTAAGTTAGTATCAAAAAATCAAATACCACTTTCTGTGTATATAAATAAGTTTCTATTTTTTTAATGTAAAAATACGACGACGATGCATTGAAGAACTTTGACGAATGATAGCCCATTGGCCATAGCAAGTCTTCCGTCACTTCTATGTTAAGAGCTCCTTGTTTTGCACGGTATGTTCTGAGATCAATTTACGAATGCACATATTTTTATTTCATGTTCTCTGAGTTTGATACATTTTTGTTGATTTTGATTCTCACAACTCTCTACAGAAACTTAATATGTCATCTTAAACCTTAAATTGGTTATGACATGATTAATTGATAAGAGAAGGGCTTTAAAATTTGTCGAAATGAAAACTAACAAAACAAAAAATAGGATCAAAATGAAATAGGACCATTTATTAGAGCAAGAAACTATTGTGGTTACTTTTTCTTTTGTCACATGGTCGTGATTAAATTTTACAGGAGCAACTTAACTTGAAATGTCGAACGAAAATGGAGTGCAAGGAAAGAGAATTGCCATTATTGGTGTCTCAACTTTTTTGTTTGTGGTTGTGATAGTTGCTATGGTCATGGCTGTTATGGTTGGTGTAAATCCTAAAGAGAATGGTGCAAATGATGGTGTAGAAGACAAAAACAAAGACCATATTGCTTCTACTGTAAAAGCTGTTCAAACCCTTTGTCGTCCTACAAATTACAAACAAGAATGCGAGGAAAACCTTTTAGCAGGGGCTAGAAACACCACAGATCCAAAAGAACTTATCAAACTTGCTTTCAACATCACCATTACAAAAATTGGTGATAAACTCAAAGAAACTGATCTTTTACATGAGGTTGAGAAAGAACCTAGAGCCAAGATGGCACTAGACACATGTAAGCAACTCATGGATCTTTCAATTGGGGAGTTAACAAGGTCACTTGATGGAATAGCAGAGTTTGACCTGGTACATCTTGATAACATCCTCATGAATTTAAAAGTTTGGCTTAGTGGGGCAGTTACATACCAAGATACTTGCTTGGATGGATTTGAGAACACAACTAGTGAAGCTGGTAAAAAGATGAAGGATTTGTTAACAACAGGCATGCATATGAGTAGCAATGCCCTGGCCATTGTGACAGATTTGGCAGACTCTGTAACAAATTTGAATCTCACACAATTACTTGGGCGTAGACTCCTTCAAGATTCTGAGCTTCCCTCTTGGGTTGATCATCGTAGACTCCTTAATGCAAATGGAAGCTCATACACACGTAAGCCTAATGTCACAGTAGCTAAAGATGGTAGTGGAGATTTCAACAGCATGAATGATGCATTGAAGCAAGTGCCTAAGAAAAACAAAAAACCATTTGTGATCTACATAAAAGAAGGTATTTATCAAGAATATGTTTTAGTTACCAAGAAGATGACCCATGTGGTGTTTATTGGTGAAGGAGGAAAAAAGACACGAATAATTGGCAACAAAAATTTTGTAGATGGAATTAACACATACTTAACCGCGACTGTAGGTATGTCTCTTTTCATGTTCACAAAACTAATTTATCACTCGTACGCATTCGGGTAATAACTCAATTTAAAACTTATGCATGTAGCTATTCAAGGAGATTATTTTGTGGCAATCAACATGGGATTTGAAAACTTTGCTGGACCTCATAAGCATCAGGCAGTGGCATTGAGAGTCCAAGCAGACAAGTCTCTATTCTACAATTGTTCAATGGATGGATATCAAGATACACTTTATGTACACACCATGCGTCAATTCTATAGGGATTGTACCATTTCAGGTACCATCGACTTTGTGTTTGGTAATGCACTTGCTGTTTTCCAAAATTGCACTTTTGTGGTCCGAAAGCCAATGGAGAAGCAGCAATGCATTGTGACTGCACAAGGTAGAAAAGAGAAACAACAACCATCTGGAATAGTAATCCAAGGAGGATCCATTGTGTCTGATCCTGAGTTCTACCCAGTGAGATTTGATAACAAGGCTTACCTAGCTCGTCCATGGAAGAACTACTCAAGGACCATTATCATGGATACTTACATTGATGATTTGATTGATGGTGAGGGGTATTTGCCATGGCAAGGATTAGGAGGCCCTTCTGGCACGAATACTTGCTTTTATGCTGAGTATCACAACATTGGCCCTGGTTCAAACAAATCGAAGCGTGTTGATTGGGGTGGGATTTGGAACCTTAATTCAAAAGCTGCACATTGGTTCTCACCATCCAAGTTCTTTCATGGAACTGATTGGATTGAGGTTACTGGAATTCCTTGCTTCCCTGGCATACCCAAACACCATAAACACAAGAACACAATACTAACCTGGTGATAAAGAAAATGACCTGGGAAATTGAGAAAAATAGTCATTAATCACAAAGTAACATTTTAGCATTTCTATTCTTTAATTATTTGATTTTATTTATTGGTTTTAGATTGATCTACATTTTATTCATTCACGTTGAAAGATTGACATTGATGTAATATAAATTTTATTTTGATAGTTTTTCTCTATTCACTAATTTATTAGTATATATTTTTTTGATATTTAAAGAAAGAATAATGATTTATGCAACTTGTGACTACCCACCATCTCCAATCCTTATAATAAAGTTTATCTCAATAAATTTTTTCTTTTGAAAGTTTATCTCATTAATGTTCAGTATTTACTATTTCCAACTCAAAACTTGGTGATTAATTGAGGATATTTTTAAAAAGTAATTAATTTTCAAACAGTTTTTTGCTTGATAGATTTTTTTCTTTTCAGATAGGTTCATTGTTTCAAGAATTTAATTTCATCGATAATCAAATAAAGCAATTGAATACTCATTCATCTAATTCATGAATACCAGACCTTTTTAGCAGAACGACAGAATCTCATAAAAACAAAGAAATCACATTCTGAAGTAATTCTTCTTTTTTGGTTTCTGTATGGTAATGAGCACAGGCTAGATCCAATCAAGCTAGTTAGCTACACCTGGAACATTTTCTCTATTGGTTACAACAGGCTTTTTTTAATCAAATATCTGCAACAATAAAATAGCTAAAACATGAACTGTTTTCTCTGATGATTTCTGATTCTCATTGTGGAAAAGTACTTGAGCCACTTCCAGAGGTCCTAGAATTAAAACTGAACATCTTAATTTCATCAAAAGTTGGGTAACCACTGCATGGAAAAGCACCTTCAGTTTTAGACCACATTGCGGCTGATTTTACTTTTCCAAGCAAACTCATGTCCATGTTTTCTTCATCAGTGTCGTCCACTTCCCCCTCCAACATTTTCACAACCTGCCTCATCGTTGGTCTAATACTACGGTCTGAATTTGAACACAACAAACCCAAATGAAGCAATCTTTCAGCTTCCTCTACGGTGTATACGCCTTTAGTCTTCAACCTTTCATCAACAGCACTGTGCAATGGGCCTTGCACCATTAGGGACCTCAACCAATCAATGAGACCTGGTTTATGCTCTTCAATTGATCTTCTCCCACAAATTACTTCCAACACCAATATTCCAAAACCAAACACATCAGACATAGTTGATGTTGTTCCTGTTCTAATCACTTCAGGAGCAATGTATCCGATGGTCCCTATTACTCTTGTTGTGCTGGCAACTTGTCCATGATGATCATGCATACGAGCCAATCCAAAATCTCCCAGTCTTGCATTCATGTCCTTGTCAAGAAGAACATTGCTTGCTTTAATGTCCCTATGCAAGACCTTAACTTCCCAACCTTCATGCAGGTATAGAATCCCTGTGGCTACATTTTTCAAGACTTGAACCCTCTCTTCCCATGTTAGCACCAATCTCTCTTCACACTCAAATATCCTTTTGTCTAAACTTCCCTTGCTCATGAAGTCATAAACTATTATCAAATTTCCCCTCTCTTTTTTGCACCAACCTCTCAATCCTACTAAATTTCTGTGTTTCATTCTGCCTAGGATTGAGACCTCAGCCAAAAACTCTCTCATCCCTTCTGCCCGTTCTTGAGGGGTTCTCTTCACCTCAACTTCTGCTCCATGCAAAACCCCTTTATACACCTTCCCGTTCCCTCCAACAGCAACCACATTCTCTTCAGAGAACCCTCTTGTTGCTGCATCAATATCATGGAAATCAATCCTATGAGGCCAATACTCCAGTTCCCAGTCTTCAGCTTCTTCTAGTCAGTGCCTTGCTTCTGCGCAGAATGAAAAACTTTACATAACCATAACCAATAATTAACACACACACAATAATGCTCACACCTACAGCCAAAGCTCGTCCTTCAGAAAACCACCTTTTTTGATGGACAAATGAAGGCAACTTTTTTGTCACCAAAGCATCACCTATTGAAAAAATTGAATTACTGAAACTCCAAGCAAGAATCCTAGTGCTGTCTAGTAACCTCCCTGTTGCTGCAGTGAATCCATCGTATGTTTCATCCATAAGAACCCCTGAAAGGTTAACGTTACTACTGATTAGAGGCACGCTAGGCTTCTTTCGTCCTGCCCGAGCCATAGTAACGCTAAGTTGGGTGTGCATATATTCAATCCATACCTGATAATTTTCTCCATTTTTTAGCTCCAATTCCTTAAACTTTTTGTCACCTTTCCCTTCCCATTCGCCAGCCTCATGCGAAGTTGAGAAGCGAAGCGAGTTTATGTCAACACCAAGATGATTATTGCTAACATCATTGAACTCTTCTTCATTTCTAACTATATCAAATTCAACTCCAAAAACATGGTTCTGAGGATTGCCATCATTGGTAAGATTGAAAAGACCGATAAACTCGGCTGAAGTCGTACCATTTACACCGCTTGATGGTGTGAATAGGAAGAGAAAGCCATTACCAGTGATAAAGTTTTCAATGGGGGCAATAGAGAAAATGAAGGAGGTTGCAAAGGGGAGTAAAGTGGAAGAGTTGGCTTTTTTGGTAGGTATTTTGTGAGGGTAGAAAGCGCGGCCCATGGAAAAGAAACTTGAATTTGTGAGAGTCAGAATGGAGGTCTGTATAGAGGCATTTCCATATAGAATGATGTTTGTGGAGTTGAAGTTTGTGTTATAGACAAATTCGGTACTAGAAACTGAACTAAAAGTTGCTGTGAGAAGAAGAATGAGAAGGAGCTTCAGTGGAGACATTGGCAAGGGACTGAAAATGGAAGGAAAACTCTGCCAAATTGAAATTGGTTGCTACATATACGTGAATCTTCATCTCTAAATAGTCCTTGAAGAGTAAAGAGGAAAGGTAACTGTTGGGTACGACTCACGCAGGTCATTGTTATTTATTGTCATTTCAACACATCAAGTCACACGTTATGGGAATTTTGCATTTATTTCGTAGGAGAAGGACCATTAAGTGAACAAATGTGTATCACTAATCGCCACACCTGCCTTAGTCGTAGATATTTGTCCTACATACATGTGATGCTTGGGGAGACTTAGAACGGAGAAGAAAAGAAAAAGGAAGAGTGAAAGTGGTACTGATATTGTCATTTTCCAACTCCAATTTTCTTCTGTTTATTTCACTCTTTTCAAGGAGGCAAGGAAGAAAATGAAGAGGAAAAAAAGTACGAGATAGTAAGAAGGAAATTGATTTTTTTTTTTTTTTTTGGAAATAGGTTCCATTAGCTCCATTTTTTTTTCTTTGTCATCTGCATAGGTTAGATCATAATTATTTACCACACACGTGTACGTGTATCTTCAAAATTTTGCAAATCATGTGTTTTTATGGTTGAAAAAAAGAAAGAATAGTCGTGACAGAAAAGCTACCAAAAGTTGTTGTATGCTGCAATCAAGTAGAAACGTGTCGCAATATAACGAAATAACCAATATTCAAAAGGAAAACTGTTTCAGATGTAATAAATACAGAAAAATAATTTTTATGTTTCATTCAAGATCTGTGCAAGAAAGAACTTTGAACATAAGCAGTATTCAAAGAACTAGAACACCAAAGGAAGAAATTTGAAAACAAAATTATGGTGAAGTAAAGGGACAAAAAAACACCCCATCTTTATGGCAATCTTAGCAGCCTCAGTCGTGGAAACTTGAGATCACTATTTTAGCGAAACTCGAGACTTTTGGAGCAACAAGTGCTTGAACTTTACACATGGAAATGTTTGTCACTTCATCACAGCAGCATTGGCTCTTTGCAATCTCAATATTAACATACTGATTGAATAAATTTCTCTCACCTTCCTTCTGATATTAAATCTGACTCTGGATGTGGGCTGGAACAAGAGAAGCTTAAAGATGCTGTAGAATAAAACTTGGTCTGCAAAATTTCATCAAAGGTAGGATAATTTACATTCGAAGAACTTGTAGAACTTTTAGACCATGATGCTGCTGAGTTTATTTTTCCAAGCAGACCCAAATGGATGCACTCTTCATTGCACTCGGTGCATTTTATTCCCTCCAATGCTTTCACCACTTGCCTCATTGTTGGCCTAATAACAGGGTCAGTACTTACACATAACAAACCCAAATGAAGCATCCTCTCAGCTTCCTCAGCATTATAACCACTTTGACCCTCCAAGCGCTCATCAATAGCACAACTCAATTCCCCTTTCTCCATAAGGGAAAACACCCAATCAACCAATGGTGCCTGATCTGCTATGACGGGTCTTCTACCACACACCACTTCTAGAACTAATACTCCAAAGCTAAACACGTCACACGCAGCTGACGGTCGCCCAATTCGGACTAGTTCCGGTGCCATATACCCCAGAGTCCCTATCACTCTTGTTGTGTCTACCACATGTTCCTGGTCATGCAGCCTTGCAAGCCCAAAATCCCCCAATCTAGCATTCATGTCCTTGTCAAGAAGTACATTACAAGCTTTGATGTCCCTATGCAAGACCTCAACTTCCCAACCCTCATGTAGGTATAAAATCCCATCAGCTACATTTTGCAAAACTCTAATTCTTTCTTCCCAGCTCAGCAGCATGGTCTCTTCACACTCAAAGATCCTTTTGTCCAAGCTCTCATTCTCCATGTAATCATAAACCAGTATAAGTTTTCCTCCTTTTCTTTTGCTCCAACCTCTGAAACCCACTAAATTCCTGTGCTTCATTCTGCCTAGGCTTGAAATCTCTGCCAGAAACTCTCTCATTCCATGCTGTGTCTCGTGATTGATGCTCTTCACTGCAACTTCTACTCCCTTCAAAACTCCCTTATATACTTTCCCACTTGTTCCAATCCCAATCACTTTCTCTTCAGAGAATCCACTTGTTGCATCACAAATCTCCTGATAGCTAATCCTGTGTGGCCAATACTCCAATTCCCAGTCTTCAAAAACTTCCTGTTTCTCTTCCCTTCTGGTTCTGAACAAACTATAGAAAAATGCCAAAGCACAGAAACCACCCATAAAAAATGCCCCAAAAGTTACGCCTATAATGAAACCATTTGATCTAAACAGGAACGTTTTCGGATGCACATACACGGGCAAATGCTTGGTATTCAAAGCATCACCAATTGAAAAGTTAGAATTGCTAAAACTCCACGCTAAGATTCTACAATTGTCCACCATTCTTCCTGTTGCTCCAGAAAACCCAGCATACATTTCATCTAACAAGACCAAAGAAAGGTTAATAGGCTTACTAATCAAAGGCCTACGAGGCTTCTTGTTCCCTGCTGGTGCCATAGTAACATTAATCACCGAATCCTCAAACTCAATCCAAACCTGATAGTTTTTACCATCAGCCAGTTTCAAATCCTCCCATTCCTCGCCCTCTCTCCCACCCCAGAACCCAGCAGGCTCGGAATACTCCGAAATCATCGAATTCAAGTCCACACCCACATGATTATCATTCTTCTCATTGAACTCCTCGTTTCTAAAATCATCAAACTCAACCGCAAAAACATGGTTGGAAGAGTTACCTGAAGTGGAGCGGTTAAACAGGCCCAAGTAGTTCCCCGAGAGTGCTCCATTTACGGCCATCACCGGCGATAAAACAAAAGCAAAACCATGAGCAACAGGGAAGTTCTCACAAGGGGCAACAGAGAAGATGAAGGAAGTTGCGAAGGGAAGAACACTGGATGAGTTTGGTGGCTTCATGGGTATTTTCTGAGGGTAAAAGGCTCGTCCTATGGAGAAGAAAGTTTTGTTTGTGAGCGTGAGAATTGAGTTTTGGATGGTGGCATTCCCATAGAGTTTCACGTTAGAGGAGTTGAAATCTCTGTTGTAGACAAATTCAGTTGCAGACACCGAACTCAGAATTTGAAGAACCGAATTAAGGATGAGGATAAATAAAGTTCGAGGAGACATTATAGGTGCAACGAACAAGTAACTGAGGAGAAAAGAAATAATGATAAATAAAGTGTAAGCCTAGTTAACGAAGCAGTTGCATCGAACATTAACAGTATACATAGTACAACACCAGACCATGTGTTGACTTTTGGTGAGATTTAGATTTAGATTCAATGATTCCAGAATTTATCAGGAAATTGGCACTGGTCGTAGCTGGCGGCTACAGAAAAAGCTTGTGCAAGATGGAAACTTAGCAGTTGCAACATTCACAAAATTAAATTTAAAAAAGAAAAAAGGAAAATAAATGTGGGCACTGGTAAAAGAAAAAAGTGAACCATTTTCTAAAAATAAAGAAGCGAGTGAGATTTGAGAAAGAGTATAGAACTCAAATAGTTTATTTTTCCGACAAAGATCCAACGACGACCGTCCTCTGAAGTCATGGCATTGAAGCGTGATAAGTGGGTTAGTTAAAGGGACTCTCATTTTTTCTTTTTAAAAAATGCACGCTCGTTTACCTATGTGTTTGCCATTGGTCCAATTTTAAATTATTATTTAATAATTTAATGTCAACTAGTAATTAAAAAATCTTTAAAAAATTATATTAAGAGTGATGGTATCCTACTTGGATCTTCTGGTATTAGATTTGAATCTCGTAGATAAAAAATATAATAAGAATGGAAATTTTCGCTAAAAAGTATCTAATTAAATATATTTTTTAACAATAAGTATTTTAACTATCTCTAAAAATTATAAATATTTATTTGGATCTTCTGATAATTTTCGCTATCAATTATAAAATCAATAAATATTTTAAGATTGTTATAAAAATAAAAAATAAGCAAGTTGTTTTTAAATAATATATCAGCATGTATAATATATCAATACATTATCCTTATGCTTAAAGCAACCCAACCTAGATGTATCAAAAACTAACTTACACCCTCTGTTTAATTTAGACGAAACGAAAATTTAACTTTTGAATTAAAGAAAACAAAATAGAAAGAAAGAAATTGAAAATTTATTTAAAGTGATTCTTTTTATATTTAACTAAATTAAATATATATATATATATATATATATATATTTTTTTTTTGTGGATATTTTTTCTTCTCAACTAAACATACTTCGAATGATAACAGAATTGAATTAGAAAACCTAACTTCAACCCTCACGTTTTCAACACAGGATTATTTGACAATTTGATGAATACTTGATGCATATGTGAACGTGATAAATGCTTAATTGAAGGACGAGATTTAATGAATTTCAAAAAGAAGAGTGTCTGACTTGAGTGAAGAGTTATTATTATTAGGGAGTTAAAGTCCTAGACGTTTCAAACTAAACTAATTGAAATATTTATTTATTTTTTCTATTAAATAATTATTGAATTTAATTATAATATGTGATTTTTAGAATAATCTCATTTAGAATTAATAATGTATAATATTTTACGATTATTTTTTATGATAGAAAAATAAATAATATCTGACCTTGAGAACGGATGGATAATAATCTCTAAATTTTATAATCTCATATAATTTTTGACTTTCATCCTCAAATTTAATGATTAATATATTTATTTTTATATTTATAATTTTATTTTTTCAATCTCTTTATAATTTTATAATTTTTATATAATTTATAATTTTTATCTCCTAAATTTAATAATAATTTAATATATTTATAATTTTATTTTTTCATCCTTTTATTTTTTTTAATTTTTATATTTATTTATTAATAATATATTATTTAATAAAAAAATTAAATATAAAAGTTCCCTCCTAGAAAGAAAGAATGTTGAGTTCCGAAGAGTGATGGAAAATTTTGTCTTTCAATGCATCTTCCATACAAAAACCAAATTAATTAGGTTTTGAAGGAGTGTGTAACATTTTCAACTAGGTCAAATAGTTTACTAATGTTTTATACCAACCACCTCATTCAATTAACGTGTGGAGAAAAGTTATACGTGTTTTATTTTATATTTTTATTAATATAATATGACTATCTACATGTCAACGTTAATTATACATGCTTTTATTGATTAATAGATTACTTACGTTTTCAATTAGTAAATTAAGAAGATATCACTTATTAATTAACAATCTAACTTTTTAATAACGTATTAAAGTTAAATTTTTACTTATCTATCATCATTTTTCATGGTAATAAGGTTTGGTAAGTTAATCATTTAATTTTATTGTTCTGAATAAAATATAACATAATTAATGATTTTAGACGTAGGGCACAACAATTTATAGTTTAGAAGTGACTTGATTAAGTATCATAATTACTTTAGTTTCACGTTACATTAAAAAACTAAAACCAAATTTCACATTCAGGATTTATTATACGTACCTGATTTTTTTATTAAGTGATAAAATAAAATATTTATATATTTAAGTAAATTAAAGCTATGTTTAAGTTTATTCATGTTCATTAATCTTCAGACAAGATAAATAAAGAAAAGTTATTATTATATTAATATTTGCAGAGACATAAAAATAAATAATTATTTATTTAAGAAGAAATATTTCATAAAATAATACTTTTTTTCATTATATATGAGTAGAAAGTAAAAATATACATTAAAATAAGTTCTATATTTCTTTCTATTTTATTTTATTGAACAAGAAAAATTCTTATTTTTAATTTTCACTTCTCCCTTTTTCAAAACTTAAAAAGTACCTTTTAAATATGAGGCCAAACATCATGATAAACTTAAAAAAGAAAAAAAACATAAAATTATTAATTTAAATATGAAACATAACTATTTTAAATTGAATGATAAAAAAAAAAAAAAAGACTAGTAGTGAATAAAATATAATTAAAATTATAAAACATATCGTTTTGCTTCGAAGAAACCCTCAAACCCATTCCCATAACTTGTACGAATGTTCAACGTGTAGCTTCCAAGAAAGTGGTTTTGGCTACCCTGTCGATCACTTCTATGACAGCTACAACTCACTGATTTGAGGTTTGAAATATAATAATAAATGAACTAAATTACAATAATATTAAAATTTTGGATTTTATGAAAAATAATTATAGCACCACATGTGGTAATCACATTTTTCTTTATTATTTTTGAAAAGTTTTTGTTGCTTTCTTTTCTTTGAACTCTCTCTCTTTATAATTTTTCCTTTTAAAGAATTATTAGCACAAGTAAGTTTTTCTCCCTTACCTCCTTTTTAGAAATTAGAGGTCACTTTCAATCTTCTTCTTCTTTTCTCAAAAAATAAGAAACAAAACCTTTAACCTAATTCCGTGACACGACAAACAAGTTTACGAGAATGTCTTGCTATTTTATTTATCCCAACCTTATATTTTGTTTAATTGAATATCGTGCATGATATAACTATACTACAATATACATACTTCCGACATGAATTTTTAATATTATTAATTACTTTAAATATGATTAATTTAGATTAAGTAAACTCTTAAATGAGTAGAACTATTCAAACGCTCTCTTTCTCTTCTTCTTTTTTTTCTTCTTTTTTTATCATTCACTTGCATTTGAAATCTTACTAAAAAAATATATTTGAAAGAAACACATAATGACTTACGGTCTTATTAGTATGTTATATTATTTAATTTTGTGAGTGGGGTTCTTTATTTTCCCTCGTAACTCTTTCTCAACCAACCCTAAGAACATTAAGTATGAGAAGCGTGTAACACGATCCACTTACAGAAAGATAACAATGAGGTAACTTAATTTGTACCCTTATATATAATATAACATAAACATGTGGCTATTCTTCAACCCTTCTAACTTAGTTGGATGGTTGCACTCATACTTTTAGTTAATTCTAAACTAGCCCTCAATAAAAAATTAGTCATAGATGTTGAAGTTTTTATAGAAAATTAGCACTGGGATATCAAACACTCAAAAAACGTCATTGGATTAAATTCATTTATCCCAAAAAAAAAATTAAGCGCCAAAGAATATTATATATAACAAATAAATATATAATATTTTTTATTGAGTTCACAAAGCACCAGTGGTCTAGTGGTAGAATAGTACCCTGCCACGGTACAGACCCGGGTTCGATTCCCGGCTGGTGCAAATCTGTGGGTGAAGATCTCAAGGTCAGGCGTTCGATCCCCTGTCACCGTAATTCTTTTTCATTTTCTTCCAATTTTTCTTGAATATTAGATTAATTCTTGTTAGAACTTTTTAAGAATTAGATCAACACCAGCGGGGATAGCTCAGTTGGGAGAGCGTTAGACTGAAGATCTAAAGGTCACGTGTTCGATCCACGTTCACCGCAATTTTTCGTTTTTCAAGAATATTATTGCAAATCTTTTTCATTTTCTTTCAATTTTTCAAGAATATTAGATTACATTTGTTAAAAATTTTCAAGAACGTTAGATTAACATCTGCGGGGATAGCTCAGTTGGGAGAGCGTTAGACTGAAGATCTAAAGGTCACGTGTTCGATCCACGTTCACTGCATTTTCTCATTTTCCAAGAATATTACATTGCAATTCTTTTTCATTTTCTTCCAATTTTTCAAGAATATTAGATTCTTATTAAAAAGTGTTACTTTTATGTTCTGCAATTGTTGATTTCAATCTGCTAAACAAGTCTGTGAATGGGTTAACCTTTTTTTTTTTTTTTATATATAAAGTGGGAAAAGTAGGGTGAAGGAAAAAGAAGAAATTAAAATTTTAAAGATTCCTATGACAAGGAAAAAAACTTAGGACCTGTAAAGTGGTGGTGAATAATGTAAGGTCTTCTTAGACAAAGCTGGAATCAAATAAAGGGTGTTTGATGCTTCTGTCATTATTCTTGTGCTTTTCTTCTACCAATGGGTGTTGTTCCATGTATGCATAATGGTTCATATATTGGCAATATCTCTCAGTGGAAAATGTGACATAAACATTATTATAATGAAGCATTATCATACCATACAGATAAAGTGACCTTCTTAGTTCATGTGGATGTAGGCTTCATCAAATTGAAATATTTTAACTTTGCATTCAAAAGTTTAAATGCAATTGGCATTTGTCACAAGG